AAGGTGCGCGCGCGCCACCAAGGGCTACTGGTGCTGAACGTGCTTCAAAGTCTTCACGAGATCGACACGGCAAGCCTCGAGATGCACCGAGAAGACCTTGCACACAACGGCGTCGCCGTGCGTGAGCCTCGCCCCGTGCGGACACGGCTCGACTGCGCAGGCGAGACGCTCGAAGCGTACAGTCTTCAAGAGCGCTACACAGCGCGAACAGTCGCGGGCTGGGTGGTCGAGTTCTTGTCGACGGGCGCCTTTCGCCGAGATACGCGCGGGCGTACGAGACGCCCCACGGCTGGAGCGTCGGTAGTGACATAAGAGCTTCAGTACAATTTGTACGTGCGTCGATTCACTGGTCATCTCATTTTTTATAAATCTGTATATGTGCAAATGGCAAATGCACCGTATTCTCTATCTTCCCAACCATTTCCATTTCCCAATCACCACGCCACCCGACCTGTTGCAAGGTTGGCATGCCGCCACGTCATGTATTTAAATAGTGTTGTCTGTGCAAATCACAAAATAAAATGAGTCGATATCCATACCAAATTACATATCTATTTACAATAATATAGTTTACCATTTAGTGTATCATCAAAGATATAAATGGTATGTTTAGAAATCAATAGTGTGTGAAAATCCTATTTTAATAGTGTAAGGCACGGAAAGACAGCCAAGCCCAAAGGTCATCTCCGTTTCACCAAAGATCCGTGATGCAAGGCTACCTCTGGAAGCGAGGCCATGCGCTGCCGACCATGTACATCGCCTTCATCTACCCAAGCATCCGCATCCTCCTGCATGCGTAGGAGTCGGCGCTACTGCGTTCTTGACGGCTCGATGCTGGCCGTGTACCACGCCGAGCGCGAGCACGAGCTAGGCCTGACGCCGAGCTCCGTCTACGAAATCCGCGAGGTCTTGCCGTGGGACGGCCACACGCGCTTAAAGAAATACGAGCACGGCTTTGCCGTCTCGACGCTCGGCGGCAAGACGTACCAATGCAGCGCCGACACGATGGCCGCCCAAGAGCAATGGTGGGCTCTCGCTCCATCTCTTCCTACGATTTGACTCCACCTATGTAGGATTGCTGCGATACAAGAGTCGCTCGCGGAGCCGTATCGCATCGTGGCCGACGAGATCGTCGAAGCGCAAAAGCAGCTCCAAGACGACATTGAGCTCGAGCACGAGACGGCCGATACTGCCGCCATTGCAGTACGCCTCGGCTCTCTTTTCAAGACTCGACATCTCGCATGTAGGTGCGCAAGGCCGAAGTGTCGTCCAAGGCGATTCGCGCGCACGAAGAGCAGATCCAGAGTCTCAGGATCCAGATCAGCGAGATTGAGGCGCAGATCGTGGCGGCCCAAGCCGAAGCCAGCACCTCGACATTGGCTGCGGACAACGCCAAGAAGGCAGCAACCGCCGCCAAGCAAGTCGCGCATCACGTCATGATGCAAGTCAACACGGCCGAGACCGCGTCATCGACTGCCGTTCAAGACGCTGCTGCCGAAGCATCCAAGTGCTCGGCCATGGCCGAGGTAGCAGCAACGGCCGCCGCCACCGCGCAAATCGCCGCCAAGGACCTTGCCAAAGCCAAAGCGGCGCTGATCGAGGCCCTGCACAAGGCCACGGATGCCCTCCAAGCGTTCAAGGCTGAAGCCGAAGCCAACATCTCGGTTGCGTCCGGGGCGCTGCAGACTGCGCACTCGGCCAAAGCGCGGACGCGGCTCCGTGTCGCGTCGTGGTCGTCGTCGCCGTCGCACGTCGACGCACTCGCCCAAGGGTATGTCATCTATCAACGTATCAAGTTGAACACTCAACGATCGCGGTAGGTATCTCTTTTGCAAGCACGCGCTGCGCCCGACCATGCACAGCAAGTACTTTGTGTTGTACGGCAAAACCCTCTGCTGGTACAAGAACGCCGACGACTTCATCCAGCACGCCAACGCGCCGCTCGGCGTCGTTCACGTTGCGGGCGGCGTCAACGAGTGGAGTGGCCGCGTCGGCTTGACGACTGCGTCGCACCCGTTTTCGATTCCAACGGTCGAAGGCAAGACGCTGCACTGCTCGGCGCCCGTCTCGCACGACGTCGCCATGTGGAATGCAGCGTTTCTCATTGGCATGACGATGAACCCCATGTCGCCAGAGCGCGCGCGGGCCGCCAAAAGTCGGCGCGACTCGTTCGACCTGACGTCGCCGCCCCGCGTGGGCAAGCAGCGGGCTAGGTACATCTATCCTGGTCACGACGACCCTAACCCCATATGGCACCCCTTAGCTTTTTCGCCGCCGATTCGTCGTCGCCGTTGGATACGAGTCCGCAACTGGTGCAGGTCGAGGCGGAGACGCCAACGGTCGAAGGCTACCTCGTCAAGCAAGGGCATTTCGTACCGACGATGAAGCAAAAGTACGTTGTGCTCGTTGGCAACCACGTCTTTTTCTATGCGTCCCACGACGCCTACGTCGCCAAGACAACGGTCGACGTCGGGTGCTCGGAAGTCGCTAGCGTCGGCGAATGGGACGGCCATACCTTGCTCTTGACGTACCCGCACCCGTTCCGCATCGAGACCGTCGCGCACGCGCAGGTGCTTTGCAGCGCGCCGACCGCAGCCGAGAAAGCCAAGTGGATGCGCGGTCTCCGCGCCGCGATGGCCAAGCACGCGGTCGCCGCCACGACGACGTCGACGCCGATCGGTGACGTGGTGCTAGACCCAGAAGTACAAGCGCTCACAACGCTACTGCGCAACTACTATACCGAGCACAACCCGACCAAGCAAGACGACATCACGACGCTGCTCAAGCTCTTTGATGGCCGTGAAAGCCAGCTCTTGTCGCATCTGGACGCAACGTACGGCACGACGCTCGTCCGCGACCACGCCGACTTGCTCTCGACGCTCGAAGCGCGCCATGAACGTCTCGCGGCGCGGGCCGCCGAGTTTGCGATCGTCCCGGACGCTGGCATGCCCCATCTCGAAGGCGTCGCCGACCTTTCGGTACCGAGCGCGTTTGGCAGCAGTTCGTCAAGCGAGGTGTACCTTGTCTTGCTCGGGCACCAACTGATGCATTTCACATCGCGCACCGCCGCACTCACCGCACCAGAGACGCCGACGAGTGTCGTGAACGTGTGCGAAGCCATGGCCGGTGTCTATGCGGCCGATATGACCGTGCTCGACACAGCTGGTACCAAGCACCTGTATCGGCTGCATCTCGAGGCGAGTCGCGACCATTGGCTGCACGTGCTGGCGCTCGGCGTCGACCATGCGCGGACCCACGGTCTCATGGCCGTCACCCTCTCCGACCACAAGTACAAAAATCGTCATATTCTCCAGTATCATGCAATACGACTAGGACGGTGCTGCATGAGATCGTGCCGGGTGCGTCGGACGCAAGCACGACACCAGAGGCCACGGCGTTCAAGTCGGCGATCGTAGCGTTCTACAATGAGCACAACCCCGACGGTCTTGCCGGCGTCGACGCCCTCTTGGTCTACTTTCGAGGCCAAGAACACCTCTTGCTCGAGTCCCTCGATGCTATGTATGGGGCGTCACTGGCCTCCGACCCGGCGCTACAGGCGCTCTGCGCCGAGCTCGCGGGAGCGGCGTCGGCCATTGACCGCCGCGGGTCGTTTTGGCGCAAGTCGCTCTTGCCCGATGGCTCTCTGCCTCCGCTGCGCCGAAAGGCCGGGTACGTCAAGGTCAAGGCGCCACCATCCATTCCCAAGCTCAAGCGCGCGTTCGCAGTTCTGAGCGAAGACGGTCACCTCGCCTTGTTTGTCGACGCGATGCAAGACGTGACGCTGCTGGCGTCCACCGCCGTGCACAGTGTCCGTGTCGGCGACGGTCAATTTAGCTTGTACGTCGACACGACCTTCCTCCAGTGCGACTCCGAGATCGAAGCCCACGAATGGCTCTCAGCGTGCCACGTTGCGATCGCGGCACAGCACGTGCATACGCTCAGCGCGTCGCCGCTTGCCCAGTTCTTATTCGACTATTACAAAGTACACAACCCGGCCAAGGTCCGCGAAGTGCCGTTGCTGCTCGACTCGTTTGGCGGCCGCGAACGCGAGCTCCTTGTCAAGCTCGACGCGGTGTACCACACCCAAGTGACCTCGGACGCCTACGCGATCTCGCTCTTGCCAGCGGCATCGTCGTCATCGTCCGACGCGTCGCCGAGTCAAACCGAGCTCGTGCGAGGGTACTTGCTCATGAAAGGGTACCACCTGCCGTCGCTCACGCGCTTCTTTGGCGTCCTTTCCGGCAATACGCTCGCTGTCTACGACACCGAAGACGACCACGTCGAGAAGAAGACGACGTACGAGCCCAAGCGCGTGGCTGCGGTCGTTGCGTGGAGTGGCAGCACCCATACCGAGTGTACGTTCGGCCTCGAGATCATCACGGACGACCACAAGACGTTCTTCTGTGCATTTGCCAAAGAGGACGACCAACTGCACTGGGCGAGTGCCTTCCGGCATGGCATTGCGATCGCACGGATCGAGCACCGGGCGTCCACCGGGGTCCTTGCGTCCGAGGGGACGCAGACACTGCGGCGCCTACTGCTGCAGCGGTTTGGCCACATCCACCCGTCGCTCGCTGACGATCTCGACGCGCTTCTCGAGTACGCCCATGGCTTTGACATGGAGCTTTTGACGCAAATGGACCGTAAATACGGCACCGAAATGGCAAGTGACGAAGAAATTGTGTCGCTTTTGGGGCCGCTTGCCAGTAATGCGACGCTGCTCACGCCGGTCAAGGGGATGGAAGGCCCTGTAAGCGTCGTGACGGCCGAAGGCCAAGTCAAAGCGCACGTCTACGCTGTCCTCGACGGCACGCAATTGCAGTGCTACGTGTCCCGTGAAGGCTATAAGACGTGCGTGACGACGCCGACGCTCTCGATCGCGATTGCAACGATCGGGTCGTTTGAGACTACAGGCTTTGTCATGGACACGCAAGACGAAGGCATGGTCGTATACATGTTGACAGCGTCGACCGACGACCAACGTCAGTGGCTGGACGCGGTCCAGAACGCTCTGGACAAGGCGGCGCTGGACTCGCTCTTCCACACGATCCCCACGTACCTCTTGAACACACAACACATATGTTGGAGGACTACGTAGGGACACGGCAGGCGTCTTTTCGAGCTTTGTGTTTGTCCATGATCCCACTTCCGCTAGCAGCAGCAGTGGCAAGGAAGGCTTCAAGCTGCTCACGCTCAAGACAAAGCCCAAGCGACCTGCGAAACGCTACGTGGTCCTCGATGGCCTCGAGCTCAAGGTTTACCTCGCGCCCTCCGACGTCGAGCCCAATCGGCGACTGGCGGTCTCAAGCTTATGCTCCTGGGACGAGGCCCCGAACGGCTTTGTCGTACACTGCCTCGACCACGCGCAGAAAGCCAGTGACGTCTACTGCTCGGTCGAGTCGCCGGAACTGCAAGCCAAGTGGCTCGACCACTACGCGATCGTTCAGAAGCAGCAGCTTGGCGACGCGCTCCTCGACGACCAAGCGTATGAGGCAAGAGAACTTGACGCGTGTCGCCTTGTCTCAGGCTCTACCTAGGTGGCCCACGCGACAGCGTCAACCTTTGATACGTCGCCCGTGAAAGGCTACATGATGTACGAGCCCAAGGCGAGCCGAGCCGAGCGGCGTGAAGGGTATAGCCACCCACCATCTCTCTCGAGCTCCGACGCATGTTTGCATAGCTATTTTTTCTTGCACGAGACGCATTTATGGGCGTTCACCTCAGAGCTCAGCGCGCGGTCGGGGGACGCGCCGATCTTGGACTTGGAGATGGTCATGCTTCTCGAACACGAAGCCGGTGTCGACGCCAACGACTTTTACATCGAGGCGCGGGTGAACGGCGCCCTCAAGCCCCTGCGCTTCATCACGGCGGACCGCGACGATCGCAATGTATGGGTGCAGGCGCTCTCGTCCGTGCTGCAAAGTGCCCGCGGCCTTGCGCTCCTCGAGACAACCCAGGTACGTCGTACATCGGGCGCTGCAGATATGAAAAAGGAGCATCGTAGCAACTACTGCACGAGAGCCCGACGCCGTCGCAAGCCATCGCCGAGGCCAACCGTGCCAACTTTGTCGTGCCGGGGTCGTCGATGGAAGGGATGCTGACCCAAGTGCAAACCGCGTACTGGCTCTTCTCCCACGATGAGCCACGGTACTTTGTGCTCAAGCAAGCGTCGCTTTGGAGCTTTGCGTCGGCGGCCGAAGCGCGACTTCTTCACGCCACCAGCAGCAACAACAACAACGACAACGAAATGGAGGCAAGCGCCGAACTGCACGTCACGTCCGTCAGCGACTGGGCGCTGCCGCAAGGCTCGGCGCAGCACGGTTTCCACGTCCATTACCATCTCGGTGAGAGCAGCGAGACGTTGGTTGCGCAGCTCATGGCGCCGTCGCTCGACGAGAAGGAGCGATGGGTGCGTGCGATCAAGGAGGCGCAAGAAGACTCGCTGCGCGAAGCCTACTACAACGACCTCTTGGCCCACGAGACGGAGCTCCACACGGCGGCCGCGCCAATCGTGCTGGCGTACGAAGGCTTTGTCAAGACGCGCAAGACACGGTTGACGTCGCCGTGGCGCGAGCACTATTGCGTGCTCAAGGGTCCGTGGCTCTCGCTTTATGCGTCCCACGACACGTACCTCACAGCACCCGACTCGCCGCTCGAGAAGCACGAAGTCGTCCTCGTCTCTGACTGGCATGGCTCACTCTCACTCGCCGTGCGCCACGTGTTTCGAGTCGAGACGCTCGACGACGGCTTCCTTGAGGTAGTGCCGTAAGTTGAGTTTGGGCAAGGCGGTCAACGCGGGGTAGGTCTCGGTGGGCACGGACGGTGAAAAGGTCAAGTGGATGAAGACACTCGAGGCGGCCGTCGCGGCCGTGCCAGCGCACGATGTGGTCTCTCGCAACGCAGCTCTCACTAGCTACCCTGGCGCGTCCATGGAAGGCTACCTCATCAAGAAGGGACATGGTCTCCGCGTCGCCAAGAAGCGGTCGGGACCATATTATGTTGTGTACACAAATTGTCTCATCATCGACGAATCTCTAGGTACTGCGTCTTGCTCAGCACCGAGTGGCTCTACTTCAACTCGCAAGAAGACGCGCTCGCCGAAGCGCAGCCGCTCGGTGTGCTCAAAGTGCTCGGTGCCAAGCCGATGGCTGCCGACGCCACGACGTACATCGACTTTACCTCGGTACGTGGATAGATGCGATGGATCAACTTAGTGAGTGTAGACGGTGCCCGAACATACCTTTGTCTTGGACGTCCAAGGCCAGAAGAGCGTCCTGTGCGAAGCCCACAACAGTAGGTTCTTTAGGCAGGGATCCGCTTCCTATAGGGTGCTGTAGGTGCCGAGCAGCACCTTTGGCTTGCGCACATTTCAGCCGAGCTCGAGAAGGAAGCCAGCCTTGGCCGGGGTCTCCAAGCCTCGAAAGAGTCGGCGCAGAAGAAGGCCGAGGCCATGAAAGCGGCAGTGGCGACGCTCGGCGCCGCCCAAGCCCACGCGTCGGCCGAGATGGCGCTCACGGACGATTTGCTCAAGAAGCTCCAAGACGATGATGACGAGGATGACGTGTCGTCGGACAATGACGACAGTGACGGCGCGACGCTCTACATTGAATACGTCGATACGAACGGCGGGTTTGCGCCCGAAGACTCGCCGATGCGCCGGACGTCCAAGAACAAACTCGTGCAGCACTTTGGCGACGACGCGCTGAGCAAGAGCATGGCGTCCCGTCCGTTCTGGCAGCTCTTTTGCAGCTGCTTTTACCGCCCGCCAAGCACAACACTGCACCAAGACGACCCGCTCCTCACTGAAGACGAGAAGCGACTCTACAAGGTCCAATTCTACGCCAACGGCGCGATTGATCCGTCCTTGTAACCACCGTTATCTGCCAAAAACTACGTACGCGTCCCTCGTTTCGTGAAATATACATGTATACATCGACTCGCAACTCTTGTATTGTTGAATTTGTGCTACTAGGTCTAGTAGCGAGGTCTAGGGTCAATAGCGTGGTTTAGGGTCCAATAGCGAGGTCTAGGGTTGATAGCGCAGCGCCGCCTGGAGGTAGTCGAGCGACGCCCGGGTGGCCCACGACTTGAGTTCGAGACCGTCAAGTTCAAAAAAGCCGCAGTGACTGCCGTACGCCGTCAGCGCCAACATCGCATTCGGGTTGGAATCAAAGACGCCCTGGAAGGGAATCATCCCTAGTCCACAACATATTTGTATAAGAACTCGGAGAAAGCAGCAGCGATGTACGGTAGGTGCACACGGGGTCGTCCCGCGCGTTGATGCAGAGCGTCGGGACTGCAATGTTTTCCACTTGGCGCATCGGATTGTTCTTGGCCCAGTACGCTTCGAGGTCGTCGTAGCCGTGCATGCTCATGTAGACGTGGCGGTCAAACTCGGGAATCGAACGCGCTTGCAACGCTGCGTCGACGTCAATCGTCGACGACAAGACGTCTCTGTGGCGCTTGAGCAAGCCCTACCCCGCAGTTTAGGACTATACACTAGTGACTCGAACCTTGAGCGTAAAGGTCATGAGGAAGTGGTAAAGCGGGTAAATGCCTCCGTGGCAAAAGAGGCCCAGCGCGTCATAGCCTGTGTCTCGATGAGCGACCGCCAACAGCAACAACATCCAAAGCGAACCTGGCGAGACGAGGGCGGCGGCAGCGAGCTGCGACTTGGCGCCTGTCTCGCCCAAATAGGACGTAACGAGACCGGACCCGGCGGAGAAGCCGACGCCTACACACGTAATACTGAACGATGCGACGTCATGTCATGCGTGTACCCGTGATCTTGGCATGCGGGTACGACGCCTGGATATGTGCGATCGCGGCCGAGAGGTCCTGCGTGCAGCCAAACGCCTGCAGCTTGGGGCTCGTCAGCGGCGTGTCGCCGTGGCCGCGCTTGTTGAAGGCGACGGGGCGGAAACCCGCGCGGAGCGCCTCGGCGCAGAACGATCTCATGTCGTAGCTGCAGCCCGTGAGCCCGTGGACGACAAGCACGATGGGTGCAGTCGCCGGCAGCGTCGCGGCGCCGGTGCACCAGTCGAGGCCGATTTGGCCGCCGTCGGCCAATGGCAACAGCTCGCGCGTGTACGCGATCGGCGTTTGGGGCACGAGCAGAGTCATTGCGATCTGGATGTGCGCGTTGATGGCCCACCACGGCGGATGGTACGGCGCCGAGACCGACGGCGCGTTCTACGAGATGCGTCAGAGATGGTCGCGTACGCGTGGACGCAGTACGGCAGCGATGAACTGCTGGAGAGGCGAGTCGTGGCGGTAGTGCAGCTCGACCTTGCTGCGGTTGCACGTGAAGACGTGCATGACGAGGTACGTTCCGAGCAAGGCAGCGGCGACGACCGCGACCACGTAGCTGTCGACGAGCAAGAGGGTCTGCAACATGGCGAAATGCTGATTGGCGTCGTACCGCACGGTGATTGGTCAGCAGCTGGTGGTGGATTCGAATTTTGCGATCTTGCGCAAAGTCGCTCGCATGATGACGACAGGCGTCATCGTGTGGACGGCAACGCCTGGACAACCTCAGTCTGTGCGCTATCTCGAGACGCGCGTTGGTTGAGAGTAGGAACCAGTGGTCTTCACGTCTGAGAACGTGAGCGCAAATCTGATTGTTTCTAGTTAGTGGCACTTGTCGACTGATCGACTAACTCTATCGGCAACGCTGTCAGCGGCGTAGAATGAGCGGGCGGTGACTCGACGACAAAGGCCTTCAGTAGTTGTGGTAGTAGCTTCTGGTCTGCGTATCCACGTCGGAAGATGCACGGTTGGCAGTGGGGAATGCTTGGCATATTAATCCCTTGGCTGGCGGCGTCTGACGTCGTCAAGTATCAATTTCGCCGTCTCCAAAGGTCTAGTTGTCGATGTCGCTTGCATCGCCTTCGCTCGAACCTTCCGCGCCGTCCTGCACACCGACGCCGCCGAGGTCGGGTCGAAATGCCCAAATACCTACGGCGCCGCTCGTGGTCACAACGTACCATGAGCAAGGAGCTTCAAGTAGACGTATTCTAGTATACAGCCTATGGCCCATAATCATAGTCTTCGGTCAAAGACAGAGCACCATCTTGCCAGTCACTCGGGCGCGGAATTTGAACAGCAGTCGACAGACTTAGCAGGTGCAGGGGTAGGGCAGTGCAAGCCTCTCTAATTCCTGCGGCAATTACGTGCTGAAGCGTACGCCCAACCTTGTCGTGCGCTGTGACAGCTCCTGCTCGGTCTTATCAGCGACTTCGTGGCGTCTACGACAGCAAGCGTAGATCCTGAGCGGTGCTTCCTAGCGGGCCTCACAGTAACACTATTTCAGTTCTCACACGATTTCCAGATATCACAAGTGGGAGTTTTTCCGGATCCGGGTTCCAATTATCGAGTGTCGCAATATTCGCTGGGTCGATAGATAGGCAGCAATGACGATGCGGCGGCTGGCATGGCTCCTCGGCGCACTGGCGCTGGCCCGCGGCCGACCGCTGCGCGAGACTGCGAACTCGACCAAGACCGCTGTCTCGGGCACGCCGGGCACGGGCGACTGCGCCTGGAAGCGCGCATGGACGGCCAAGCTCGACGCGTTCGAGACGTCCGACGCAGCGACGGCTCATGTCTCGGCCACGCCGGACGCGCTCACGCTCTCGGCGACCACGATGGATGGCGCCGTTGCCTCGGGCTGGGCCACCTATCCCGTGCCCCGCGATAACATTCCGATGAGCGGCAAGCTCGTCGTGCAGGCGACGCTGGCCAAGGTGCGCTTCTCAATCAAGACATCACGATGGCATCGTGGCCTCTAGGGCCTCGGTCTGCGGCCAACGGTCAAGCTTGTCAAGTCCAAGGACGGCATTCACCGTGAGGTCGTCGTACTCAGCGGCGTTGGCGAGCAACCGGATGGGCTCCAGATCCGCTGGCCGCACGCAACGTCGTCCAACACCTTGCACATGAAGGCCTTTCCATGCATTGACGTACGCGCTTGGTAGAAGACATGCAATGGCTCATCCTCAGTTCTGCTAGGACTTGACACTGGACTCGCATGCGTTCCAGGTCACGTGGGACGACGGCTGGTTCCGCTGGTTCGTCGACGACGTCTTCTACCTCGAGCAGCATCGAACGTCGTTCTTCGCCATGACGGCGGGTTACACGTATACGGTGCAGGTCGAGCTCGCCTACGACACGAATGCGACCTCGCACAGCAATGTGACGATCGATGCGTCGATGGTCGTGTCCGACATTGGCCTCTACAAGCAGACGTCGCCGGCGCGCACTCCGTCGACAACCAACCCAAGCGACTGCAGCAACTACATTACGCGGGCCATTCTACGTACAGTCTCTATCTTCGTTCGCTTGGCTCATGCGCACGTAGCGACGGTGCCCCAAGGCTCGCTGCGGGGCGCGCTCACCTTTTCCGAGGTGCTCGAGTACGTCGAGGCCGTTCCGACGCGGCTGCGGTCGTTCCCGTACCTCCTCCAGCAAGTCGACATTGGCACATCGCTCGAAGCACGGCCGTTGCGGGCGCTTTGCCTCGGCCAGTGCCACCCAAAAGGCAAGGCGCCGCCCCAGACACTCTACACGGGCTTGCACCACGCGCGCGAGGTAAGAGACATCTAGTCATCTCCAACTCATACTGTCGCTAGCCCATGTCCATGATGGTACGATTGCCCGGGCGACGTAGGTATGTCCTCATTGCACGGGTAGAACCTTGTGTACTTTGTCGAGTACCTCCTTCTCGGCTTTCACCAGCGGGATCCGAACGTACTGCACCTGTTACTCACGCGCCAGCTCTGGTTTCTCTTTGTCGTTAATCCCGACGGCTACGTCTACAACGAAAAGCACCTCGAAACGCTGCATAGCGAGAGCGCGGGCTACTCGGGGCAGCGCAAGAACCGGCGACCGGCCGCGTGTCGGACCAACGTTGACGCTGGCGTCGACTTGAATCGCAACTACGACGTGTGCTTCGACCAAGATACGGTGGGCAGTAGCACCGATGCGTGTGCCGAGGTATGTGTATCGTAGTCCATTGCGTGGCGACTGATAGATTGATACATAGGACTACCGCGGAGAAATGGCGTTTTCCGAGCCCGAGACGCAAGCGATTCGAGACTTTGTCGCCAACCACTCGGTGGCGACGGCCCTCAACTACCACGCATTTGGCAAGTACGTCAACATTCCGTTTGCGTGTCAGCCCAAAGGCGCGCCGGCCGCCGCCGACATGGCCATTTTCACGTCCATTGCGTCCGAGATGACCAAGTACAACCACTTTCAATTTGGTCAGTCGTGGCAGACGGTACTTGTACATCGTTTTCATGGACGCTAATGTCTATAACCTACTAGAGCGATCTCTACTCGGTCAACGGCGAAACGAGCGACTGGATGTGGAACGCGCACGGAATCTTCGCCATGTCGCCCGAGACCGGCCCGGCGTTTGACTTTGGCGACGTCGATGGCTTTTGGCCAACGAAAGCGTCGATTGTGCACGAGATCTGCGAAGAGCTACTGTATACCAACTTTCACGCGGCGCGAATCGCCGGTCCTATCTACACGCTCCGCCTTCTCGTACGTCGCCAAGCTTATTGGCGGCTCATTCGCTTGGGGCTAGGGCTGGGAAAATGACGACGACTACGTCACCTTGTCGCTCGAGGTACGCCGCGTCACCGGCGACCTCATCTCAGCATTGCCGTTAGCTTCAGAACGTCGGGCTTGCGACAACCGCGTCGACCGAGCTTCTTGGCTCGGTCCATCTCAACGGCTCGACGGCCAGTGCACCGACCGCCCTGGCGCTCCCGGGGCTCGCCAAACCCGAGAACCACGTCCAGACCATGACCATCGACATTCCAAAGGCGGCAAAAACCGAGCCCACTGCCGTGTACGTGCTGCTTCGCGACGCCGACGCCTGCCACCTCTACCGCGTCTGTATGTACCATGGATACAGTTGCAGGCTGTCGCTAACGTGCTGTGTACGATAGCGCTCGGTAAAAAGTCGGATGAATTTGCGCTCTGGGAACCGCTCTCGCTGCCGCGCTGCGGGACGTGCGCGACGTTTGGGTCACCCAATGCCTCGGCCGCCGTCACATGCGACGGCCTCGAAGACGTGATTGAGATCCTCGAGCTGCCGACGCTGAGCGGCGTCACCAACAAGGCGCTGTACAGCGGCAATGTGACGTTGGCCAAGGACCTGGCGTCGGCCGTAACGTGGGCGCCGCACGCCGAGCCGCTCATGGAGAACAAGTCGCTCTTGCTCGTCTCGCTCATCGTGCTGCTTGGTATGGTCACGGGTCTCATGGGCCTGCGCCACTTTAAGGCGATCGAGCACGGCAAGCGCAAGGCGTCCGAAGCATACGAGATGGTCGCGTCGCACGAGCCCGAGCCACTCGACGAGTTTGACGACGACTTGCCCGACGAGTTTGACGAGGCCGAGCCCATGACGCTGCACATCGACACGATGCATCAAGCATTCGAGGAGCACGAGCTGAGCCCTCGGTCCATGCCACGGGTGCGGTCACCAACGCAGGGCGACCGCGAGTTGTAGTAGATACACTAGCAGAGTCGTTGCAATTTCTATCGATTTCATTGTCGTCTTCTAATCGGTCTTGGCGAGCGGCTTCTTCTTCGTGCTAGTGGCGGTATTATTGTCGAGGCTGCTGAGGTCGAGCTTGCCGTCGGCTTGGAGCGCACGGGCCTCGAGGATGAACCAGTTGATCGAGACTGTGAGGCCGATCGCGAGGAAGAGGAAGATGTACATGTGGAACGAATCCTCCATGCCCGACCAGATGGTCATCCCGATAACGCCGAGGAGCGCGAGCAGGACGCCATTCAGCGCCAGCACAAACTTGTTGCCGGTCCCGGGCTCGAGCGCCGACTTGAGGGCGGAGGCGAAGACGCTCATTTCGAAAATGACACACCGGATACCGTGCCACCACTATCCGGACGATCTACCTATCCGTATATGCTGACGTGTATCCGGAGGCGTGGCGGGAACAAGCCTGAGCAGCGCGATATGGCGGTCGCCGGCTGATGCTACACGAGCTAGAACGCTTGAAGGACCTTTGCATTAAGAAGACGATGGGCGTATAGAGGCCATAGCGCTCTCAGAGGCGGCGATCCCTTCGAACGACGCATCAACACGTCGATCGCTAGCCAGGCAGCCAACTCGACGCAGGTGTTGTTGCTGTTGAACGCCATATCTTGGCACCAAATGCGGCGAGAGGACAATGGTGGGCGGTGCAGTCGACCGTCGCGCCTTGTCGGTGCCTGATGTCACGTCAAGATCGTCGCAGAGACGTTGAGAGAATCGGGTATCGGTGTTCGGCAAGGTGTTTACCCAGGCGTGCAAAGCTCATCGCTTCACCCTTATTCTACATCGTCGTCAATAGCCTCAAGTACTACCCTGAACAAGACGGACTACCCAGTCGAGTTCAACACCCTGCGTTGGAATTCCCTTGCTGTCGTTCAGAACACTCTCTAGACACAGTGCAGAAGTCTGCGGTAAAACGTGAGGTTTGATCCGGTCTCTCCATTTCCTGCCCCATCCTTTGGTTGACTACCTGCAAACGTCGTTTGGGCTCGAGTGACGAAGCGCCTCTCGTTACAGGCGGAAACGGTTGAGCATGAAGAACGTCTTGCTGCTGGGTATGGACGGTGCGGGGAAGACGGTGCTGCTGCGCCGCCTACGCCACATGTGCGTGGACGAGAAGCCAAAGTACTCGGGCCTGACGCGGCTGTTATTGCGGCGCGACGACAAGGCGGCGGCGACGCCCCATTCGACCTTCCACATCACAACGCCGACGACAGGTCCGTCATCGTACACGCCAATTTCGGGGTATAGCAGGTCGACTAGGCATTGAGGAAGAGACGTTGTCGCACAGTGGCGCCCCATTTACGATCAAGGAGGTCGGTGCACCGATGCTCTCCATGTGGCAAGCGTACTACGCCCAGTGCGATCAGTACCTCGTACGGCTACGATGCAAACGTCCCGCAACCTGTCATTGCACTTTGTAGTTTGTCATTGACGTCTCGAACGCGCCGCAGCTCGCGAGCGCCACCATGGAGCTCTTCAACATCCTCCACAACGAGACGATGGCGTTAAAGCCTGGCTGCATCGTCCTCAACAAGATCGACTCCCCGCTCTCGCTGCCCACGTCGCTCCTGAGGTCTCTCCTTAGCTTGGACCAGCTCTCGAGCTTGGCCAACATTGAGATTGTGCGCCTGAGTGCGCTCACGGGCGAGAATGTGGGCACGGTGCTTCATTGGATATCAGGACGGACCCAAGGCAACCTACGGCTGAGCGTCTTTGACGCCAACTACAGCCGCGTCCACCCCGCCGCTGTCTAATGCGTATCGCTGTAGATTGAGCTAAGCCGAGGGCAGTAGAGAGTTGTGTAATAATCACCCGCCGCTGTCGGAGGTCCCAGTAGTATGGACAGGACATATAGGTGGTAGTTGTCCTACCTCATTGTCTATCTTTGGTCCAAAGGACGTCGTCAGCACCATCTTGATGAACGCAAAGCTGAGTAGCAGCACCGCCTTGGTGCAGGAGGTACTATGGGAGGTCGTTGGATCGATACGACGAGCCGCCACCACGTCAAAGACTCGAAGACGCAGGGTTCGACCCATGGCGGTGCACACAAAAGCGCCACGATTTCGTCCAACGGTTAGGGTTGCTATTCATTACTACCAGTATTGTCCTCTACTCGATTTCCTTGTTGGTGTACGCAGGGCCGAGGGACTCGCGGCTCTTGGCGAGCGACGCGTCGGGCGACAACGCCTTCTCGGTCGTCTCCTGCAGCGCCGAGCCAAAGACCTTGCCAAGCAGGTGCGACACTTCGCCAAAGTACGACCGCGACGGCGGCGCGTGCTTGATCAACTCGGCCGTGCTCGGGAACGTCGACGGCTCTTCGGTGTCGGGCGCTGTAAAGTGGCCCATCGGCTGGCCAAAACGAATCTAAAGTTGAGATTGAGATGCGCGAGCGTTTGAAAGTTCGCGTAGACCTTCTCGCCCGGCTGCACAGTAAACTCAAAGTCTTCCGGGGCCTCAAACACCAACACGACGGTCGAGCCCAGCTACAACCCCTGTTCAGTCGTGGGCAGGGCTTCCGTCCACGTACCTTGAACTGCGCCACTTGGTCGCCGCGCGACACGAGATGCTGCGCATCATACACCTTGGACAAGCACGAGCCGCCAAGGCGGTCCTGGCTCCCGAGGTTCGTCACAAGGTCCTACGTACTTGAGTTACGAAGCATTGCAGCTCAAACGTACGGGCTCCAGGTCGATGCCAATCGAGCCAACGTTGGTGGCGCCGACGGCCGTGAGCGAGTAAAACCCGTGCTTCCACTGGCCCAGAAGCGCCTACGCCGGCGTGAGTCCTGGAGACGAAGAGGACGCCACGGACGATGCGCTCGTTGGCCGTAAAGAGGCTTGGGACAAAGTTGACGGCGAGCTTGTTGACGGGGAAGAGGTTGCCGGGGAAATGACGGCGCTCCTCGACGCTCCAGTCAATGGGCGAGTGGATGCGGTGGTAGTCGCCCGGCGCCAAGTAGATCACACAGTGGTACAAGCTATGGCACCCAAATGTATCAACCTATCAAGTCGAACGCGTGCTTTGTACCGCTTGCCCGGCGTCGGGTTGGTGAAGAAATCGGGAATCGACCCGAGGAACTCGTCCATGCGGTACCGCGCGCCCTTGATTTGCTCGAGGACGGGGATGCCGCTGGTGCCGTCGACGACGCCGATCGTGGCCATGCGGCCGTCAACTGGGCTCGACATGACGCGCGGATCGCGGTCAATGACGCGGGCGCCCTCCTACACGCAGGCCGTTGAGAGTGCGCTCATGACGAGGAAGAAGGAGTGGACCTTGAGCGGACGCGAGAAGAACTCGCAGAGGTTGCGGTACTCCTTGAGCGGGTACTTCATTTCGTGGAGCTGGCAGTCGAACGCGTACGTCCACGCCTTGTACACGGGCTCGCGGGCCCACATGGGCCTACACGCAGATTGGTCGTCAGACGCTGGCATCGGTGGATGGAAGAGTCGCACAGCTCAATGTCGTTGACAAAGCCCCAGAGGCGCGAGATGCCACGGTACGGAATCATGCTCAGGCCCATGTACTAGACACGTCTCTCTGTCGTCCCGCTGCAAGATGCCGGGGATACTGTGTACCTGCAACTCGCTGGCCATGGTTTCCTCGAGCGGCGTCTTGGCGCCGGGCAGGCGCGCAAAGACCGTCGCCGGGTTGAAAAGGACCTCGTTTTCGGTCGGGTTGTTGAGCTGGTAGAGCTGCATGCCAGCCACGAGCAGCACACCTACAGAAAGCTCAGCAGTTGAGCGGCGGCGAAGAACGCAAGGGCTGGCGCACCGGCGCCGCCGACGCGGCCGACGAGCTTCCCGAAGGAGGCCTTGGGCGCGGGCGCGGACGACGTGCTCTGGAGGCGGCAGCCTTGCTTGGCGCGGAGAACGGAGCCGCGGGCCATCGACAAGGACGCGACGCGAAACATGCTGCGGACGATGGCTTTCGATTGTCTGGAGCGTTTTTATTGCATCCCAGGCGGCAACTGTTATAACACTGTTAGATTTGTATCGTAATCTTCTTGATGCCCATCGCGGAAGCGCCAAGAACCTCGTCGACAGCGGCCAAAGCCCCTGCTGTACTGTAGCCGAACACCAAACGTCCTGCTGCCCATTGATAGGAGGGGCCCGATGCGTCCTCCTTTCTGGTTTTGTGGGTTGCCTCAAGAGTGGGCCAGCACATAATTGCGGCTTCACGGGCCACGAAGTAGCCTCGGTAGACCCAAAGGCTGCAGCATCGACGCTGCGTTAGCTAGTGTAGACAGACACGTAATGTAAGAGCGTTCAACACGACTGTCCATCGTGGCCGTGTCTTTATACGTCGAGACACACACGGAGCGACCCTGACGATGTTTGCCGAGTGTTATAACCTCTCGTATCCGGACGCTGCAGTGCTTGTATCGAGATTCGTTAGAAGCGGCTTGGGATTTTATGGTTGGTGGTCCATTCGAGATCCGTCTGAAGAGCATGTCGTTGGCGTTCCTCCGCTGCTTCAACCTCGGCCTGCCGTCGCCGGCGCTCGGCCTCGTGCGCCATGCCAGCAAGAAGTCGGGCGGTTCGACCAAGAACGGCCGCGACTCGATGTCCAAGCGTCTCGGCGTCAAGAAGTTTGGCGGCGAAGCCGTCATCGCGGGCAACATCATCATCCGCCAGCGCGGGACCAAGTACCACCCGTCGACCGGCGTCGGCATGGGCAAGGATCACACCTTGTTCGCGACGCGCGACGGCTACGTGCGCTTCTGGTGGAACACGCCGCTGAAGCGCCAAGAGGTGTCGATCAACCAGAACCGCGAGCGCCAGCGGCGAGTGGCGGTCCCGGCCTCGACCGACGCGTAAGGTGGTGTATAGTTAGAAGGAAGAAGCGTCCTTTGCCGTGTGACAATACAAGGGTTCCATTATAGAGGTGATGACGTCGTAAAATGCTTTGACTACAGACCGCGACGGGCCCAGAACTCGCCTTCCTGGGCGTTGCGGAGGCGCTCGCGCTCTTGCATGCGGCGCTGGCTGATCGAGCGAATCTCTTCGGCCGTCGCGGCGCCGGGCCCGCGCTGGAGCTTGGCATCGACAGGCGCGACCACGAGGGACGTGGCGATGGCGAGCACCATCATGAGGCGGAGCGAGCGCGGAAGGACAATCTGCATCCTGCTGTGTGTAGTGGCTGGTGATTTCGGTACTGCTTCAAGGACGCTGGCACCTCGACTGCGCTATTCTCGTACCTCTATCTATAGGCGCCGGCGCTCAAATTAGACCATGATGGCGTCCCATGATGTGCAAATTGATGCGCAGATACCTCTACATCCCTTGTCCTTGCCACAGTACCGAATCGCGTTGCAGTTTGCCAGGTTGCTCGTTGCAGTTTGCCAGGTTGCTCGTTGCAGTTTGCCAGGCAGGGTGATGTGGACCATCCAGCCTGGGGTGAATGTACCGTGCTCCCAGCAGGGGCAAATAGAAAGTGGCGTTTGCGCGGCTAATCGACGACAGGCTAGACTAAAAGCACGCAGTCATTTCGCCTCTTCAACCCGCCATGCCGTTCGCATGGCTGATCCGTCCAACGTCGTCGCTCCGCCGAGAAGCAAAGATCCATTGTCTGTCGTAGCTGCCACGAGAGTCTCTCTTGGCAATCGACTCGACGATGCGGACGATGCAGCGTACTTGAGTGCTTCCTGACCGGCGCTGCAAGAGCCTTGACTTACGTGCCAAAGGCGTTGTATTAAATCATCGTACGTAGTAAATAGTCCATCTAGCTTTGCAAGCTCGACGTGATGACGTCGACGAGGACGGCGGTGAGGTTGAAGCCCTGGCTCATCACGCCAAACTTGGACGCTTGGGCCATGTAGGGCGCGGCGTTCGAGACGATAGGCGCCGATGGTGCCAAGAGCGCTTCGTCGAGGTCGCTTCGGCGCGCGCGGATCTCGTGGAGCTTGCGCTTGAGCTTGGCGCGCACCCAGCCTTGGACGCGCAAGACCGTGTGGAACCAGCTTTTGAATTCGAGCGTGCGCATCGACTTGAGGATGAAGAACGTGCGTCGAAGACTCTCTTCTTCGTGCGAGATGAACATGCCGAGGATGACGACGACGACAATGTACGTCGTGTACTGCACCCAGAGCACGTGCAGCGCGTGGTCGGCGTCGGCCGGCGCGAGCACGACCGCAAAGACTGCAATGAACGTGACGGCGAGCACCAACGTCGTCGACGATGCGTACACGAAGCGAATGCGGAAGCCCGACCGGTGCGGAAACAAAAGCGAGTTGAGAAAGCCCATGAAATACACGTTCTGTGGCGCATGCGTGTTGCGCGTGAGCCAAATGAGGAGCGACGCCATGCAGCTCACGTGGAGGAAGATGACGACCGCCGAGTACCACTGCGCGTACTTGACGTAGCCGCCTTTGGCCGCGAGCATGCCCGTGAGCTTCTCGTCGCGCCACGCCTTCCAGCGCGAGACGTTCAACGCGACGTTGGCCACTTGCTCGAGCGTGCTCAGTTTGGCGACCGGCGACCGCGGGCCCGTGTCGTCGGCGTTGTGCGTCGCTTCGCTGTGGTTGTCGTCGTGCTTTTGGAGCCATTGGGCGTAAAACGCAGTGCCGAGCCAGTGCATGAAGAGCACCATCGAGAGGTAGCATGGCACGATGACGCCGTAGCGCGCAATGCACGCGCCAAAGTACGCATACTCCGACTCGGCAGTAGAGAAGAGGCTCTTGGGCTTGACCGGATGCCCGGGCAGCCATAGGAGCTTGTAATCCTGGACACCAAGAATGACTTGGTCGATGACGAGACCCATGACTGCAAAGCGCAGCACGCGAAAGACGCCGAGGTGGAGCGACGCTGCGTTCGGGTTCTCGAACGGGAACGGGTCAATGAGGTACCAATGTCGGTAGAAAAGGTCTTCGACTTGGTCGTTCTTGAAGCTCAGCGTCGTCCGGCGCATGAGCGACCGCTTCCGGAACTTGTCCATCTGCATTGGCTCGAGGTCGTCGTCCGTGAGGCCTGTGAACGGCAATTTGAGCGCAAAGTTGCGGCGTCGCAGCAGCTCCTAAGTATGTTCCGTTAGACGGGACTACGATCAAAGAAGGTACCTGGCGGTAGTGGGACACCATGCCGCCAATGACACTAATGCCGTAGTTGATGGTTTGGTAGATAATGTCCGACTGCGAATCCCACTTCTTGGCCGTCGCTTCGTCGAGCTGCGCGCGCGCGATGGTTTGAATCGTAAAGTAGGTGAGGAAGATGCTCCACCCAAGGACGCAGCTGAGGCGGAAGCGCATGCGGGTCATGCCAAAGATCGGGATCATCAATATCACGAGCGGAAGGACCGGGCCCTTGTAGCGGCCGACGGGCTTGCGCAGAATGAGCGTGAGCGCCACCGTGCCAAAGATTGCAAACGTGAGTCGCTCGAGGCGGAAGCGCGAGACAAAGCATGGCACGATCGTCAGACAAATCCCAAAGAGGAAGGCCGCGGGCCCGAGGATGCTCAGCACGTCCAGCATGTCCTTTCGGGTGACGTTGCCCGACTCGAAGGTCCAGAAATGCATATTGGCGGTCGCTTGGTACGACGGCTGCTGCGCATCGTACCTACGTCCCGTCCTTGGTTTCGTCGTCTGTGGAAGGATATGCGTACCAGAGGTAAAAGCTGAGGGCGGCGGCGCCCATGAAGAAGCAAAAGCGCGTTCGATGCAGCGAGTCGCGCTGAATGTAGGCGGCGTACGCGGCTTCGTAGGCCGGAAGGAACTTGAGCGTGCGCGGGTTCATGCCAGCTTGGCCTTGGATGTTGGCAAACTGCTCTTGGTAGTACCGGCGCTCCTTGATGTTCCTCATGATCTCTACACAAAACGATGAGTTCTGCAACTCGGCAGTGGCCACGAGTTACCGTCAAAGGAGAGGTTTGACTCGTCCGGCACGCGGTTGGCTTCCAGGATGAGCTCGTTCGCGTCTTCGTCCGAGACGAGCGGGTCGTTGAGGAGCACCGACTCGCCGCGGGCGCGCGAGTCGGCGCGCACATCAATGGCGACCGCGCTCTTCTTGTGGTCTTCCGGGTACTCGCTGAGCATGCACACGTCATCGTAGATGCCGCTATCGTCGAACGGCAACCCATCTTCTGTGCTGGCTGCCATGCTCAAGTGCAATTGGATTCTGTGCACGGGGAAAGGGTCGTTGGAAGCGCAGCAGGTGTCTCTCAGGCACTTTGCGACAGTGGCGGGATTTCGTTACAGGTTCGATCGTAGAATTGCGCTTTTTTTTTAAATATACTTGAGCATTGTATGTGAAATCAAAATAATTGGATGGGTAGACATAGAAATATACACTTCAACGTGGTGCTTCAACAGGTGACGGTGGCGATTGACGTCGTTCGTGTGCGTTCGATGCGTCTCCTCATCTTGCGAGATAATGCTTGCCGCTTGGTGTGTGCTTGTAGTTGTGCTACAGCTAGGACTTGTAGCGAAAAGGCGGCAGCAAAACGCGTCCTGCGCGCCCATCGTCGCTTGTCCCATTCAGCTCGTGTATCTTGTGATACAAACCATACAGAGACGAGACGTATGGCGTCGGTGCGATTTGCCGTTGGAACGACGATGGCAAGCCCCCACGACAGGAAAGTTTGGCGAATGCATGGGCTGTTGGACACGCGAGAAAGCGCGGAGATCGGAAGCGCAGCCGCGAGGAGAACGAAGCCCGGATTGTCCGACAGTCGATTTGCTGAGAAACCAGTCCGCCTCGCAGATAGGTAAGCGCGTACCCAAGGAGAGAGTGCGGATAGCTTGTCGTCGGTTGATACCGGATATGGCGCATACGTGAGCAGGCAACGACCTTCTGGCAACTGGCAGACGAAAAGCGGCACTCGCAAGCAGCTCGATCGACGGCGCCGTAAAAACCGCGAGCGAGTTGATGTGGTGGAGGTGTACTCCCAACCATATTGCGACTGTTGCCGGTAGCGCGGTTGAGAGATGGCATTGAGCTCACAAGAGTATTGAGCGTACGAGACAAATGACGTCATGTTATATCATATCAAGCTCTTCCTAGTTCTTGACTTCCTCTTCTTTTAAGGTTGAGCAAACGGTGGAGCTGCGTCCGAAGTTCAGCTTCGTGGACCAAAGCTGTCTTGGTTACGCTTTGCTCCAAGGTGTCATCGCATCGGTTGCATAAAGATGGCAAACGACCAGGGCCAGCGCCCAGTCGACAATCTCGCCCGCCTCCAGTAGCGTTGTCGCTCGAACTGCCACAATGGGCGGAGCTTGATGCTTTGGCTAGCGTGTTGTCCTTGGTCTTTGAGCTCCATTGTGATCAACTGGAGTGTCGTCGCTTGGCGGCGGTCGGGCAGCGCGTGGAGGTTGAGATGAAAGAGAACGTGTCGAGATGGTCGGTCGGGTACATACGGTAGCAAAAACGTGCTCTCACTCACGTGCGCTCGACGACCAGCAAGCTCCCGGGGCACTCGCGCGGCTTGCCAATATCGAGCGAAAAGAGGTAGCGTATCGCCTCGACGTTGCCGCTTTGAAGAGCCACGCGTAGGAGCTTGTCATAGCTGAGCTCATGGTGCCGTTGAAGCAGTTGAATCGCGAGATCGAGGAGGTCTCTGGCGAGCGCCAAGTCGTCGGTCGTGCCGTGAGCCACGAGAAAGGGGACGACGTCTCACGCCGGGTTCTCGATCGCCATTGCGATCGCGTCCGGGCCGAAGCGACCATATGCGTTCTGATGCTCATACAAGAGCTGAATGAGCGGTAGGTCATGTTGCTACCCGCGCAGGCATACAGCATGGCGCTTTTGTCCAACGTGCCGCCGTTGTCCAAATACAGCTGAGCGACACCAATCACGGATCTTCGAGTTTGGGAACGGAAACCTGTGCGAGAGCTCCATGTGACAAGAGGTACTTTGCGGCAAAGTGTAATCGCCGCCGACGTCAATGATGGAAGCCTATTTATCCCGATAGAAAGACAGTGTGCCGTCGTCGTCTTTGTTGTCGAACTTATTTACATTTTGTGAAAGACCTGCAGTGGAACTTAATCCCACCGCAGCTGCACAGCCACGCAGCGCGCAACGCCGCAAAGGTCGAACGCGATGCGTGGCGTGGACCAGGCGGCCTTGTCGACAGCTTGGGCCGTGCAGCGAAACGAGCCGATTCCATTTACTAGACGACTATTCGCGGCCGCGCGGTTGACATTGGGCGATGCGCCTTCGGTCCGCTGGTCAATGAGGAAGCGGACAATCTTCGAATGGCCACTGGCAATGGCACTTTCGAGGAAGCAAATGTGTTAACAAACAAACTTCGGCCAAAACACACAAATACACTTGGTGAAAAGGAAGAAAGAGGAAATGGCGTGTCCTTCGGTTCGGTATGGAGGAGCCGGACGACGTCCAAAGACCATTGTGCAGACGGGACATCCGGGGCCATCGCGGCCTGCAAGATGTGGTCGGCATTGGGCTTGGTCCATCCAACTGAAGCCTATAGCGGACCCTCAAAGTCACCGGGTTGTGGGCCAAAGCGCTGTGGCAATCGAAGCCCCTCACGTCGTCTCCTGCGATAAGATGGGCCAGAAGCTCCATTTTGGGACGTGCCACGTGCAGCCACCTTCAACGACAGCGTTCGTCACATGACCACGCGCCTGCCACATACTGAAGACACGCGTGGTTGACAATTATCTCGAGCGCGGGTAGCGCTGCTTGCTTCGTCTTGTGCTCCGCCCAGCTTGGCTCACTGCTACCGTCGACACTTCGCTCTCTCCCAGGTGCACTTCATTTTCAAATAATTTCGAAAACTTTTGAAATTGTCTTGGCGACAGTTTTCAATTTCCCATCTCGATGGCAGCAAAAGTGCAAGCGACGCTCGCCTCTGCGGCCGATGTCAAGGCGTATACGCTGGCCTTTGTCCTTCGCACCAACAGGCAAGGCGAGCGTGAGATTCTCCTCGGCACCAAGAAACGCGGCTTTGGCCTTGGCAAAACGATTGGTTTTGGCGGCAAAATCGAACCATCGGACAAGAGCGTTGCCGATGCGGCCGCGCGCGAGCTCATGGAAGAAGCCAACATTGTCGTATCAGGCGACAACATGCACTCGATGGGCACGCTCCTCTACACGTTTACGGACCGCCCCCAAATCATGGTACATTATTGTCTATTGCAACTGAGACGACTCGATTTGATAGCATATGCACGTCTACACTGTGACGACGTTTCACGGCGACCCGTCCGAGTCCGACGAGATGCGCCCCGCGTGGTTTCCCTGCGATGCGATCCCGTACAACGACATGTGGGCCGACGAGCAGTTCTGGCTTCCGTCCGTGCTCGCGGGTCATCGCGTCTTTGGGCAATTTGACTTTGCCGAAGACGAAGTGACCATTCTCGACTCGACTTTGGACATTGTTGATGAGGACTAGGAAGAAAGGATTATATTGTCTAGCGTTGAGTGTTCTCATAAGCAATGCTAAGCGTCTTAACCTTTCAACGCCCAACATTTAGCACTACAGCACTACCGGTACCTGGTACTGGGTACGAAGTAGATACAGTAGAGTGATCAAGAGCTCTCCGCTGCACCACCAAATGCAGCTCCAAAGTCAAGTCATCTTGGAGCATGGCACTGCGGAAATAGGGCGCGATCATCATCTGCGTTCACGCGGCATCCGGGACCGTTCAATGTGTATACTGATCATGCACATCCCTTGTAAATATAGTAGTTCAAGAAGTGCGGGCAATTCGGGTGCGCAATGGATGAAGTTGAAACGTGCGGCTCTCCGTGTCCCAGACCTGGCGGTCGCAGCCGTCCATTGCTTGCGAAACGCCACCGAACGACAATCATTGCGTACTTTGGACCTGCATTGTCAAGGGGCTCGCAACCCAGCTGGCACGTCCTCGCTGGCGTCTCCCATTTTTACTTTAAAAATCATTTTAGAATTCGACCGATTCAGACATGCCGAGTGCTGCCCTCCGAGTGACCGAGACGTTGCAAGCTGCCGCCAAGATCAAGCACTACACGCTCGCCTTCCTCCTCCGTACGCATGAAGACGGTGCGAACGAAGTGCTCCTTGGGATGAAGAAGCGCGGGTTTGGCCAAGGCAAGTGGAACGGCTTTGGTGGCAAGGTCGAAGCGACGGACGCGACGGTCGCCGACGCTGCCGCGCGCGAAATGAATGAAGAGGCCAACGTCCTCGTGCACGGCAAATACATGGAGAAGAAGGGTACGCTCCTCTTTACGTTCACCAACAAGCCCGAAGTGCTGGTACGATACGGACTATTGCCAGTCGACTAAAACTCTGTAGCACGTTCACGTCTACCAAGTGACCAAGTTTGAAGGCGTGCCGACCGAGTCGGAGGAAATGCGCCCGCAATGGTACACGTACGATGCGATCCCGTACGACGATATGTGGGCCGACGACAAGTTTTGGCTCCCGTCTGTCCTCGCAGGGCGCAACATCATTGGTCAGTTTGACTTTGCGGCCGATGAAACCAAGATCCACGAGTACGTTCTTGACACGGACGCGGCGCTGTTGGATTTTTGAGAGAATGAACGACAATTTTGCATACGATTATGACACTATGTGGAGGTATATTGTGCAATAAAGTGGGGCTAGCGTCAGTTTACATGCCGTAGTCATATGGGATGTGCTCGGGGCGCCAGGGTCAGGCGCTGCATCTCCAGCGTTGTGTGTTGATTGGTTGAAAAGATGACATGATGACAAACGATTGGTGGATTTAAATGATGGCGCGCATGCGGATTGGCTCGTTTTGGAGCCCGCCTTGCGATCTTGGTGCAGCCACGAGGCAACTCCAAGTCCATCATCAATCACACAGTGCGACTCACCCGCAAGTACACACCTTGATGGTGCTAGTAGCACTCGCTGTGGCCTCGTAAAATATTTCTACTAAGGTGGTTGATAAGCCTTCCTTGCGCCTTGCGTTCGTACGACGGCCTGCGGACGCCACCTTCAACTCAGCCGTCCATCTTGGGATCTTCCGGATAGGAAGCGGAGGGCAAAGAACACTTCATTTTGCAGTTCGTCCGCTCGCATCCCAGCCTCCATACTCGACCCGTGTGCCGGCGAAGACGAAGGCGTCTTCGCCGGCGACCTCTGCGGACCATGACCTCAAGAGGGCCCCTGCGTCATAGACCGCCACCACTGGCGCGTCGACCAAGTCAGCTAGATGGCTTCTAGGTACGATATCCAATGACTCCTTGGCTTGCGTACGAATGACAACTGGTAGCTGCACCGTGCGCTCGCGCCAACGCAAGGCCGCACGCCCTTCGATCGCTGGCCCAAGCATGGTGTCTTCAACAGCTACTTTGGTTCGTCGTCCTCACCATGCTGGAATGTCCACGAGGTTGACGTCCAACAGTGCACGTGGTGGTATCGTCGCGTGCACAAGCACTGCTTTGGGAGCGCGCGGGACACCAAATGCGACTTCGGTGGCGACAAGAGCCTCGTGCTACCGCCGACGTGCGTCAGCGCTCAACCCAAGCCGTCGGAAACCCACCTCGAGACGATTACGCGGTACGTATCCCCGTCGTGCTCGCTGGCGCCATCTCACACGATTTGATTTAGCATGCTTGGGCTCACCCGCGGCCACAAGCGTCGTAGGGCGACGACAGAAGAGCCAGACGAGCCCCCGCGCCGCCGCCTGCGCAGCCACGGACCGGCGAGCGAATGAAGAAGAAGGAGATTGCTAGTCTCTACGTATGCGAAGTCTTTGTATAACTATGAAGATAACGCGAAACACGTTCATATATGCTTGGGCGGAAAAAGTGCGATGCGCAAGCAGCGTGAAAACGTCAAGGGCATTGACCGTATGCTGCCATTCGCTATCAGCGGGTCGCTGGGTATACGACCTGTACGTCTCGAATCGACGCTCTATCGTGGTGTGTAGTGTCTTTCAATTTCGGCAGCGGCGGTCAGCTGGGCGCCGGCATCGAAAGCGCGTTTCTCAACCGGCTCAACCCGATCCAGGTCGAGTGCATCTCTCGTGTCCGATCACTCCAACGTTGTTGCAGTCTAGATTTGCCGCCTGAACGCTTCGCCTTGATCCAGTTCCGCCACGTGAAGAACCTCAAGATTCTCGTGTGCGGTGGCGACGACACCGTGGCTGGGTGCGTTCGACTAGCATCCCTGGATCCATGTCAAGCTTCCTTGTGTGAACTCGTGATAGGTGCTCGAAGGCGTGCGGCTTTCGTCAGCCTGATGTCGCGGTCCGCCGCTCGGTACCGGCAACGACCTCGCGCGTGTCTTGGACTGGGGCGGCCACGCGAACCAGGTAACCCTCCCTTTATTGCTGTGTGGGTCGATTTTGAAGGCAATACCTCTGTATTAGCGCGTTTGTGGTACACCAAGTCAACTCCGTTGGTTGTATGACGTGGCTGTAGACATCGTCTCGGACATGCAGAGCGCTCGCGTGCGCCCTCTCGATCGCTATGGGTTGATGGCCATTCGATTTTACCAAGCCAGCGTGCTCAACCTATTCCACGCGTCTGGCTCTGGCTCGAGCCTTTAAGTTAGTCGTCGACTAATTCTACTCCAATTACAACAGTGCCATTTCCGGTCAACATCATGTCTCTGTACTTGCAGCTTCTTGACGCAAAGCGCAATGAGGGCTTTACGGTTCCTTGTCGCGGCTTCTTGAAGGACATTCCAGTGTAGATCCCGTGGCAATGCGATGGAGCGAGTCGAACGCCTTTGCAACGACTGCCCACTGCATGCGACTACCTCCACCCAACAGGATCGTCGTCGTTGTCCACGTCCCATAGACCTCGAGTACGAGCTCGTATCCATAACTTTGCATCGTTTTTGCGTCAAGGCGAGCGGGCTGTAATCCTCGGCTACGCGTGTTCCAAGCTACAGCGGGATTGCTCTAGTCTACGCAGCGACGCACGTCGACAGCGTCCTTTCGTTGCTCATCGCCGGCGCCCCGTCCGACGTTGAACAGACCAAGACGCGCACCCAAGACCTTGGTCGGGATCTGCAGCCGTGCGCGTTTCCAGTGCGCCGCTGCGCTCATTCTTGTGGCCATGGGTGGCAGTGATCATCGATCGCCATGCAGGGTGACCACGCTGCCGAGGAGGGCACCTCGGCGCCCCGCCTCCATGGGCAGAGGAATGCAGCTCGGGTCAGCTGCTCGCGGCGGCGTGGCCAGCGACGACCGTGGGCAGCCGTCTTTGCCCCGCGCTGTCGCACAAGTACCTTGGGCTGTCGGGTCGTTTGGCATTGCATCCCGTTATGACCAATCATACGACGCGCGATGTGTAACGCCCGATGCCATTGGCTAAAATCCGACATCCCTCGGTCGTAGTCCGTTGCCCACACGAGGAGATGCTGCGATGGACGTCCTCGGTCGTGGCCATGGCCCGCGCTGGCCCGCGCCGTAACTTCCGCCGCTATGGCACCATGTCGGCCTCAGACCTGCTCAAGGTTGCTGTCAACTCGCGCAACCAGGCGACGAGCATTATCACGAAGAACGCGACGCTGCAGACCGCCGTCGACAAGATGGCGTCGCACGTCAACTCGACAACGCTCATCGTCGTCGACGAAGAGAAGAAGGTCGTCGGCCTCTTGACGCAAAACAACATCATCTCGAGCATCGCCAAGCAAGGCGCGGCGTGGAAGGACCTCCCGGTACAAACGACATAGCGTGGCCAATGGATCAAACCCACGCGCCTCATAGGTCAAGGACGCGGCGATGCCGACCAAAGACATCATCCACGTCACGCCCGAAGACCCGCTCACGGTGGTATGTTCTTCTCTACTAGTCGTAAACGAGCGCGACAAGCACCTTCTGCGGCTAGTGCCGGGCAGTCATGACACAGTCCGGGCGCAGCGAGCTCCCCGTCATTTCAGGCGACAGCCTCCTCGGCATCATCTCCCTCGCAGGTATGTTCTATACCATTGCATCCGTCATGATAAGACCTTGGCCAGACATTGCTACGCTTATTTCCAGCACCGACTCGCAAGCTGACGGCGAAGCCCACAGGTACATCGTCACCGCATCGCGTGCGACTAAGCATGGTCTTGCCTAGTGCCAAGTCGGACTACATTCATCTGATTCTGCCGCGCAAGGGGCTGCCGAAGAACACGTCGGTTGCGAGCTCGGCCATGTACGCCACCCCAATCTCTCTTCCTCGCGCATTTAACGCGTTTTGCCCAGCGTCAAACCGACGCCGTGCACGCAATACTACTTGAACGCGTTTGCCATGTCGATCCCGCACCCGCAAAAGGTGGCCACGGGCGGCGAAGATGCGTATTTCATCGGCACGGAGCCGACACCGGCGCCAGCGACCACGCCGCTCGACGTGCTCTGCTTTGGTGTCGCGGACGGCGTCGGGTCATGGTTTGAGCAAGGCATTTCGGCTGGCAAGGTAGACCAACAGGACATTGGTCCCAAGGCATCTGACTCGAGTCTAGTACTCGCGCGAGCTCATGAAGGCGGCGCAGGCCGCCGCGCACGTCTCCGAGGCCAAAGACGCCCTTGTGCATCCATCTGAAGTGCTCCACGCCGCGTGGCTAAGCGTCAACCAAGTGAGTGATCTTCGTTCTGCTGCATCGATGTCTCATCCGATACTAGCACGCAATCGTCGGAAGTGCGACGGCTTGTGTTGTGAGCCTTGACCCGAGCCAGTGCGAGCTCTACGCCGTCAACCTCGGCGACTCGGGTATTCTATCCTATCTATCCTATCCGGTCGAGAGCTTATCGCGTGTAGGGTTTCTCATCATTCGCGACAAGGTACAAGACGCATGCAGCCACCACGATCTACGTTCGATCCATACTCAATCCCCACGTAGAAATCTGATCTCAAGTCGGCCGAGATGCGCGGGACGCTCGATGGCTCGCTTATGCGCAAGCTTGAGAACCGGGAGACCGACCTCACGCCTGCTGGGCGGCGCAAAGGCGCCCACGTCTCGTACCGGTCGCCGCAGCAGCTCCACTACTTCAACTGCCCGTTCCAGGTAGAGACGATCTTCTTGCATAGTGTCCATTCGAATTCGTGGTAAATAGCTCGGGTACTATGAGCCGGGACCGGACATGCCGTCGGGGTCGGGTCCGCTGTTCGAGACGCCGGCCGAGGCCGTCAACCTGCGGGTGCCAGTGATGGAGGGCGACCTTATCGTGCTGGCCACGGACGGTCTCTTTGACAATGTCGTACGTGTCTTACGGTCTATGCGGCGCTTCTCAGTTGTGCACAATATTGTCGTATAGAACGAAGACCAGCTGCTCGAGATCGTCGCGTCCGAGCCCGAAGGTAGTACCTGGTTCAGCTTTTTTCAGTATTGAAGCCGGCGTGTCTAGTCGAAGCGATGACCAAGAAGCTCGTCAAGCGTGCTTACGACCTCTCGCTCGACCGCACGATTGACTCGCCGTTTGCTCGCCTCGCAAAGGAGAACGACAAGATGTGGGGCGGCGGCATGCCGGATGACATCACCATCATCGTTGCCCGCGTCCTCAAGCGCGACATTTGCTGAGTTTAATTAGTCGATAATTGCCTCTTAGTCGATCCAGTGGCAATATATGCAGTGTCGATATTACATTCTGTCGCCTCTGCAGAGCAGCCGCAACCACTAGAACGACTAACTGTTGCTTCTCGAGTAGACATCACAGTCGATGGAACGGCTCCCAGCTATTCTTGGGTCAGCGTGATATCGAGGGCAGCATGAGCATTCGCGTCTACCACAAAGAGTTCTTCGAAGACCTCCAGCAAGATGCGCTCAAGAACAGTCGGAGGTAGTATTTCAGTCGAGTCGCTTTAGTCGCAACACTAGTAACATTCTAGTCCTTCGTCGCGCCCTGAGAAGACCAAGTCGGTACGATCCCGACTAACGTTGCGCTTCACTGGTGGTCATGCCGCCTGCTGTTCAGGCGAGTGGTCTTGGCTCGACCAGCACGTCCGACGTCTCGACTGCGACGCGCCAAGTACGTAGTCCGATCTCATCGCTATCCCAAACCTCGTTCTGGTTGTAGAAGCGGCTGCACATGAAGCACGAGATGTACCAAAGAGAACAGGAAGAGCTCCAGCGCAAGCTGCTGCTCACAATCGCAGACAACTTGGCCAAGGACCGCAACCGGCGCGAAGCCAAGTATCTACGTCTGCGCAGCGAGATTGACGTACTGGGATCCTACTAAGCTCCGCAGCGCCCACGATTCTCTCCTTGTAGGAAGGCAAGGCCCTCGCGTCCGAGCTCGAAGAGCGCCTCGTGCTCAAGGAAGAGTCGGAGAAGCGGCAGAAGCTGCGTCTCTACGACGAGTGGACGGAGAAAGTGTATAACAAACTCAACGTCCCCATCAACGACAAAGTCCGCGCCATGGTATAGCAACCCTCTCGATACGACGTCGTCGTACCTTGCAAATGCAGGACCCCAAGGCGCTCAACCAGCACAAGCAAGAGGCGTACCAGCGCTTCTTGGACGCGGCCAACAAGAAAGGCTGTCTCTTCCGCGACATTATCATCGAGAGCGACTACGACCCGCTGCACGACCACACGTACGTCAAGCACGTGGCCAAGATCGACGACCCGAGCCTCCGCGTCATCCGGAACCGCGACGAAGAGGTCCCTTCTTCTCTGTTGCTGGCGCCGAATGAAAAGCGCTGCGTAGGAAGCCATTGCGAACGAAGGTCGACACGATGGGAGCGACGCACTGGAGGGCGCCAAGCACAAGACACAGAGCTTAGGTCGCGCCGACAACCTCGACACAAAACTCTATGCGAGCGGGACGTTTGAGAGCACGCCGTACGGCTACTTCAACAAGATGATGAGCAGCACGCTCAGCGACGAAGGCTCCAAGACGTACGAGTCGCGCGTCAAGCTCGACCACTACCACATCGACAAGGTGCTGTAGCGACAAAACAATGGATTGATGACAATATTGCCCTAGACAACGGAGACGCTCAACGGCGAATTCCCCCGCGGCAAGCGCACTACCTTTGACCACGTCGATCGAAACGACAAGGTGCACTTGGGCTAAGACCATATCGACGGCGCATCTGCATGCATATGAAGACAATAATGTCGTCCGCACCATATATATATACTGCTTTGACAACGCTGCTAAATCCAAAAAGGCCCTCCAAGCCTATCCAAAAGGCTATCCAAATATCTATCCAAAAATTGAATCCAGGAGCTACAACTCAAGAGGCGAGCCGAAGTCGTCACTCCAAACACTATCCAGGCGCTCTTCTTGGCCTTCCGAGGTCATTCAGAGGTCCTTCAGTAGCCAAACACTACATGTAGTTAGATGGTGTATGCAGAGGCTATCCACTACCCAGAGGCCAAAGGCTCTAGCGAGCCGACTGCACTCGTACTATCTGCGAATCTCCACTACCCTAGTCCTCGTGCTGCATAGAAATGGCTAGGCCGCGTCCAGCGTCAGTCACAAGCGCCTCTAAATAGAGACAAAGAGCGCCGCCGAGTAGAATGGACCTCCTGCGATACTTGCTATTTCCTCTCTGTCGTTGGTTTGCATGACATTTTTGTCTTTTTCTATGGGCGGAAAAATTCTGTGTGCCCCGGGGCACGGCCTCGCGACTCGGCAAACGGCAAGCGACGCAAATACAGTATAAGCTTTGGAGGGCGAAAATTATAAAAATGCAAAAGACAATAAAAATAGATGGTGCCCACCACCGCAGGCGGGTTGCCGGTCGCGGCGACGCCGTCGACGGGTCCGCCGCCATCACCGCCGTCGCCGCCGCCGGAGGGCGACGTCTCGATGGACGACAAGGGCTCGGACGACGAGAGCTACCACAGCGGCAGCATGAGCACGTCCAACGACGAGAAGGCGCAAGGAAGCGGGAGCGGCTCGGATGATGATGGAAGCGAGCAAGAGATCGACTACAAGAACTTTACCGGATCGGCGCCGAGCCCGACGGCGCTGCCGATGAAGCGCGAGGTCCTCCCCGAGCACCTCGGCCCGCTCGAGATCCTGCGGTCCATGGTCGAAGTCGCGCAAGCCTGCAGCTTTCTCCGTGTGTTTGGCGCGGTGCTCAAGATCCCGCCGATCTCGCGCACGGTAGGTCGCCGCCTCTGACCGCGCGCCGCCCATCCGTCGCGGTCCCCTCTCTACCTTCGACGCTCTGGCTCGCATACGACCTGCGTCGTTTGAGTGGACGGGAAGACACGATGGCGACGGCGACGCCCGTCCTGACCATCGGCGCTCATGAGTGTCAAATTGGACTTAGGACCTCGAAATGGCGCTCATCCACGGCGAAGACGTCACGTCGGGCGCTGCGAATGCGATCCTTGCCGAGGTGCACTACCGGCTCTGTCGCGACGCGGGCCAAAAGATCGAAAAGGCCAAAATGTACTCCACGTATGGGCGCACACATGTCTCATGTTGCCACGTAGGTGCCACGAGTGGGAGCGTATCTTGCAGCGCAAGCTCGGCGACAGCAACAACTGGCAGCGCCACTTTGTCGTCAACCCAATGCCCGGCGAGTACAAGGACGTTGGTCTCCGCGAGCGCGTACGGTCCGCTCCATCTTCTTCTCTCCTGCATCCTCCTGCCTCTAGGCGCTCATCTTGCAATGGCTCTGCGAAGGCCGGTTGCAATCTTGCAGCGACATCCGCAAGCACGTGGCCGCGCTCTCGGCGCCAAGCAAAGACAAGGACGACGACGACAAGTTCAACCAGCTCGTACGCATGCCATGTATCAACTTGGTGGCATCTGACGTACGTAGCGGCCCGAGGCCCTTGGCGAGGACGACAACGGGTCTATTTATTGGTTCTTTCACGACGGCTGCTGGGTCTACGCCGAAGACAAGCCGCTTTGGCAGCGCGCTCCGGCGTACGTCCTTGTCCCGAGGGTCCTAAGGTCCTAAGGATGTGCATGTGATGGTAGATCGGTCAACTGCCACGTGCGGTACGCGACGCCCCACAAGCTGCGCATCTCGATGCAGTACGGGATCGAGAACAACGAGGGCATGGCGGCGATCCCGCTGCCGACAGACGAGTACGACGAGACTCTCGTGGGCGGCAGCCTCAAGCGCAAGCGCGACTCGTCGTCGTCTCGGAAAAAGGACAAGAAGGACAAGAAGAAGAAGAAGAAGAAGAAGAAGTCGTCGACGTCCGAGTCGGCGTCGAGGCGCAAGTCGTCGAGCCGCAAATCGTCGTCGTCGGCCAAGAAGCCTCGACTACACGAGGAGAACGAGCAGGAGGAGGACGCGGTCAAGCCACCGCTGCCCTCGATCCCAGAAGTGAATACCAAGTCGGAGCCCAAGGACGACGACGGCGCGCCAGAGACCCATGTGCTCTGCCACCTCTGCAACAAGCTCTACGACATGGCACTCCTGGACCCGCCGCTCCTCAAGAAGCCGCATGGCGACTGGAAGTGCTTTGAATGCCTCGTCAACGACGCCCGTGGGTGGCCACGCCGCCGGCAGCCGCGCCAAGCGCCACCGCCGCCGCCGGTCGTCGACCGAAAGAAGCCCAAGTCATCCTCATCGACCAAGTCGTCGTCGTCGTCCAAAGCGAAGAAGAAGAGCAGCAGCTCGTCAGTCAAGAAGTCGACGAGCAGCAACAGCTCCAAGAAGAAGAGCAGCTCCAAGAAGAAACACCACCACCACTCGTCGTACCCGCCCGAGTACAAGTACCTCCTCGAGATGTACAACACGCGCAAGCGTCAGCGCGACGCGCAAGAGGCTGAGAACCTTGCGATGGGCCTCCCTGATCCGCCGTCCGGCCCCAGCAATTGGCGCGTTGTCAGCATGACCGTCGACGGCCTGCGTCACGTGCTCGACACGCAGTTTGCTCTCGATGGCTCGGTCGCCCAGCAGCGGTACACCAAGCATTTGGTGTCCGGAGAGCGCAAACGACGTTGCTCTGTAGACTCAAGGGTCGCTTGATCCAAATCCTCAAGGCGGGCGAGGTTGCACAGGAAGCGATGGAGAAGAAGCAGCACCAGCAGCACTTGCTGTGGCAGATGCAGAGCCTTCCGCGCCGAGCCTCGTCGCGCATTGCGACCACGCGCATCAAATCACAAACGAGCGAGCACGACGACTCGGCCGTACGTGCTGCCACGTATCCCTCTACGATCTGATCCTATCGAGTAGGACGAGTCGTGGGACGAAAAGCCGTCGGAGCGCCTCGTGCGGCTCGCACGTCGCACGAGCAACAGCTCGGACAGCAGCCTCACGCCCGCCCAGCGGGAAGAGCAGGCCAAGCGCAAGTTGGCCATGGAGCGGTACAATATTGCGCTTCGATCTGGTCGGTTTGCTTAATCTGCATTGTGTAGGGCGCACCGCGCGTCCCGGCGGCAGCGCGAGTGGGACGACGACGACGACCAGAACGGCGGGTCGTCGGCCGACGAGTCGCGGCGCCACCGACGAACGCGCAGCACCCGCAGCCACTCGAGCTCTTCCGTCTCGACGTGGATCGACTGGTCGCAAGTCCAGTCGTCCGTGTACCCGCTGCACACGGTCTGCCTCGCGCTTGTCGACGCCATCATCAAGGAAGAAAAAGCGGTATCGCGCGATCCTACTCCATGAGCCTCTTTTGTGATCGCGTCCGTCTCGTCGTAGCCGCTGTTTACGCGCCCGGTCGACCCGATCGCCGATGGATGTCCGGACTACCTGCGCATTATCCAGCATCCGATGGACCTCGGTACGGTCAAGGCGCGAATCAAGGCGAGCTACTATGCCGTACGTGGACTGCCGGGAGAGAGGACGATACGACGATGATCTGTAGACGTGGACCAGCTTCAAGCACGACATGGACCTCATCTGGAGCAACTGCTGCACGTACAACTCGGAGGGCGCGCTGATTGTCGAGTATGCCAACGCACTGGAACGGGTCTGCGCCGGCTACGTCCTCGAGGCCGAGAAGCACGGCGTCGACGCCATGGCCGAAGACGACGCGACACGCAGCAGCGCGGCCAAGAGCAAGAGCGACGACGAGGAGGAGTACCATGCCAAGTCGGATGCCTCGAGCGACAATGACGACGATGACGACGACTCGAGCGACGACGATTCGAGCGATTCGAGTTCAAGCGATGCGCCGCCTCGCCGGCCAAAGCGCGTGGCCCCGCCCAAGCCGACGCCCAAGCCGACGCGCTCGATAGCGCGCCGAGCGCCGCCCAAGCCCAAAGCCAAGCCAGATGTCTGGGACAGCGACGAGTCGGACACGCCGGCCAAGAAGAAGCTGGTGGCGCGCCAAGCCAAGGCGCCGCTGATAACGCCGTTGCCGCCGCCCGTCACGTCAAAAACCAAGGCGGCAATGGCCATCGTTGCGCCGCGGCCGCGCAAGACCAAGACGATCAGCAGTAGCAGCAGCAGTAGCTCTAGCAGTAGTAGTTCGAGTTCGAGCGACTCGGACGCCAAGAAGCCGGCGAGTCCCGTGCCGCCGCCGCCGATGACGCCGCCGCCACCCCCGAAAGCGCCGTCGCCGCCGCCGCCGCCCGCATCGACGACGCACCACCGCAACGGTGCGCTCTCGGGCCACTCGGAAACCTTGTACCAGTCGTCGTCGTCTTCGTCGTACTTTTCGTCGTCGAGCAGTGACGACGACGACGACGACAGCAGCGACAGCAACGACAGCGAGTAACAAGCGCCTGCGTAAACGTGTAATTTTGCTCTCCAACACCACCTATCAAGTATCAACGTATCAAGTCGATACAAAAGACAAAAGCGATCGGATGTAGTATATAGAAAGGGGCAGATTACCACAGCAGCAGATACGTCCCAAGCAGAAAGAGCAGCAGCCACGCGACATTGGTCTTGGCCGCAAGGAATCGGAGGTTGACGCGAAACGTCTCGGTCGTCGGCGTCTGCAGCTTCTCGTCGAGCGTCGTCTTGCCTTCGTACGGGTTTGGCAAGCCCAAGAGCACGTTGATGGCCATCGAGAGCCGGTACAAGAGGCGCACGAGACACGGGATCTCGTACGACGAGATCGGCTTGAGCATCGGGTCGCCCACGTACGTCACCGCGTCCGTCGTGCAGAGGCGAAGGCCGTTGGCGACTTGGCGGCGCCCGGCGGCCGAGAGGAGCGCGAGGCCGTCCCGCGCTGGGTTGAGCGACGCCAGCGAAAACGTCGTGAGCGGGGTCGTCGTCACGACCGAGACGGGGACGTACGTCTCGGGAATGGCCAAGACGACGCGGAGGCGCGCGCCAACGCTGTCGATTTGGCTTTCCAGCGACGCGGTCGCGGCCGAGGTCGTAAACACGGCGTTCAAAAAGGTACTCGAGCTGCTGACGCGCGGGTGCACGTCCTTCATGTACTGCATCTTGTCGAGGAGGTGCTCGCCGTTGCGCCGAAAGTCGGCGAGGGACGGCGGCGTCGCCCCAAACTCGATGACGTGGCGCTGGAGCACGTGTGCTTCGGCGACCGACAACGATTCGGTCGCTGCGCGCGTTAGGAGCGCAAGCAGTTCGGGCGAGAAGAGGTCCAGCGCACGGCGGAGCAGGTCGAGACTGGTGGCGTCCCACTCCAAGTCCCGGGCCGCCGTGACAAAGACGCCAAAGAGGCCCGTGTAGAAATGCAGGTTCGCGAGCACATATGGCGTGTACGATGCGGAAAAGGTCGACGAAGTGGGCGAGGATGCGGCCCACTGCACGCACTGCCACGGCGCTAGGTACGCGAGCAAGACGTCGGCCAGCATGTAGAACGACGTCGGGTTGGTCGACGGCGTCGCGCGGCAAAAGCCGATTTGAAAAAAGTCGTACAATGGCTTTTGGAGCGTCTTGAGCACGACGTGCGTGCTCGGATGCAAGAGCAGCGGAATGTGGCTGTCCGACAGCACATGGACGAGCGTGAGGAGGAGCGCGCTGAGGACGTCGTCGGTCGGCGGCGTGTACTGGTCGAGGACCTTGGCGACGGTACCTTCGTACAAGACGTGGTTTTGGCGCAGCCAGAGCTCAATGAGGAGCGATAAGAAGAGCTCCATGCTCTGCTTCTGAGAGCTCTTGAAGCCGAGCTTCTCGGGCCCGTGCGGCAAGAACGTCGAGAGGTAGTACTGCAAGAGGACGTTGTACGGGTGACGTTCCGTGAGCATCGAGACACCGTTCGTCGAGAACGACCGCCATGCGTAGTTGGTCGTCGAGGCTACGGACGAAGACGAGGAGGACGGCGCGGACGTGGAGGTTGGCGTCGCGATCGGCCGCTTGAGCTTGGACGTCGAGACTGGGTACCGGAGGAGGCTAAAGAGAAAGTACGTCTGGATCGGGACCATGAGGCACTGCGTTTTGCCATTCATGCTCAGCGTCGACGTCGAGTAGAGTTTGGCTTGCATTGGCGGAATCTACATGCAGCATGCGATGGGGCCATGGTCGTGGGAAGGTCGACGTACGCCGCCGCTGTTGCGGATCTCGACCTGGGCTGGGTTGGGCAAGCACGTCAAGTCGAGGCGAAAACGCACGGCGTGCGAGATGTTGAAGACGAACTCGTACAGCGCCGTCTCAAAGAGCTGGACCAGCGCTTGGCCATGCTCGCCGAGATGGGCGTTCGGGCCTGTCGCGGGCTTGGCGACCGCCGACGTCGATGGCGACGGCTCGTGCAGCACGCCATACGACTGTGTCATCCATGCGCTCACCTTGGACGACGACGCTTGCTTTTCTTGCTCTTCGCCAAAGACGCGATCCAGGAAGCGCGGCAGGAACGCAAAGAACTTGCGCCGGCTCTCGACCGAGTGCAGGTGCAGTGGCGTCGAGAGCTCCGTCGAGAGCAGCTTCTGCAGGCGCAGGCAGGCGGCCGCAATCGTCATGGCGCCGGGCTCGCCCGCGCGGAGGAGCTCGTCGTACTTGAGCGTCTCCATCTCGGCCCTTCGGACGTCGCAAACTTTATGTGGGCGCTGGTCGACCAATATCACGGGCTAGAACATCCGGATAGCCGTCGACTATCCGGAGGATACGACCCGAGTACAATCGGCACATGCCGATTTCAAGCGATCCAATCCGACGACCGCGTCGAGTGTATTCGAGCCAATGGCATCGCGGCCATTATCTTGACTTTTGACCAATCCACGACGCGCAATTCAAATCCCAAAGCAAATTCAAATGGCATGCATTCCGGAAAAGGCGATGGAGACGCCGAAGACGATGCCGAGCCCCGCCGAGGCGCAGCGCGTCTTCGAGCTCACGCCCGTGTGCATCGGCCGCAGCCGCGACTGCGAGCTCTCGTTCTCGTCCGAGGCCGCGCTCTCGCGCAGCGTGAGCAAGAAGCACGCCAAGATATACCCGTGCCTCTTTGACAGCAACGACCAAGTCCGCTGGTTCATCAAGGACCTCGAGAGCAAGCATGGCACGTCCGTCAATGGCGATGAGCTCAAGCGCGGTACGTCGATCGAGATCTTCCACGGCGACGTCATCGTGCTCGCCAAGCACCTCAGCGACAGCTTTGAAATCAAGTGCTTCCTGGAAGGCCGTGGCAACTCGAAGATTGTCCTCGTGACCAAGAACCCGCTCAATCGGCAGCCCATGGTAGCGCCTACGAGCCCGCTCTCGTCGGCCGAGAAGCGCAAGCTGGCCAAAGACCCGCGCGAGCTCTCGGTGCAGAAGCGTTTCCGAACGCTCGAGCGCGAAGAGGCGACCAAGCCAGGCCTCGGCCAGTCGCCGCTCAAGTGCCCCGTCTGCTTCGAGTACTTTATCGAGTCGATGACGCTCTCGTGCTCGCACTCGTTTTGCGGCAGCTGCCTCCAGCACTGGCTCCTCAAGTCTCTGTCATGCCCCACCTGCCGTGTCGCCGTCACCTTGCTGCCTGTTCGGACACGAACCCTCGACGATCTCTGCCTCCAGCTCATCGACCCCTCGAGCGAAGCCTGGATCACGCGTCAAAAGGCGCACAAAGCCGAGCTAGATGCGCACCTTCGCAAAGCGCGCAAGATCCGCAAGCACTTTCTCGAGCTCCAAGGCCAGCCGTGGCCGACCATCTGGAACATTTGGCACTCGGCGCGCGACCGCGACGCCTTTGTTCAGAAGCTGGCAACCGCCACCGGCGTCGTCCGCGGCGCGTGGTGCGAAGCCGTCGGGCTCACTGAAGACGCGATTTGCACCCAGTCTCCAATCAAGCTCCTCAATGCACTCTGCAACGTGTTGCCGGAAGCGTGCTTTTCATCGATGGAAAGCTCCGAGATGCGCAGTCGGCTACGCCTCTTCCTCCACTACGGCTAACGCGCCGTCCCTTCTAGACCCACCTCAATAGACTCGCTGTTTTGTTTGTTCCAAAGATTTGAGCTCCTTGGCCTTCGATCGCCCTCCGCGGCCAGATGCATCTACCAGTGCTGCCATCGAGCCGCGTACCTTCGCATATTCAAGCATAAAGTCCATGCGCTGCTTGCGCCATCTTCTCCTGCGCTAAGACCATCGTCGACGTCGACTTGTACGGAAAACATGGCGGCAACGCCGGTTGTCGTGGCATTGGCGCGTCGTCACCGTATCCGGACGCGGGGTTTGGACGTTGTTACTTTTGGTATTGTGGTATCCGGATGGTTGGGGCCATACAAACACTCAATGGGATTGGGCACAGAAACACGTCCGGATACGGATGGTATATCCGGATGATAAAATACGTATATTTAATGTGCAATACAATTCGGTAGTGTAGCAGCCAGAAAGCGTTTGGAATGCCCCGCAGCACGTGCTGCAAAACGCGAATCTCAACCTGGGCCGGATGAGCAGCATGGTGGAGCTCGAGCGGACGATCACGGACGACGACGACGTGCATGTGGCGGTCGTCGACGACGGCGCCGAGACCGAGGACGTCGAGCTTGACGAGGACGATCCGCTCTCGGTGCTCGGGAAGCGACCCCATGAGGACACGGACGACGCGTCGCCGCAGGGCAAGCGCCTGCGCAAGGACGCTGTGGACGTGATCGACCTCGGCGACGACGATGATGACGACGACGACGACGACGACGATGACGAAGACGATGACGACGAAGACCGCCATGTGGTCTCAGCGAGCCCGCATCGCCCGTTCTCGAAAAACGATGCGAAGAACTTCAACATGAAGAACGCCAAGGCCAGCGGCGCTGCGTACAAGCAGGCGCAAGCCCCGCTCAGCACGCATTCGCCGAGCATCCAGCGCTTGCTCGACTCGATTGACAGCAAGACCAAAATGGAGCTCTTCTCGGACGCGTTGGAAACGTACGGCAACGACCTCTTCCACGGCCACGAGTCGTGGCGGGACCAGCTCTTGATCAAAGCGTGCCGGCTCGACCCGTCGTTTGTGACGACGATCACGGAACTCGCGCGCCCGAGCGGTGCGTACAACTCGCCCTTGGTGCTCAGCGGCGAAGAGGACGAGGCGGACGTGGAAGACGACGACGACGACGACGACGATACGAGCAGCGTCGAGATCATCGAGCCGCAGGAGCAAGAGATCGCACACTCGGGCGAAGATGACGACGACGACGGGCTGAACCTCGTGTCGGGGGACGACGACGAGTTGAACCTGGGCGACTTTTTACCGTAATAAGTTAAGCGATGGCGTCGATTCGCGTTGCTCATCGACAGACAACCAGCCACGGCCAAGCACGAGCGTCGCAGTACACGGCCCATCGATCCCTACCCGCCACCGAGAACATCGATCCTTCGAGGTCGCAAAGGTTGCGATGTCCATGGCCTCCCCAGTGACGCTTCACGCCTGTGTGTTTCTTGACTGCAACCCCGAGCCTCGTCTTCTGGGATCCTGACCGACACTATCGTCAAGCGGTTCAGCCGCAAGAGAGCTATCGTGAGCCATTGCGTCCGGCCGTCAATGCAGCGACGCATCATCGTGTACGGGTATGATCTTGAGGTATACCAGCGCCAACCAACGCGTCCCGAGACAGCATAAATCGCCCTTGCAAAACAATAATGTACAGCGCTTTAGACCAAGTCGGTGGTCGCCTTCCGGCGGTGAGCAGTTGCTTGCACATTGCCAGGTCGTTTGCACTTTGCCAGGTACACTGGTACTAGCACTCGTAAACGCCTGCAGCGAAGCGATTGCTTTTGGGCTTGCCGGCGTGCTATGCGTCAACTCACGCGACCCCTGACAAGCGTACTCATTCCACAGTGCGGCGCGAGGAAAGCTCGGAGGCGACACGGGCGTCCTCCCAGCCGTCCCTCACAGAGTCCCAGAGGCGCGGGCAGCTGCATACGCACGTAGTCAACTGGCTTTGCTACGATCGCTTGACCTTTTGCATGCTTCGTCGCCCATCCTCGTTGCGGCTGACGCGAGCGTAATGACTTGGTCTGCGCGAGCCAATCGAAGGCCGCGCCACTGTGTGTCGGGCTTTCTATGTGAGGTTGCGATAACGAATTGAGTTTTTGTCCAGTCTCGCTTCTCAATTGAGTTTGACAGTGACGTGGCACGGACGCCGCCAAGAGCTGCTCGGGTACCCAAGGAGCTTACCCCAGTTTGCAACCCTCCACGCCACTCCTCTCTACAAGAGGAGATGTACCCAACGATGGGAACATGGCTCCTGGCTGCGACGTAGCAATACCTTTGACGACGTCCCTGCGGTTGATGACTGTCAACGCTGCTGTGGCTCGCCCGTGCGTCATCAACGATGTGCAGGGCGTAGGACTGGGACGTTCGGCCCATCAAATAGCGCCGCGCGTCGACGTTATCAGTCATGAAGAGTACATACAGTACGTATTGTCTTCGCCGGTGCTACCTGGCCGCACCCACGGTTCAGACCGCGCCTGGATGTCGAGTTCGCCGGTATCACGCCCTCGCATGGGTACCCGGCCGCACCTACTAGTACAGATGCACGAGGTATGAGTTCATGCAAGCTAAGATAGCAGCCAAGATGTACATCGTTCTGGCACTCTGCAGGAGGTGCTGCCTGCTGTGAGCATGGTTGAAGTTGGATACTTGCCCTGAAACTCAAACTCAAGTCGTCTTGAACAGGAGACGCGTGGGACAGTTGCAATGAATTTTTTGGGGCCGCCAATACAAAGCCCAAGTGCTTTCGTCGACTCAGAGCCAGTCGCAGTAACAAACACATGCGCTAGCACCGCTCTGGATCAACGCATGTCCAGAAGCCAAACCCCATCGATGCCGGAGCGCTTCACCTTCTCGATGCTGCCGCGGCTAGGCCGGCGCCGGCCCTCGGATGGTGCATCAGTCGAGCCCTCCGATGCGTCGCACACGGCCGAGCACGACGGCGACGACGACGACGAGGGCGAGTTTGAGGACCTCGAGACGCCGCCGCCTCTGCCGCCAGCCTTCCACAGCAACAACGCCAACGCGCGCTTCTCGGCGGCGCCGCCGAGCTGGGACGTTCGCCGCAAGACGCTCGTCACCGACATTGGCGACCATGGCGTCACGTCGCTGCGGTACACGTCGATGAAGCACATGAGCGCGCCCGCGACGGCGACCACGTCCCATGAGCCGTTCTCGTTTCGCAAGTTTCTGCATGCGCGTGGCAATGAAGAGCATTTGCAGGAGCTATCAACTGCGCGCCGGCGCCACGTCCACCCGATCGACGAGGCGAGCGACGAGCCGATCGCGCGGTACCTCCAAGAGCAGCAGCGCTACACGTTTGCGATCATTCTCCGCAACACGTGCCAGGTCAAAGATCACTTGCAGAAGACGCGGACCGCGTACCGGTCGCAGCCGTACGCCGACTTGACGGCGCAGGTCGGCGCACTCCACGAGAAGATCTGCCGGCGGCTCGTGCAGGCCGGGCTCGGCGTCATCCTCCTCGACAACGACTCGCGCTTCGAGGACGTGGACTTCAACATGACGCCGCAGATGCGCCACTTTGCGCACACGGACAACGTTTGCATTTTGATTGATCCGTACAAGGACAAGGACCTCCTCGCCGAAGAGTTCAAGCGCGAGAAGGACGAGTGGGCGATCAAGCAGGGCAAAGCGTCGTCGCGGCTCAGCGAGAACTCGCACTTGACGACCGACCTCTCGTTCTCGCCGGCGCTCGAGCTGCAATTGACGCAGAACATCATCCAGAACGCCCTGCGCGAGTACGACACGGAGGCGTGGGTGCTCGACATGCAGAACGCGCTCTCGGTGCACGACGTCATCGAGTCGATCTTCCCGCTGCACGACCGCGTCTTCAACGAAGAGTTCTTTGCCGAGTACCGGAAGCGAACATTTGCCTTCTCGGTCACCAAGGCGACCCGCGGCAACTCGGAGCGCTGGGCGATCGAAGAGCTCCGGTTCCATTTTGGCGAGCGCGTCGCGTTCCTCTTCGCCTTCATGCACATTTACTCCAAGCTCTTATTGCCGCTCATGGCCGTCTTTGTCGTCTACTACTTGGCGCTCCGGTTCCTCTCGGGGGCCGTGTGGCAAGCGTACATCCAAGGCCTCGCGGTGCTCGCCTTCCTCGCGTCCGCGATCTGGGCGCCGACGTTCCTCGTCATGTGGCAGCGCGAGACGCGGCTCCTCGTCGAGAAGTGGAACATTGGCAACGACATCAAGAACAAAGAGTCGGCGTTTGATGTCAACGATGAGAACCCGCTCTTTCAGTACAAGTGGCAGCTCAACCCGCTCACCAACAAGATGGACAAGATGCCAATATCCCGCAAGAAGACGGTCATCCAAGCCGTCATGTTTGGGTTCGTCGGCGCCTCCGTGGTCCTTCAGAGCCTCTTTACGCTGCCGTTCATCCAGTGGTACGTCTTTGCCAAGACGGTCGCGACCTGCGACGAGTGCAAGACGGCGGCGCTGACGTCGTCGACGCCGTCCGTGTGCGTGGCCATGATCAACTGCTTCAACTCGCCAACGTCCGCGCTCGGCACGGACCGGTGGTTCTACATCCTTCTCCAAGGCGCGGCGCTCGGGCTCCTCATCGACATTGTCTTCTTCGAGCTCTTCAATTGGCTCTCGGCGAAATTTGTCGAGTGGGAAAACTACGCGTGGAAGTCCGAGTACGAAGCGCGCTTGATCCAACGGCGCTTCCTCTTTGTATGGATGAACTGGTTCTTTTGGTTTCTCTTCCTCGCGTTCGTGTACCTTCCGTTTGGCGAGCAAGCGATCAAGTACCTCGCGTCGGACGCGCCGACGGTCCCGGACGCTGTCCGAAGCGTCTTCAAGCTCATTCAGTGGAACGCCTCGGTGCTGACGCTCGACACGCTCTTTGTCACACCGCTCGTCATCACCCAAGTGCTCAACATGCTCATGGAGACCATCATCCCGTACCTCGTGCGCAAGTGCCGGGGCAAGCCGATCCACTTCCGCAACTCGTGTCTGCGGGGCATGACGACGCAGACCGCCCACTGGTTTTGCACGCGCGCGCTCACAGCACCGAGCGTGACGACCAACAAGAGCGCACGGACACTGGCGAGTGCGATCTCGTCGTCGACGCGCTTCTTCATCCCGACCATGTTCTTCTCGGACGACTCGAATGGGTACACGGCGTACAACATCGTCGCCGAGTCGAAGCTCACCGAGTTTGACCCGACGTTCGACTACCTCGACGCTGCGATTCAGTTTTCATATGTTGTCATGTTCACGGTCGTCTGGCCGCTGCTGCCATTTCCTGCGTTCCTCAACAACGTGCTCGAAGTCCGCGGCGACGCGTTCCGCCTCCTCTTTGTCAACCGCCGGCCGATGCCACGCCGCGACACGTCGATCGGCGAGTGGGCGACCGTCCTCTCGTACGCCAACATAATCGGCATCACGGTCGTCGCCGGTCTCATTGCCGTCTACCACTTTCCGTACTTTGTGACGTCATGCAACTTTGCCTTTGACGCGGCGGTCATGGTGCCAATGCAGTCGATCCCGTTCGAGCTGAGCACGAATGCGACGGCGTGTGGGTCGGAGATGCGGTCGCAGAGCTGGGTCATGCCCCAAGTGATCGTCTTCGTCTTGCTCGAGCACCTCGCGTTCTGCCTCCGGTACCTCGTCTTGCAGTTTGATCGCATGCCGTCGCGCATTGGCAATGCAAGCTACCAGCGGCTCAAGCAGATCGAGACGCTCGGCGTGTCCAAGTCGGCGTACGCCGAGCAATTCGAGTGTCTCCGCCAAATGCGCTTGGTCTTTGACAAGTACGACGTGCATGGCGCCGACCAGCTCCGGTCGCCCGAAGTCCTCCAGCTCTTTGTCGCCGAGTGGGTCGCGAAGCCGCCGTCGCAAATGCTCTCGGCCAACCTCTTGTTTCAGTACATGGACAAGAACGAGCTGGGGTATGTGAGCTTCTCGACGGTCTGCCTCCTCCTCATGCACGTGCACCACGACCGGTTCCTCTCGCGCCTCCTTGGGATTTCCGACTGGATGGAAGACTTTCAGAGCGCAGGCATCCAAGCCGCCGACTATGACGCCAAGCTCTCGAGCGACGAGTGGGACCCAAAGGTCCATGGCCACGACCTCGCTGCGTAACAATCGATCAAACAACACAGGGCCGTATATATGTAATACTTGGTGGTGGTCAGTGCGACGCTGCTGCGAGCGCGGCCTGGGCGGTCGCGGCGCGCGACGCGGTCGTCACGATCTGCGTCAGTGCTAGTAGATCCAGGCATTAGATCGACCGGCTCGAGTGATAAGAAGCACCTTTGAGGAATTGTTGCTGGGCAGAGCGCAGCTCGTGCGACGGCAGTGGCGCAAACCAAAAGATTGGTGTTGGCATGGCCGGCGCTGTCGACGCAGGCAGCGTGGCTGCCGGCTTGGCGTGTGCATGGCGGTGTCGCAGCGTCGGCTCCGCGACAGGCGCCTCGTCGGTGGCCCACGAGACGTTCTTTTGGATGCTGTAGTCAGCAGTGTCCGACACGTCGACGGCCGTGTCGGCGGTAAAGAGCTCGCGGAACGCCACGGATGAGAGCGTCTCGGGCGGAAGGCTTCGCCGGGCGAACGAGAGCTTGAAGAAGGCCTGGCGAAGGGCGTCGGCCGACGCCGCAGCGGCCTCTTCGTAGTTAGCGGCGGCTTCGATCACGGCCAAGAGCCGCTCGTCCTCGTCGGCCATGCTGGTGCTGCCAACCGCAAACCAAACCGCAAATCGTTGGCAGCACGGTTGGGTGGCACTAGAAACACCCAATTGCACATACACAACGATGGGACGGTCGCCATCACACCCAAGTTTCGTTTGGGTGTTTCTATCCAGATTCGACAGCGTACTTTATTGGACACTATCTACCACCCAGGTGACTAATGCGCACTTTATCGGGTGCCTCTCGCAGCCATGCAACGCAGGCAGTATAAAAGTGGTCGCCGCCTCGGCTAAGTACGGCTTCTCTCCCGTATACGTACGGACTAAGTACGCCTTTCAAAGTTGTCGACTTGTGTTTACCAGTCAGTTTGCAATCGCCGAGTTCCTCCGCAAGTAGTAAAAATGGCCCACCGCGCTAAAGCCACGACGTTCGCCCAGGCCTGGCTCCGTGACACGGCCGCGTGGCCGGTCATCGGCGTCATTGTCGGCGCCTGCGCCCTCGCCGGCGGCGCCTCGGTCCGCTACCTCACGAGCTGCCCGCACGTGCACTGGAGCAAGGAGAACCGCGGCAGCCCGGTCCGTGACAACGTCAACGAGACGAGCTGGAACTCGCACCGCAACCCGATCCGCCTCATGAGCGACAACCGCATCAACACCTTCCAGGAGCAGTCGCGCCAGTAGAGTGTCTTTGATCGCCAGATCGAGTCGTCCGCCCACGAGTGCGACGGACGCCATTGGTTTGGCCGATTGCGTATTTTAAAAGCCCAAATCGAGTTGTATTGGTTCATAGTATGCCACGCGTATTGTCATAGCAAGTGATGTGGACGGAGCAAGTTGCCAAGTGAACGGGGCCGAAGCTTCGAGGTGCATACAAAGTGCTTGTTTATGTAGTTCCCTCTTCTATGCAGCGATGGCCCGTGTCTCTGACGCACGCCACGCGGCTATGCAGCAACGTTGATGGTGGCGAAGCGCTCATGGTGAAGCACGCACATCCGACCGACGACGGCCCATCACGGTTTAAGGCTACCATGCTGCCGATACATGCGGCGGGCCACGTTGGTAGCAGCGCGATAGGCAAGATTCTCGAGAAGAACCCTTCTCTTCTAGTGGATGGGACCTGCGGCGCAGCACGAGGGCTTGCATCATGCAGAGGTTGTCCCTTCCGGTGGGATCGGGCTGTGGTAGACGAGGCAATCACCAACGGGATACTACTGCCGTTTCGAGAAGGTCTCTTTGCCGAGGCGTGCAGGCGGAGATCTAGTATGTTGCGCTGAGGACAGGAACGTACTCGTCAACCAGTTACCTGTGCGTCGACCGTTGTCTTCACTACTACAGTAGTAACGTTAGACCAGACTAGACCTGACGTTAGACTGTAGTATGTGTACGTGTGAATAACCTGAGGCCTGGGGCTTGATGCTGAATACCCAAGCGATGTGCCTCTTCCAAATGATGCACGCCCTGCGCCACGATGCCTGGCTTCGTGACCACTTCGTCCCGGCGTGCGCCATCCACACGCCTCGCCTTCAACACGGCTAAGCCTCGCCGCTGCTGCCGTCTAGCTCTGAATCGAAAGTCTACCCCCCCAAAAAACAGTTCAGTGTAAATTATATCTACATAGACTCACTTCAACAACGACCTGAGGCCTGGGGAAGCTTGGAGGTGAACAGTGTCAACGCTAGAGCCAATCGATGTCATGCTGCAGAGTTCGAGTCTTTGTGTGTTGTAGGAGACAGTTTGAACCGCCGAGTACATCCGTTGGCGCTCTTCTTGTTGAGAGTAAGGATTTCCTCAAGCGGGCGTTAATCACGCAGCAATACCAACCTGCTGTGGGCGTTTGGGAGCCTGCGCGTTGGCATTGACCAACGAAAGAAGAGAATTCCCGTTATCTTGACTTATTGCTTTGATGCATCCGAGCGTGCTAATACAGGTTAAGTTAGCAAGAAGGTCGCTCTCGACGACGAGGGATGTATCATGTCCTACTCCCCAAGGAATCAAATTCTATCTCTAACGAGACAATTCCGCAACTTGACACAGGATAGGATGCCAGCGCTCGCCGCTTTTCTGTGATTTGATTCTACAAACGAGCGCAAAGGACGTCGTTTCGATACTGTACCGGTAGTCTTGGCTTGATCGACCGTATCGACGCAGGTGCAGTGGATAGAATGCACCATGCAGTTTGGTCGCTTTGACAATCTCTCGCTGCGTTGGCCAATCCGAGGGCAACATGGCTTGATACTTCGATGCAAACTTGATTCTGTCTGCACACACTGGCAAAAATCAGGTTTGTCGCCAAGTATCAAGTCGCTAGCGCGAGCTGATTCGCCCGTCCTGCGGATCCGGATAAGCGTCGTGGTGCAATGTGGGATCGCATTTGGCAACTCATGTGCAACAGCGATCAACCACCCGCCGCGCCGAGCGCCGTCCTGCAGCCTGGCATCATCGAGGCCATTTCGCCATACATTTCCAGGTCCTCCGACGTCTTAGATTTCCTCGACGCCGTTCCTCCCGCTCTCATGACACGGACGACCGCTGCGACCGCCGCCTTTTGGCGCATCGCGCCTGTCGGCATGACGCTCGCGTGGCCCGTTTTAACGTGCGGCGACGACGCGTCGACCAACCCGCTTCCCGTGCTCCAGGAGCTCCGACAGCTTGTGGCACTCGGGCTGCGCGTCGAGCTCCGTCAGCGCGCGACGCGGCGCCACCACCTCGAGCTCTTCCACGCGCTGTATGCTGGTAACATTACCCTCGTGACTCTCCAGCTCGCGCGTGACCGGGAGTTCGAGCTTGGCGATTGCGAGACACTCGTGGACCTCACGCTCTCGTTGCCAGCGCTCACGTCGCTTATACTCCACGTGCCCAACGCCGACGTGACGGCGCCAATCATGCAACACGCCGTGCAGCGCCTTGTCGCCAGCACCTCCGTGACCTCTCTGCAGCTCCAGATCGACCCAAGCGCGAATGCGCACCTTGAGTTTGCGCCGGCCCTCGCCACGTGGCTGCGCCAGGCGAATGACCCCGGCTGCCGTCGCCTCGTGCTGGACGCCCCGCTCGTGCACGACCAATCGACGCTCGAGCCCGACGAGTTACACGACGTCCTCGACGCGTTGAGCGCCTCGTCGCTGCAAGAGCTCGACGTGCACCGTCGGTGTCGTCTCGGCACTCTGCGGTACCTTGTGCTTCCGAGAGGTCTGCGCCGCCTCCGCTGGCACGTTGCCACCGACGACGCCATGGCGTTGAATGCATTCGCACTCGCCCTTGTCGACCTCGAGTGCCTCGACTACCTCGACACCAACGCCATCGACGCGCTCCAGCACGACCCGCGCTTGCAACCGCTCTTGGCCCGCGTGGTTGTCCCGCACCGGCGAAAGCGCTGCAAGAAGCCGTAGTAGTAGTTGAACAAGCTCAGCAGAAGTGGTGGACAAGGCTAAATTTCTATATTAATATGGCAATCACAACTCGGACGACGACGGTGCAGGCAAGCAGCTTACATCATGCCACCCATGCCGCCCATGCCGCCCATACCGCCCATACCGCCCATGGCCGGGGCGCCGCCCTCGGCCGGCAAGTCGGCGATGAGGGCCTCGGCCGTCATCATGAGCGAGGCGACCGACGAGGCGTCGACGAGGCCCGTGCGAACGACCTTGGTCGGGTCAATGATACCGGCTTCGACCATGTCGACGTACTCGCTCGTCTGCGCGTTGAAGCCAAACGTGGGCGACGACTGCTCGAGGAGCTTGCCGACAATCACGGCGCCTTCCTCGCCGGCGTTCTTGGCGATCTGGGTGACCGTAGCGCGGCAAGCGCGCTCGATGATCTGGACGCCGACCTTCTGGTCCATGTTGGCGCACTTCTCGTAGAGCGACGGCAGCTTGCGCGACGACCAGAGGAGCGCGGTACCGCCACCCGGGACGATGCCTTCTTCGACGGCGGCGCGCGTGGCGTTGAGGGCATCGACGACGCGGTCCTTCTTCTCGCCGACTTCGACTTCGCTGGCACCGCCGACCTTGATGACGGCAATTCCGCCACCGAGCTTGGCAAGGCGCTCCTGGAGCTTCTCCTTCTCGTAGTCGGACGTCGTCGAGGCGATCGAGTCCTTGAGGAGGAGGCAGCGCTCCTCAATGGCTTCCTTCGAGCCTTCGCCGTGCAAGATCAGCGTATCGTCCTTGGTGATCGTGATCTTCTTGGCGCAACCGAGGAGGTCCGGCGTCGCGTTGTCGAGGCGGATGCCAACGTCCTCCGAGACAACCTTGGCGCCCGTGAGGACAGCCATATCCTGAAGGCCAGCCTTGCGGTTGTCGCCGAAGCCCGGGGCCTTGACGGCGCAGACCTTGATACCGGCACGGATGCGGTTGAGGATCAAGGCGGCGAGGGCCTCCGACTCGACATCTTCGGCGATGATGAGAAGCGGGCGCGACTGCTTGTAGACGAATTCGAGCAACGGCGCGATGGCAGCGGCCGACGACACCTTCTTCTCGACGAGGAGGATGTACGGGTTCTCAAGCTCGCACGCCTGCGTCTTGGTGTTGGTGACGAAGTAGGGCGAGATGTAACCGCGGTCAAACTTCATGCCCTCGACAACCTCGAGCTCGTTGTAGAGCGTCTTGCCGTCCTGGACGGTGATGACACCTTCGCGGCCGACACGCTCCATGGCGTCCGAGATCAAGTCACCAATCTCCTTCTCGCTGTTGGCCGAGATCGTGGCAACCTGGGCGACCTTCTCCTTGTCGTCAATGTCCTGCGAGAGCGTAGCGAGCTCGGCAACGACAAAGTCGACGGCCATCTGGATACCGCGGCGGAGGTCCTGGGGGTTCATGCCGGCGGCGACCGACTTGCAGCCCTCGCTGTAGATAGCGCGCGTGAGGACCGTGGCTGACGTGGTACCGTCACCGGCAGCGTCGTTCGTGTTGTTGGCGACCTGGCGGAGGAGCTGGGCACCCATGTTCTCAAACTTGTCCTTGAACTCAATGTTCTTGGCGACCGTCACACCATCCTTGGTGATCTTCGGGGCGCCGTAGGCCTGGTCAATGACCACGTTGCGGCCCTTGGGGCCGAGCGTGACCTGGACGGCGTCCGCGAGCTGGTCAGCACCCTTGAGCATCAAGGCGCGACCCTCGACGCCGAAGCGGATGTCCTTGCCCGACGAGAAGAAGCGCTTGGAGGCAGCGCGGGACATTTGCTTGGAGAGCATCTTTGTGGTTGAGTGATCCGGTGGAGGAAAATTGCAAACTGCGCTGCAACTTGCGGCTTCAAACCCTGTTGACGCAGCATACAAAACCCAAGACAAATGGCAGCTGGACTTCTAGAAAAGTCACTTGGTTCGGGGCAACTCCGAGATCGAGATGACGCTGTTCGCCGGCCGTGGCCTCAAAGAGGCCTTCACCAGAGATGCATACAAGGTGCAGGAAGGGCTCGACGAAGCGGCGTCCCATGCAAGAGACGCCAAGCTGGTCGTCGGCGAGGGACCGCCGGGCCACTCGTTCCCTTGTCGCGGGCCGCACATGAATCCCTGGCATGCCATTGGCTGATATTGCAGATGCGCCACCACGTTGACGCGATGCCATTGGTCCAAATGCGAGACAGTCTAGAAAATCCACGGTTGAACTTGGTGTTCGTGAAGATTCTTGGAGAAGATTTGCCGTCGGCTTCATCTTGCGGCAGATGCAATTTCCTAGGAACGACGACCGCTTCAACATCCGCAGGGCCTCGCGACTAAAGCCAGCACCGATCGTTCGGACGCTTGACAAGGATCACCGCCTCTTGGATGTCGCCGACGGCGTGGTCATGCGCTCAAGCAAGCAGTGAATGATATGTGGCCACAGCTTCAACTGGGCGATCCCTGCGCGCCGCCAAGCTCGGCCGTGGCTGCATGTTGGCAAGGACGGTGCAGGACATTGATAGCACTTGGAGCAGCGATAAGTGCACGTCTGGCTCACATTGCCAAGCTGGCATACCGGTATATCGACGAGGGTTGCACAGGTGGACGTCGCTGACACAGCTTCAAGTGACGTGGCTGCTGCACGAGGCAGTACGGTCGATGAAGGAGCCCACCAGGAGACGTGCTCTGAGGAGCCGAGTGATATCGTTGAGGAGAGTACAGACTAGCTAGCTTGAAGGGATACGAGGAGCAGGACCGTGGGAACCAACGACTCCAGTCGGACGCGTCCGGCAAAGAAGGCGAGGGAAGCCGACGACGTCTTCCTCGCAGGGAAAACGCAACAAAAGTAGGCGTGGTGGAATAATTAGTTCATTTGAAAAGACCGACGATGACTCGATACGGTACTGCGTTCCTAGACTTGTAGAGGTTTACATGGACGTGAGGAGCTTCTCGACGGCCGCGTTCTCGTCGCCTTTGGTCTCAGCGAGCGCGCGCTTGACGAGGTCCTAGATACCATTGAATGAGCGTGATTGCGTTGGTGAGAGAAATGAAGGAGGGTCACCTTGGGGAACCCCATATCGCAGAGGCGCGTGACGGCTTCCGACTCCGAGTCCTTGCCCATGGCATAGGACTCTGTCCAGAAGGCTGCGGTCGAGTCGAACCGCGCCTTGTCGTTGATGTACATCTTGGCCACTTCAGCGTCCTGACAGCACCACGTGGAATAAGCATCATGCTAAGAAAGGATGGCAACCAACCTGCGGGTCCGTGGGCTCGGCCGCCGACAAGAGCGCTTGGATCGACAAGAGCGTCGTCTTGATCGTCAGCGCGGGCGACCACGCGTCCTTGAGCACGTCCTACCAAAAGCGTATCTATAAGCAGGCGATCGCCATGGGCTTGCAGGCGTACCAAGCAGATGGCGCCCGTCTGCGACGACACGTTGGGATGCCAGACCTTGGTCTCGAAGCGGACCTTCGGCGGCTCGAACGGGTACGTCTTCGGGATGCTGATCTCGAGGACGAACGTGCCGTTGGCGTACGGCGTGCCCTCGGGGCCGCGAATCGTGCCCACGAGCGCGTCAAAGACGCCGGGCTGGCGCGCATGCGCCGAGACGCCCGAGGTGTCGACGTCCTTCTGGCACTCTTCCAGCTCCTTGCGGATACGTCCAGGTCCTACGCAGCGCCATGAGCACCGGGCGATGGGCCTCGTTCGTTGCGTCTACTACCTGCCATCCTTGCTGACTTCGTTCTTTTCGCAATGGGCTGTTCAGTGTATTTTTCTAGCCTTTAAATACACTTGGTGTTTGTATGCCACACCAACCGACGTTGGATCAAAATGGCGTCGTCGGTCGGGGATAAAAACACGCCATTTTACCACCGACCCACCAACATCCCAGGAGCACGAGCGCCTGCAGAGTACACTACCTCGTCGAGCGCTGTCGACTATCTCTTTACTCACAGTACCTTCTATAGCGCCCTGGTGCATGCGAGATACACTAGCGTTTTGCCGCTCTGGCGCGGCAAACGTTGCGTCGAAATAGACTGCGCACGCTCGGTGCCTTTTAGGACAAGCACAGACCACGACGCTCGCCCTCTGCTTGCTACTACTCGTCGCCTCCATATTCGCATCAACGAAGCGTCATGAGCCCAAGCCAGATGCGATGGGTCAGGAGGCCTCCTTTGACGGCACCGCCGAGACGATCCGACGACATATCGTTTCGAGTGGGTCTCTCCGTGCGCAGCTCACTCGGAACGAGCAAGTGCTAGCGCCGACTTGCACGCGGTCAGGCGTCTGCCACGTCAACGCGTTCGTTCTTGCGACGTTGTTTGCAACGCGAACACGTTATAGTAGTTGCATTCATAGCTTAGTTGCGCTCCCCGACTTGGCAAAAGGGAAATTTTTCGGCGCCGTTGACAAACTCGCGGTGGTGGACGGGCGCAAAGAGGTGGAAGGTCGCCATATTGGTTTGAATGTTGCCGATCGCATGGACCGTTGCGTAGACGCTGAGGAGTGCGCTCGAGAATATCACAAAGTACGCAAATGCGCGCGTGCACCCGCTCAGGTAGCTGCCGTCGTGAGGCACCATGCGGAGGTAGCACACGCACGGCATGATCATACACGGCAGCGTCACGGTCGTCGCGCCAATGAGCGAGAGGATGTCGGCAAACGAGCTCTGGAGCATGATCGCGACAAAGCACTGGACAGCCACAATCAGCGTCCGCAGGACGACGCGACAGGCGAGTTCGCGCTTTGTAAACCCCACGTCATCATGACTCACCATAGCCTCCTTCTACATCGTATCCATAAACTCTGCATTGGCCAAGGGAGTCTACCTCGTTGACCGGCTTGTAGACATGTGTCGACGTTATGTCATTCTCGTCGTCTCGTACCGGCGACGACGGTGCGCTGTGCCCGAGGAGCGCGGTGGTATCTTCGCCGACTAGAACCCCCGGTGCGTCGGCGTCCTTCCCAAAGACCTTGCGCTCGAGCACAAACAGTGTGGGCGTTAGAATGACGGGGTATGCGACCATGATGTGCAGTAGCATCGCGCTGGTCGCGAGCGTCTTGGTGAGACCCCGGGGCATGCTTTCGAGAAGCGTCGCGGGCGCGGTGCAGCCGAGTTGAAAGTACGTGACCGACCCGATGCCAATGTAGAGACACGTGATAGCAATTAGCGTCGCACTGAGCACAAGTACAAAGCGTCCGACGTCCTTGTCTCGGCGCTGGCGGTGCAAGGGTGGCACGAGCAATGCTGTCCCAAACGCAAACATGATGGTGCCGTACGCCGAGAGGACGCCAGAGAACGTCACGGCCGTCTCGCGCGGCGCCATTGGATGCAGCGTGAGGTTGACGTAGAGCGCGGCGCTGTCGGCAAAGAAGGTCGCGAGGCCGCCAAGCACGCACAGCGCGAAGGTTTCTTTGAGGCTCGGGATGAAGACGATCGGGAGCATCGCCGTCGCAAACAGTAGGATCCACGCCGTCGACGAAAACGTAAGCCACGGCGCATGGATGTACTGGGCGATCGATGGAAGCAGCTCTGTGCCGCCCAGCACAAGGAACGCAATCGGTGTCAAAAGACACGAGAGCGACTCGGAGATGAGGATGACGTACCTAGCATAACATGAGACAACGTGCACAAGTAGAGCTGTCGTACTGTCCGACCGGGCCGCAGGCGTGCAGCCCCAAGTCGCCATAGGTGCGCACGGACGGTGGCGCCAAGGCCATGCACTTGGCGAGCAAGGCGCTAGCATACGTAATAGGAAGCGCATGGTAGAGCCGTGGCGTACCTGGCATGGAGGTTGCTGGCCGACAAGAGGTAGAGCAGGATGGACCCCATGAGCGGTCCTGTCGACGCGAAGACGTGGCCCATGCTCATCGACGCGATGCCAAACGTATACGTGAAGAGCACTGCGATGCTGTGGAGGTCATCGTCCGTGTTGTCGTCGGCCATGACCTTTCGCGTGCGCGCGATCTTGCGCTAAACGCGTTTAAACACGGTCGACACTTCAACTGCCAGCGGCGTTGGTATCCGGAAGATAAACATTATGCGGATGCAATATTCAGATCGGCCGACAAAAGCGCGACGAGATGGACGTCGGGCGCAAGCTGTGGCATGGCTGCATCCCGGTCTGCTTCTCGATCGACGCGTCCGAGATCACGACGCTCCAGGTCCCGCGCCCCTACTACGTACGTCCATGCCCTATCGCAGGGGCCTCAACGCGGCTAGGCCATGCTGCCCCGCGTGAGCTTGCTCTTCACCGCGACGGAGCTCGTCATTGAGCACTTCAAGGACGTCGCGCCGCCCATGCTCTCGGCGCGCACCGTATGGTTCTCCAGTCGTGATCGACCGCTCAAGTGGTACGCGCCCGAGCTACGAGCGCAGCCATCGACCATTTTCTGTGTATTGCATGTAGGCAGCTCCCGTTTGGCGTCCTCTACGACCTGTACGCAGACGCGACGCTGCCGTGGGACATCACCGTGCATTTTCAGCGGTACCCGACAGAGGTGCGCCTGTATGCATGGCGGACCTCGTCACCACGCGTGCCTAGCTCTTGCCGTGCGAGGACATGGGCGCCGTCGAAGCCCATTTTATGAACAGCTACAAGCAGGTAAACAGCGCATGCCATCGAGCACTAGCGACTCTGCTAGGCCATGTACCTCTTGTACGGCTCGACCAAGTGGATCATGAACTTGCCGCAACAAAAGCACGCGCAGCTCTGGGAGGCCGTCATGAAGAGTATCGGATCATCCGCTACATACTGGTCATTTGGAGAGTCTGTAGACAACTACAACCTGTACCACGATGTGCACAACGAACTCGTGCCCCGCAACGAACCGAAGCGCCACGTGCCACTGCGTCTCGTGCTTCCGACAGAGCCCATGGTGCAGCTTCCGATTCCTTCCCATCGCGAAGGTTCCCAAACATGGAGGATGCCCAAGCAGTGGCGTCAATATTGGGTGTGTAGATTTGGTCACGGTCGCCGATGTCCTCGCCTATCTCGTGCCCGACTTGGCGCTGGCGACGCACAAGGTACTCTTGCACGGCATTCCGGTCGCGACCGACGTCGCGCTCGCCGAGATTTACGCGTCGTTTGTCTACCCCGACGGCTTTGTGTACATCACGATGACGCGCGACTTGATCTGATGGGTTGATACTTTGATACAAACCGAAAATAGACAAATTGTCGTCGTGTTGTGCGGTTAGTTGTTGATGCCTTCGTACGTCGGCACCATGTACTTGATATTCACATACGCATCGGGGCCGCCGATGCGCTCCATCTTTTCGAGGGTCGCTTGGATGAGCGCGCCGACATCTATGACGTGGCACGCTGAGAAGGCCGGGACCACCACCAAAAAAAGTGTACCCGTGTCTCGTCGCTGGCTAAAGTCGATCGCGTCGCCGAGGTTATGTCGTTTGTTCTTGAACGTGTTGAGTCCTGGCAGCAGTTGTCTGGGCGGAAGTTAGACGCTCCACTGAGCAGATAGAATGTATCACCGGTAGTAGGGCACGAGGGCCGGCCCAATGCCTTCGACATCCAGGAGCAATTGAATGTTCTTGAGCGTCTCGCAAATCAGCGGCATGTCCCGCGTGTTCAGTGCGATGCGGATCGGCGCAATGAGCTTGTGGAGGCAAGCGTGGACCTTCTCCGGGAACATACGGCCGTGCTGGAGGAGCTCAATCGTTCCTGTCGAGGCGAGGAAGTGGTACGGCTCTTCCTTTTCCCGCGTGCCTAGTCCGTTCGTGAGCACTACTCCGTCAATCTGAGCCCATACCTTCAAAGAAGAGCGGCAGGACGACTGCGTAGTCGATCTCTTCAATGCGCTTGGTCCACTTGAGGTGGTTGCCGCCAGTGCGCGGCTCGACACACACCGGGACGTGTCCTACACCTCGTAAGACGACACGTCATCCGAACTTTGCATCGAACCGCGGTTGTACGAGCTTGGAAAGTTGGATGGCGGAATTTGCCGCTTTTTGAACGCGCCGGCCACCTACGACATTGAGGTTGAGGTTGAGGTTGAGATGCAATGGGGGATCGATGTTTACGGGTGGCAGGGCGTCGGTCGCTTGCTTTTGCTTGGTCTTTTTCAAACCGACTTGCTTCTCGAGGAGCTGGCGCGTCGGCGATGGAAACGAGAGCTTCTCCATGATCTCGCCCCGCTCCTTCTTGAACGAGTGATCGGGCGCGAGGTTCTCGAGCGTCACGTTGACCTTTGGGTTGCGTCGGTGTTTGTGCTGGCGCTTGATCGACGACTTGGGCACAACCTCGTCGGTCATGCCGCGGTAGACGACGGCTTGCGGGTCGAGGGCGAGCTTTTGCTTGAGCTTGATCTCGAGGACCCCGGCTGTCGTAAGAGAGAGGTTTCAATCCAAAGTGATTTGGAGGGACGTACAGCCAGCGATGCCCGGGTGGTGGCTCTTCTTGGTCGACGCGCTCAGCACCGACGACGGCATGCTGCCCGCGGTCGTCTCCGACCCGCGTAAAAATAGAGTGGCTACGTTCGTTAACCGGTTAGTCGGCTAGTCGTCCCCGCAGATAACACCGTTGAAGCATTGTCCACCAGGTCCGAGAACCGCCAGCCGCCTACGTAAGTAGAAGCGAAAGTCCCTGCCTGCTAGCTAGCCAACACGGTGTCGCACCACCAGCCCGTTGGTCTGCATAGCACGCCACGTCCCAGCGGCGCCGCATGGTCCACCGCGTCGAATCGTTCGCTGCCGTCCCCCTTGACCTGCAGTTGCCCATTTGAGACCAACTACCAAGAAGCAGCAGCATGTCGAGCAAGCAAGGACAAGGCAACGCGGGCAGCTGGCCCAGCACGACCGGCAACCCCTCGGGAGGGAACCGCTCGAACGCGCCCCCCAAGGCCACGGCGTCGAGCACCCCGTCGAGCACCCCGTCGAGCACCCCGTCGACGACGAAGACGACGTCGGGCAAAAACGCGACGTGAAGCTCGTCCGCGGAATGGACGGCGCGTAACCCAGCAATCGAACTTTTGTTGTTGCCTCTGCGATGCGAGTAGACCCATCTATCAAAGCACTGGACAGCGATGCGTCACCAGTTCTGAGCATTCTTAGACCATAGTTGTACATCTTAGTGGCCCTCGAGACGGGCGTCGAGGCGGTGCGTGCTAATGATCTCGGAGAAGCACTGCGTGCGGATCAGACACTCGATGAACGGCGTCTCGTAGGCCGGTCGGAGCGCAGTAAACTTGTGCTCGTCAAAGATAATGACCGACTCGGTGGCGTCGCCGACAACAAGGCTTGCGGCCGTGTGGTCAAAAAGGAGATTGGCCACGAGCTTGTAAAAGACACCGCGGACGTCGGCGTCGGGAAACGCCGTGGGGAGCGCCGACGACGGCCGGAGTCCGACCGCGTCCAGTTGCAGCGCCGACGGACACACGAGCAGCGTATCGAGCTGCGCTTTTGCCGTCGTGAACGCATCGACAAGCCGAATCGGGCTCGATGCGTCGTCGAGAAGCCCCATGTTTGGCCACTGGAGCTTGCGAGGACCGAGGTACTCAAGAGTCCCTCGATCGAGGTCCACCACGATCGCACACGACGACGGCGACGGCAGCGGGAGGTCGTCGCGCGTCGCGCAGCTCTGGTGGATGCCGACAAGGATCGGCGTCGGGCAGTGGAGGTATGAGAGGAGACTCTTGGGGAGCACTGGGATGTAGATGTGGCACCACGCAAACGGCGCCAAGAGGCACCGAATGGCTTCGGCCGAGAGGGTCAGCGCCGAGAGCGACGACGAGAGCAAAATGATGCTGTGCTCGAGCAGCGCGTTGGCGACGACCTCGAGCACGAGCGCGTTGCTGAGCGTCGCAAAGAGAGGTGCGAGGCCAAAGTCGATTCGGGGCGGCGCTGGGAGGTCGAGGAGCGTGCCCGAGTGGCGCCGGTGCAAGAGCGCATTGGGCGACGGCGTCGGCAGTGGCGCGGACGTCGGCGACGGCGCCGGCACCGTGTAGAGCCGCCGGACATGGTCGGGCAACAGCGGCGTCGGCGTGTCCAACAGATGCCGTGCAACAATCGACCGGAGACCGTCGATGAGCGGGAAGGGCGACGCGACGCAGACGCCTTGCGCGACAAACTCGGCGTCGCCACGCGCCACGTACGTCGTGTAGCACATGCAGTAGAGCGTGCCGAGGTCGCCGTTCTGGAGCACAACAAATGGAAACAGCACGTCAAGCTCGGGGACGCCGGTCACGATGAGCTTGCCGTGGGGCACAAAGTACGGCTGGATGCGCTTGGCGAGGTCCGAGACCTTGCGCTGCGACTCGGGCGACGGCGGCAGCGCCGGCGACTTGTCCTTGCGTACGTAAGAGAGCTCGAGGCGTGTGCCCGAATTTTCGGTTGTGATCGTCTTGAAAAGCACGATCGCGTCAATGACGGGCGTCGAGACCAAGTCTTCGCGCAGCACCAAGGGCGTGAGCGGGTAGTTGGGCCGGTAGTGGACTTGGAGCCCGTCCGGCAGCGACGTACTGCGAATGATGCTCTCGAGGTTGAGCCGCATGCTCGTCGGCGCTTCGTCGTCCGAGTCGGAGTCTTCGCTCTCCACGTGATGGACCAACGGCGGTCGCTCGCTGTTGGGAATGTCCGAGATCGAGTCGTACTCGGAAAACGAGTCGCGCAGCATCGCTGTGGACCGGCGCTTGTCGGTGTCTTGGTGGTGCTCGTCGTCGTCGTCGTCGCTGTCGCTGTCGCTGTCGAGAAGGGTCTTGGCCGCCTTGTCGCTCAGCGCGAGGGTGTACAGTGGGCTCTTGACGAAGCGTTCGTACCACGAGGCCGAGAGGACGAGGCAGATCTCCGCCTGCGCCACGCCAAAGGCAGCGAGCGCCGCGTCTTTGGACTGGATCTGCAGCGCATCCGCCAGATTGGCTTTTGTGGGCGCTTGGATCGCGCTCGAGTCGACGCGGGCCTTCTTGAGCAAGTCGTGCGTGAGCGTCCAAAAGAGCGTCATGTCCGACGTGCATTTTTTCAGAACGTACTCGACGTGGAGCCAAAAGTAGAGCTCGAAATGCTGGCGTTGCTGCATGAGGAAGAGGAGGAAGTAGTGCGCCGCGCGCGGGTTCGTAAGGAACCGATCGAGGGGCACAAAGGCGGCCGTGTGCTCCGAGACCTGCAGCATCTCGAGGTACTCGGTGCTCTTGAGGAACCGCGGCAGCTCTTCGCGCGTGAGCCGCTTGAACGCGAGGCGCTGGATCGGGCGAAACCCGACCCAGCCAATGTCGTCGTTCTGGATGCTCGCGAGCACCATCTCTTCGAGCTCTGGCGTGAGCTCGAGCGTCGCTGAGATGCTGCACTCGGACTTGGTCGTAAAGTACTTGTTGAAGAGCTTGAGAAGCGACGGCGTGCCCCGCGCCGCGTCGCGCTCTTGCTCGAGCTCGAGGAGGAAGAGAAGGACGTTGTGGTAGTTGCCGTCGTCGGTCGTCTTGGCCAAGAAATCGAGAAGGTACGGCAGCTTCTTTGGGTCTTTCACAATCTCGTGCAGCGAGAACGGCGTGTGCGCGCGGAGGCGGCTGACTTCCGAGAGCTGCAAGAGCCGGCGCTGCTTTTCGTCTATGGCCGTCTCGGCGCGCTGCTTGTCACGAAGGTACTTGCGAAACTTCTTGCTCAGTGGCATCGGATAGCTGCTGGAGATCGTCTTGTAGTTCATGTTGTTCTTGGCCATCTTCTTGTACTTGTCCTGGATCATCGTCGCGGCCTGCGCGAGCTTGGTGCTGGCGGACGATGGCCTATGGTCGGCTGCCGCCGGCGATGCAGGCGTCGACCGGTTCGCCGTCGGCGCCAATGGCGGGCGCGGGTCCGCGACATCGTCGCCAAAGAGCCAGCTGTCGAGGTGCTCGGGCTTCTTGATCGCGGTTAGGAAGTTCATCGTCAATTGCCGCCGTCTATCTTGATTTGACGGAACAGCCAGCTCGTTTCTGATTGGTGCAAATCTATGCGAAATATTTTGGCGAAGATTGCAAAGTGCGATTTTGCCTGCCGCGTCGTTCGTGCTGACAGCAGATCAACGCAAAGCCACTTGGCCATGCTGCTGCGCCGCAGGTACTGGAAGACTCCATGCACGCCAAGGGAATGGCATTGAGCCACATTCGTCACTCAATTTACCAGCACCATGGCACACCACCAGCTGTCGGACCCTCTCGAGCGCCTCCAGCAACCTTTCAAGAGGCCAAGGCTCTTGGAAGGCTGCTGGAGGCGCTCGAGAGGGTCCGAGAGCTCGACGTGTGCCATCTTGCTGGCAAATTGAACAACTGCAACGACCTGACAAAGTGCACATGACCTGGCAAAGTGCAACGAAATTACTCGTATCAAAGATGATTAGCCGTGCCTTGCGATGCTATAGCTTTCACACGTCCTTCGTGCCGTCGATACAAAGAACTCTGGGGTCCGAGAGCTCGTACCACCCACCACACGGTATCTCGGGCCACGACGACATGAGGCAAGCCTCGACTCCGTACACAATGTAGCACACCTTCAGGCGGTCGCTAAGCACAGTTTCGGTCAGCCGTCGAGTCGCACAGAGCCCCAAATGATCTCGAGACGTTGGTATGACGAGTATGGCTTAATATCATTTCCTTGGAGTACTTGGGTCTTTCAGTACATGTACCTGCGCCGCAGCAGCATGACCAAGTGGCTTTGCGTGGGCGTGCTTGATCTACTGCCTGACGCCAAATGAAGGACAGCACGAACGACGCGTGCAGCCGACGCTCGCAGCCACAATCTTTCGCTTCGATGGCCATGTCGGAACTCCTCGCAGAGATGGGCACCAAGAATGCGCACGTCGAAGCCCAGCTCGCGAGCTGGGAAGATGCAGCACCAACACCTCGCCGATCGCTGCATGTTCTACGTCCTCTTCGCGTGTGCTGTTGCTTTTTATCTGATTAGATAAGAATACCGAGCGTGCTTGTATTGCGACAGCTTTTGCATACGGACGCCATCTCTTCGACAACTCAAGATCGGCGGCGGCAGTCGTTGCGCCGGATACGCGTCCGGATATTTTGGCGGCAACGGGCGACCATATTTTGGAACACTCGCAAGTGGACCTCGATGGCCTCGTACAGCAACGTGCCCGGCTTTGCCCGCAACGCGCAGCACGTCATGCCGGGTCTCCCGCGCCCCGGAAGCGGCTCGCAGCATGTCATGCCGGGCCTGCCATCGTCGTCGGCCACGTCGGCGCCCGGCGCGAGCATCGGAAGCGGTAGCACTGGCACCGGCGGCGGGATGGCCATGGCCGGCTTTCCCAACTACCTGGAAGAAAAAGGTACGTGCCCCATCTCGCCGCAGCATAATGGTCTCATGGTCGCCGCAGAGAAATGCCTCCACTTTCTGCGCAACTATGTCGACTCGCTCTCTGGCGCGCGCAAGTACGAAGACATGCTCGTACGTACAAGGTCCTCGCTCGACCCCGTGCACTCACGCTTGCGATAGCAAGAGGTCGCCGACCGCCAGCGCACAACCGTCACGATCGCGCTCGACGACGTCCTCTCGGTACATGCGCCCTTGGATCGCCGCTGCTTACGACACCAAACATGTAGTTTGAGAACGACGAGGACTTTGTGCGCAACGTCATGCGCAACACGCGCCGGTACGTCTCGCTCTTCTCAGACGCAGTCGACGACATCCTTCCGCCGCCGTCGCGCGACATCTCGGAGGCCCACGACGTCCTCGACGTCCTCCGCCTCCACCGCGTGCAAGAGGCGGCGACCGAGAACGACGCGCCCGTCGACCTTGCGACCGTTTTTCCGCCGGCCCTCATGCGCCGCTTTGAGCTGCAGTACGCTCTTGCCTCTTGATTGATGCATGTCATATGCATGTAGACTTGTGCCGGGCGTCAAGACCAAGCCGGTCCCGATCCGCGAGGTGAAGGCGTCCAAGGTTGGCAGCCTCGTGCGCATCAAGGGCATGGTGACGCGAGTCTCGAACGTCAAGCCGCTCGTGATCGTCGCGACGTACACGTGCGAAGTGTGCTCGTTTGAAGTCTACCAAGAGGTCAAGTCGCGCAACTTCAACCCGCTCGTCCAGTGCCCGAGCGAAAAGTGCAAAGTCAACAAGACCAACGGCCGACTCCTCATGCAAACCAAGGCTTCCAAGTTTCAAAAGTTTCAAGAAGTCAAGTTTCAAGTACGATCGACTGTATCTTGCTCGTCCAGCAACTGATCGATGTAGGAACTGCCGGACCAAGTACCCATGGGCCACATTCCCCGGTCGCTCACCGTGTACCTCCGCGGCGAGCTCACCCGGTCGTGCGAACCCGGTGCGCTCATTACCATCTGCGGCATCTTCCTTCCGCTGCCGTACAGCCCCCAGCGTCAAATGCAAGTCGGCCTCATCACCGAGACGTACCTCGAGGCCATGCACGTCATCAACCACAAGAAGCGGTACAGCGCCATGGACGCGTCCGAAGACATGGAGACCGAAGTCGAGCGCCTCCAAGAGTCGCCCGAGCTCTACTCGATCCTCTCGCAGTCGATCGCGCCCGAAATCTACGGCCATGAAGACGTCAAGAAAGCACTGCTGTTGCTCATGATTGGCGGCGTCACCAAGCGCATGGACGAAGGCATGAAGGTCCGCGGCGACATCAACGTACTCCTGATGGGCGACCCTGGTGTGGCCAAGAGTCAGCTCCTCAAACACATTGCGACCGTGAGCCCGCGAGGCATCTACACAACGGGCAAGGGCAGCAGCGGCGTCGGTCTCACGGCCGCGGTCGTGCGCGACCAGATCACCAAGGAGATGACGCTCGAAGGCGGCGCACTCGTGCTGGCCGACATGGGCATTTGCTGCATCGACGAGTTTGACAAGATGGAAGAGGGCGACCGCACGGCCATCCACGAGGTTGAGACTCTGCTTCTGTATCAAGGGCAAGTACCAAGCGGAAGATGTGTAGGTCATGGAGCAGCAGACCGTGAGCATTGCTAAAGCCGGTATTACGACGACGCTCAACGCGCGGACGTCGGTGCTCGCGGCGGCCAACCCGATTTACGGCCGGTACAACAAGAAGCTGACCGCATCGCAAAACATCAACCTCCCCAACGCGCTCTTGAGTCGCTTCGATCTGCTCTTTCTCATCCTCGACACGGCGCAGTACGACAAGGACGAAGCGCTTGCTCGCCACGTGACTTATGTTCACCGCTTTTGGTACCTCGATACCTTGAAACATTGATATTCAAACGATCCATGCATAGCAAGAACCCCGAGATGGCGTTCGACCCTGTCCGCTCGGACGTGCTGCGGTACTTTATCGCGGTCGCCAAGCAGTATGTACCAGCGATCCCTGAAAGCCTCTGCAGCTACATCGTCGAGGCCTATGTCACACTGCGCCAGCAGCAAGACTCGGCCAACGACGCGCAGACCGCGATGACCGCGCGCCAGCTCCTCAGTATCCTACGCCTCTCGCAGGCGCTCGCCCGCCTTCGCTTCTCGTCCACCGTACGTGCTTGACGTCTCATTCAATAGCGTATGGAAGCGTGCGTAGGTGGTCACGGCCGACGTGGACGAAGCGATTCGATTGGTTTACGTCTCCAAGTCGTCGCTCCAGGATGAAGAGCATGGGGCGCATGGACGTCCCAAGAGCTCGATGGACGCCAACTCGAAGATTTACCGCTTGATCCTCGACTTTGCGCGCGATCGCGGCGAGATGAGCGTCAACTACAGCGACATTGAGCCCATTGTGATCCGGAAGGGGTACACGAACGTGCAGCTCAAGGCTTGCATCGAGCAGTACGAGACGCTCCAGGTCCTCCAGTGGAGTGAGAACAAGACGCTGCTACACTTTGTTACCTAGTCGACTCCGACCTTTATAGTACATGCCTCTTCCATGCTCAAGTGTCTATCGCAAGCGCTGACGGCCCAACTTCCTTGAGGTCGCGAGAAGAGCAAGGACGAGGATGATGGTGTACGCACGTCGATCGTGTTAATGCATCCATAGCTTGAGGCGGAAGGCGTCGACACCGTTGAGGTAGTACTTGAGGAGCCGCTCGTCCTTGACAAAGCCCAAGTTTTGGTACAAGCGGATCGCGGCCACGTTGGTGATCTCAGTCTCGAGCACGACTTCGTCGCAGTGCATGCGCATCATCTGGTCGATGGCCTTCTGGACGAGCGCAGACCCGATGCCATGCTTGCGGAAGCTCTTCTCGACGGCTAACATCGCGATGTAGCCCTTGAGGACGCCTTGGGTGTCCTCGAGGCGGCAGACGATCGCGCCGACAATGACGCCTTCGGCGCGCGCGAGGATGCAGAGCTCGGGCCAGCTGTAGAGAAAGTACCGGTACGTGTACACCGAGTAGGGCTCCGAGAGGTCCTTCTCGAAGAGGCTCATGATCTCCGGGAGCTCGGCCTCGGTGCCATACTGCGCGTACTCGACGACCGTCATCCTCCACACAGCACAGTGGTCCGTATAATTCATTGGCAGCGTATCCGGATGTTATTGCGTCATCTTTGCACATCTTTGCACTTTATGACGTGGCACGCGGACACGACTCCACAATAAGACCTGAGTTTTCGGGTCAGGCGGAGTCTATTGATGGCGAGGGATGGTGTCGCGTGCCACCAATATGCACTGACCAAGTTGGTAAAGCGAAGATGCACCTTGGAAACTGGTACGATATACATGTACAGACAAAGTGATGCTACCTGTACTACTGTACAGTAGTAGTCGCCTAGTTGTTTTGCTTACTCTTCATGAGCTGCTCGACGTACTTGTCATCGATGCCAAGCTCTTGCCGGAACTCCTTTTCCATCTTTTTGAAGAGATCGTCTTCGGCGTCGGCGGCGACCGGAGGCTTGGTCGTGGTCGCTGGCGTCGACGTCCCAGTGTTGCTGCTGTTGTTGTTGCTGTTGCCATTGTTGGACGCAGCGTTGGCAATCACGTTGGCGGCGCGCATGGCCACATCGGCGTACTCGGCAACGGCTTTGACCCGTGCGATCTCGCGCTTGAAGTAACCCTCGATGATCTGGCGCTCGCCCGCCGAGCCGCGCGAAAGCGTTCGTGGAATCTCGAGAATGTGCAAGTTGCCATTGACGTCGCCGACGGCGAGCAGCTGCTGCTTGGGGGCTTGGGTTGCCGCATTCGCGACGGGTGCCGCCTGGGTCTTGCCCATCGCATTCGCGGCGTTGACGGTGGGCGCTGGCGCCGGCGCCACCACCTGCGTCTGCCGAAACTCGAGCGTGGTGAGCGAACACGCCGCGATGCTGCACGAGAAGGACGCGCGGTGGGATTGGTCCAAGAGATCCCACACTTCAAGAACGCCGTCGGCCTTGCCAATGTAGAGAACACCCGGTCGCGTCGGCGAGAAGCAGCCGCACATGAGCGGCGCGAGGGAGAAGGGCGATATGAAGATCGGCGTGTTGGACGACGAGGAGCCACCAGCGACGTTCCAAATGTGGAAATTCGCTTCGCTGACCGTCAATTGAATGTGCGGAAAGAACGGCGATCGACTCAAACTCACGGTCGTTCGAAAGTGATCGTGGCACGCCCACTGAACGTACTCGACACTGTCCTCGGACGAGTTGTTGTTGCTGCTGCTGCTGGGTCCATCGTCGTCCTTGGAAGCGTGCGGGCGCCAATCCGCGAGCAAGAATTCACCTTCTTCCGTCCCGCAGTAGAGCCGGCTCGATGGCTATACGAGTATTTTCGTAAATATACGATCCAGTGGATACGTTGGTTGCACCTGGTCGTCCTTGGTCTTTTCCATGACAATGCACTTGAGCCCGAGCTCGCCCGCGCCGTCGACTTTGGTCAGCGCAATCGAGTAGAGCGGCGTGAAGAGGACTTCGACGGGCCCCGCATCTTTGGCATCTACGCATATCTGAGTACGCATTTTGCTGTGCTGGGACAGGAGCCGACGACCTTTGCTAGCCTTCATTTGGGATTTTTCCGCCTTGATGCGGTTGTGGTTGGCCATGCGGTACTTAGGGTCCTTAAAGCGGAGGTCCCAGAAGCACACTTGCCCGTCGCCGGCCACGGTCAGAAACTGGTGCGACACCGTGTCGGGCGTCGATACGAGGTGCCCGCGGTTTGTGATTTCCATGCCGGCGGGCAGCCACACGAGGTCCGCGACCGACCGTCGGTGGCTCAAATCAATGTACGAGGTATGGAGCGGCTTGACGGGCGGGATCGCCTTGGTTGTTTCTTCACTGGCGTGGCCGCTCTTTTGCTTCTTCTTGGTCATTTGCGCCTCGGCCTTGGAGATGTCCCAGACGCACACTTGGCCGTTGAAGAGACCACCCGCGATGATACCTGGCTGCGTCGGGTTGAAGCGAATGGCCATGACGTCTTGGGGGGCTTCGATCATGAGCTGTGGGTGGATGAGGTCGGCAAAGTTCCAAATGAGCACATACGACCCCTCGACCTAGAACCGACTCCGTTGGCACCCTCTCCGAACACCCGTCGACATACCTTGTCGGTGGCATCTTCGCGCTTGGAGAACGACGCATTCGTCGACGCCGCGACGGCAATGACACCCGTCTTCTTGGGATGCCAATCGATCGACGGCAGCGTCTTGTTCTTCGAGTAGATGAGATCCGTAAACGTCCGAAGCTCCTTGATGCTGTTCTCGGCCTTGTGCTGGCCGCCCGTCTCTTCTTCGAGCATCGTCTGGAGCGGGTCGAGGAAGATGTCGAGTGTCTCGTTCTGCTGCAGCGCCTCCTCCATGCGCGGCAAGACGTTGGCCAAAAAGGTTTGCAGCCGCGACGACTGGAGCTCGCGCTCACACGCCTCGCTCGGTACTTTGATCGGCTCGTACTGCAGCGCCGAGTTGACCGCGCGGAACCACGATGTCTGCGTCGCATTGTCCACGAGGTCGGGGATCCCCTGGAGACCAATGTCTTGCTCGACGCGCGAGAGATCGTAGTTTGGGTCCTTGTGCTGGCGGCACTCGACAAAGCACTGGTCCGCATCTCGATCGCTAAACTTGTAGTCGGCATTGAACTCTTCGGTGCGGCGCGTGATCGACATGCTAATGACGGGCCGCGCTGCGCGGACAGTCAGCGACCGCACTTGGTCGTGGGTCTCGTCGGCGGTCGACGACACCCACGGGTGCGCAATGAACGGCTTGTCTTCGTACTGGATCATCTCGAGGAGCTCGTCTTCACTCGGCTTCTTCTCGTCGTCTTTGCTCTCGGCGGCGGCCTCGGCGGCCGCGAGTCGGCCATTGATGAGCGCCATCTGCGCTTCGTACGCGGCTTGACGCACGCAGACGAACCAGTTTTCGCCATATACTTCGTCGCGGTCAGCGACCAGCAGCAACTCGGCGCATTCGAGCTTGGCAATGTCGGCGCGGATCGCATGGAACGGGCACATGAAGCCGACTTGAGCAATCTCGTCCAAAATGGCTTGCTTCTCAAAGAGCTTGAAGTCGATCGTGTCCTTGAGCCCCGGACCCGTCTTGAGCCCGAGCGTGTCCATCTCCCGCATCGAGATCATGAGCGGCTTCGTGCCCGGCAGCGGCGCCAGCTTCTCAACCATCGCTCGACAATCCAAGACGGCCTTTCTGGCCACGACGCCTCAAGATCGTGCATCCGGATAAAGTACATCCGGATACCATACTACATCCGGATACTGTGGCTAGACGCACGCCACGTCAGATTGGAAATCAAGCAACATCGAATTCCATGCGGATGCTGACGCAGCGTTGCTGGAGCGTCGACGGATGCAGGTAGCATGGCTGGACAGGAAGGCGCGACGGGAGGCGAAGACGTCGATAGAGGACGAAGAGGGGTGTTTACGTTAGGTTAGAAGACAGTGTTTACGCGGTCGGGTTGCGGAAGTTCTTGCCAGCGTACACGGCGCTGCGGCCGAGCATCTCTTCAATGCGGAGGAGTTGGTTGTACTTGGCGAGGCGCTCCGAGCGGCACGGGGCGCCCGTCTTGATCTGGCCCGTCGAGAGACCGACAGCGAGGTCGGCAATGTACGAGTCCTCGGTTTCGCCCGAGCGGTGGCTCGTCATGACGCCCCAGCCCGCCTTCTTGGCGTCCGAGACGGCCTGAACACTCTCAGTGACCGTGCCAATCTGGTTGACCTTGAGAAGGAGTGCGTTGCAGGCGCTGAGCTCGACAGCCTTGGCGATGCGCGTCGGGTTGGTGCAGAGAAGATCGTCGCCGACCACCTGGACGTCCTTGCCGATCGCGGCCGTGAACGCCTGGTAGTTCTCCCAGTCGTCCTGGTCAAAGGGGTCCTCGATCGAGACGATCGGGAACTCGCGCGCCAAGTCCTTGTAGAGCTGGCCAAGGGCGGCGCCCGTGAGCGGCTCGTCCGTGCTCGACTTGTTCTTGAAGTTGAGGTCGTAGCGACCGTCGGCCGTGTAAAACTCGGACGAGGCCACGTCCATGCCAATCTCAATCTTGCCGCTGTAGCCCGCCTTCTCAATGGCCGACATGAGGAGCTCGACGCCTTCGCGGTTGCTCTGAATGTTGGGCGCAAAGCCACCTTCGTCACCGACGTTGGTCGCGTCCTGGCCGTACTTGTTCTTGATGACGCCCTTGAGGTGGTGGTAGACTTCGCAGCCCATGGCCATGGCCTCCGAGAACGACGCCGCGCCCGTCGGGAGGATCATAAACTCCTGGAACGCAAGCGCGTTGCCGGCGTGCGACCCGCCGTTGATGACGTTGAAGGCGGGCACGGGCAGCACGAGCTTGTCGTTGCCAATCATGTCGGCAAAGTGCTGGAAGAGCGGGACGCCCTTGGCGCGCGCGCCGGCCTTGGCGACCGCGAGCGAGACACCGAGGATCGCGTTGGCGCCAAGCTTGCCCTTGTTGTCCGTGCCATCGAGGTCGCGCATGAGCTGATCAATGTCCACCTGCTTGGTCGGGTCCATGCCCTCGAGCTTGGGGCCAAGGATGTTCTTGACATTGTTGACGGCCTGCGTCACGCCCTTGCCGAGGTAGCGCTTGCCACCGTCGCGGAGCTCGACTGCTTCGTGGATGCCCGTGGATGCACCCGACGGAACCGACGCGCGGAAGAGGCCATGCTCGGTCGTCAAGTCGACTTCGACCGTCGGGTTGCCGCGCGAGTCGATGATCTCACGCGCATGCACCTTCTTGATGGTGCTGGCGAAGCGGCGCTGCAGCGTCGACGCGGTCGGGCGGGCAGCTTGCATGGTCGAGGAGGATGTGGCTGGAAGAAGGCCAAAGAAATTGTGTGTGACTGGATTTCGCCCAAGATATTTCCTTTGACCAGCTGGTTTAAGAAATAAATTCAGAACCCGATAAAGTACGATCTAGAGCATACAAAAGCCAAGGTATTCTACCGCGACATAACGCCTTTTCTGGTCTAAGTGCGCTCCCTTCGCACTTAGTGTACTTTAACCCGACCTGGGGTCCAGGTCCAACGGTTTAATCGCCGGATAAGCCTGTGCAAATGAATAGATTCATGCGATTGAGTTTGAGAATTAAGATCCATTTCTGGATCGCAACAGGCGCATGGAGGCGTGGACCGAGCGCGACCAAGACCTGCTGCAGCAATGCGTCTTTGAGTACGCGTACGACTTTGAGCTCGCGGCTGCAGCGCTTTGCGCGCGTCTGCCCAAGGCGCGCCGGCTGGCCTTGAGCCAGGAAGCCCCGATCAACGCGGCCACGTGCGCGGCCAAGTGGCAGGAGCTCGAGCGCTACGCCGACGGAGCGGACGAAGATGACGACGATGACGACAATGACGACAATGATGCGGTGTCTAGTGTTGTCAAGGAAATTGCGCCAAGTCCGTTGCTGCGCCTCGAGCTGCCGCTCAGCGAAACTGATCTGGATGCGCTTCTGAGCGACATCATTGTCCCACTGCCGACGACCAACAGTGAAATGCAGTGGGTGCTCTCGTACCTCGATGATCCGACCAACGTCATGAGCACACACGACGACGAAGACATGGCTGCGTTTGACGCCGAATATGCTTCGTACAAGGATCATGCGGATCAAGACGCGTACTTGGCGAGCTTGGACCACGCATTTGCTCGTAGCCGCCTCAAGAGCCAGAGCAACCGCAGCATGGACAACATTATGGTGTCACCTCCAACGCCCAGCGATGCGACTACGACAGAGCTCCGATCGGCGTCCTTGCCGCCACCGACTGTCGTGGCCTCTCCGTTGCGGCCACCGCCACCACCGCCGGTCGTCGCCGCACGAGCCCTGGGCCAAAGCGATGGCGTGGCATCCACACCCGCCTTGCCGATCGTACAGACGGAGCAGCGCTTGTCACCTCCACGCAGCCCTTTCGAGGACGAAGGCGCAGTGTCAAGCTCCGAGTCCGATACCGACGACGAGTGGCAGCGCGCCCGGCAGTCCATGAAGCGTCGTGCAGCGCCACTCGATGCACCGCCGTCCATAGCATCCCATGTCCATTTCTCAAAATCGCCGGACAACGACCGTGAGGATGGCCAGGCGATGGACGAAAACGAGCAGTGCGACCGAGCGCTCATGAAGCAGTGGAAGCTAGAGCTTCAGCAAGACGACGTACTGCAACAGCAGATCCACGTCGCCGAGCGAACAAGGCGTCGCCTCGAGTTTGCAGCGCTCCTGCAGTCGACAGCGACGTCCACCACGTCCCATGACGAAGCAGGCACAGGCTTTACCCTCGCGCCCCGAAACCCGTTCGAGCTCAGCACGACAAACCTGCCGTCGGAAGAGCCAGAGGTGAACGTGTGCGCCTCGGTGCCGTGCGAGCCGACGGAAGACGTACCAGCGACCGTGGCCGTCGCACCTGCCGCCACCGTTCCGAGAGAGGCGCCCCGTACACTTGCGGGGCCGAGTACATTGGACGTCAAGCGTCGCATTGAAGAGAGCATTGCGGCCAGCGACCTGTGCGAGCCACTCTACCACCGCCAGCTCTCGCACGGCGCGTTCATTCCGATGCTACCGCCACCCTACTGGGAAGCTTTCTTCGCGTACGCGTCCCAGAGCGACGACAGCATTGCCTTGGACAATGTGCACGTCCTTGTCTGCGGCCTCGAGACCCATGATGCGCTATTTGCGCCGATGCTATCGCACTTGCTCCAGCTCGAGTCGATGTTTCCGTCCACAGCGCTCTTGGGGCTTGTGAAAACAGTGGCCTCGGACCCTCCAAGCACGCTTTCCTTCCTGTCGCCAAGGCCAGGGCAGGCGAAAGCGCGTCGCGTGCTGTACGTTGCCATCTCGACGCCAGACCTCGCGACGATCACCGCGTCACCGGTACGCTCCTCCTCATCAACTTGGAACTGCAAGAGTGTGCTAGGTGCCGGGTACCAAGGAGTGCTTGGCAGCGTGCTGGGACATCGTCTTGCCGACTACGACGGCGCATCCGATCCACCTCTTCACACGGCTCCCCGCCTTTCAAGTGTATTCCTTCGCGCTTTGCGACGACGACACGCCACGCATTGCTCCCGAGACGACTGTCGCCGTGCTCGCCGGACCAGCGTTCCGGGGCCTCGTCGACTTTTTCGCGCTGCCAGATGTCGACGTTGTCGGCTGCAAGCTCTGCTTTGACGCGCGTTTCGAGTCCAACTTGGCCGTGCCGTCGGACGTCGCCGCCGCCAAAGTGCATCTCGTGCTGGCACTGCGCGGTCACACTGCGGTGGCCACGCTTCGTGACGCAGCGTTCCCGTATCGCCATGACGTGTACGTCTCCCACGGCGCTCTCCAGGCAAAGCGCGATGTTGTGCATTGGCTGGGCGGTCGTGTCGTAACGACGCATGCGACGCCGCTCCCAACGCATTTACCCCGCCCCCGACCGCTCAATTCGATCGTGCTCATGCCCGAGACGCGCGTGGCGGTGACGTGGCCGTTGACGCTGCCGCCGTCATCGCTGGGTGCAGCCATAGATGCGGTCGCTCGGTGCGGCTACACGCTCACAGGGCTCCATCGATGCGGTGCTGGCTGCGTCACCGTGGTGGCCTTCAAGGTACTTGGCTCTGGACTTCACGTGTTGACGGTCGACGGTCGAGCGATGTTAGGAGCACGGAGCGATCCATGCACCAAGCTTGCAGCAAACACTGCACGAAAGTACGGGTCTCGATGTACCGGTGCTGGTTTCACCAGACGAGGTGGCCGCGTATGCGACCAAGTTGACGCTGCCGTTGCCAAAACCAACGCCGCCACCGCTCGTGGCCGACTACCACCGAGAGCAGACGTTGCTGGCAGTACTTCCTCCGGTACGTGCTCTTTGTGTTTCATGAATTCCACGCCAACCGTTTGTAGGAGGTGTTTGCACACGCAGGTACTGCGTCGCTGGAGCTGCCCCCGCTTGGCGCTGCCCTCAGAACCCTCTTGGCCAACGCCGAGACGTGGCACTTGCTCGGCCTCAAGCTCGTGACGACATCGCCCGCCATGGCCACCGTCCTGACCAAAGACGCGTCGTGTCGTCAAGGGCGGTTGCTCTTCGTGGTGCTTCGACAACTGCTGTCCGACGGCAGCATCAAGAAAGCCCTTGGGGCCTCCCTGCCGCACATTTGGCTGTACACCTCGCCGGCTATCGTCCATGGACTCGTGCACCAGCTCTTTGCGCCCTCCGAGCTGCACCAAACGACGCTGTCGCCGTTGGATTTGTGCTACCCGCCGTATGCGCTACCGTTCTTCCTGCACGAAAAGCCGACCCCGCTGGTGTCGCTCGTGCTGGTCAAGCCACACGCGCCAACGTCGCTACTGCCCGTGCTCCTCCGACGCCTCGCTCGGGACGGCTTTGTGCTGCTGGACGTGCACATGACGACACTCTTGTCCCACCAAGCCCGTGCTTTTGCGACCGACGACGGCCACGTGGCCTATCTCACGTCGGCGCCAAGCGTACGAGCCACGATCCAGCGAGGAAATGCTCACATGCGCGGGTAGGTGGTGTGCGCCGTGCGTCGACTGCACGCAGTCGCGCGCCTCCAAGAGCTCGTTGGCCCTGCCGACCCGGAGGACGCAAAGCGGGTAGCGCGGCACTCGCTTATCGCTGGCTACGGCGTCGACGCACTGCACAACGCACTGTACACGCCAGCGACATACGAAGCTGCTCGAAGCGATTTTGGCCTGCTCTATCGAGACATCCTGTCGGATGCCTTATACGACGACCTCACGAGGTACTTGATGTTGATACCATCATTCGTGTACCATCCAGAGGCATAGACAGCGTCGCCCACCCGCGCTGCAGTGGCGGCTCGCCAACGAGAGCTCGTGCGTGGTCGAGATGACACCCAAGACACTGGTCGAGACGACGCTCGTGCTCTTGCTCGGCCCGCTCGTGGACGCGGCGGGAGGTATTCTTCCGTGGCTTCTTGACGACGCCGGCTTTCGTCTTGTGAACATTCAGCTCGGGCCGGCACTGCGCAGTCATGCCCACCACTTGTACTGGGCGTCGCAGCTTCCTTCGGCTGCGCTCGAGATGCCGTTTATGGCCTTGGCCATGGAGCGGGATAACGCCGTGTCGCGGATGCTGGCGCTCCTCGAAAAGCAAGCGCTGGCCAAGTACCTTTCGCCGAGCACGGTGCATTCGTCGTGTATCGAGCTGAAGACTAATGTTGCGGCTAGGAGCACGACAGCGATGGCCTCTTTGCTTGCTCCAAGACCTCCAAGACCGCACTGCAGGAGCTTCCGCAGTTCTTTCACGAGCTGCACAACAGTGTACACAAGATGCGCACGCTATAGTCTGATATGTCAACTTTGGCTCGCTCTGTTGGACAACTGTGTTGACTGCCCGTGGTGCTGACGCAAGGCGCATCGACGCACGGTGTGTTGGCCGTTTGAACGCGCGCATGCGACATCATTGGGCGGATGCATGTACCCACTTGTCTTTCGGTTTGATGACAATATCGTCTTTCATTCAGAGCTTATACGCGAAACGAGCTGTACGATTTGGGTGGCTCTTCCGTGGGGCGGGGCTTCTCTTGCACGGGCGGTGCCGCGGGCGCGAGGAAGCGAAGAATGTGGCTGCCACCGACGGCACGTCGCTTGCAGTAGACACCAATGGCCGCAAACAGCGCGAGAATGCTCAGCGCCGTCGCCACGAGTTTGATGTAGCCTACAATATGCCAGTGAGCATGCGAATGGGTATGTCATCGTGACAGACCGTTTCGGATCATGGTGCGCATCTTGGTTTCGACGTACGTGGCCGAGTAGCAGGACCAGTCGAGGTGCACCATGCGCGCCTTCACGCCGTCGTAGTGAAAGGCCGCCGTGCACGGAACCGGCTCGCCGTCCAAGATGAACTTGACGTAGTCCATGTGCCCCGCGACCGAGAGCTCTTGCGTCTCGTACGCTGTCCAGACCGGGTCTTCGTCCGCGTACTGGTTGTGCGTCGCCTACCGCATCCAGCTGAGCATCACCTCGTATAACTGAGTCGTCGTACAAGGTCGATGGACGGCCGAATGTACTCTGGGACATCCGCGATCGGCTGCGCGACGCGCTTGTTTTCTAAAAACGAGTCGGCTTCGCACGTGTCGTGGTCGTTGGTCCGGTTGAAGCACGTGTACTCGGCGCTCGCGACCGTCACAAACTCGTTGCCGCCAAATTTCTCCGAGTTGAAGTGGATGTTCATGAGCATGTTGACACGGTACGTCGACGCGAGTACATAGTCGATCGTGGCGTTGGCGTCGCTGCTCGTTGGCAGCTCGTCCAGCACCGGCAGTGGAAACCGGGCAACCTACCATGTATGGGGCTACGTACTTGGAATCATGGCGTGTCATCCCGTACCTCGGCGCCGATGATGCGGCTTTCGCTAACGTTGGCAAAGTGGAACGTGAGCTTGAGTCGATAGTCGCGCAGAAAGGCGGTCGCCGACTCGTCCAGAAACGGGTCATTCACGGGAACCGGAACGAACCCACGGTCGGTCGCCGCCGCCAACGCAAGACACACCCCAGCGACTACGGCGCGCATGAGCAATTCTGCAATGCGCCAACATACCAGCCACCGCTGCAGTTCGATCTTCGATCGCTTCCATGTTCTAATCTTCGTTGCGATCACAAACCTTCGAGATACGCCATCATTTCTTCTGTCCTTTTCTTGTCTTTCGATTTGTGAGGACGCCAAGGGTGTCCCACACGCGTGGCGGCACCACGTTGCGTATTGTGCAATTGGCCATGCGACTCGTACACAGCCTTGTCGCCTTCTTCTCGGTGGCGGCGGCGACCTTTGTGGCGGTGGACCCGTCTGATGCGTTCGTCGCTGTGGCCACGAATGAATTTATGAAGACGTACGACCGGTTCCTCTCGGACGTCTTTGCGGTTGTGAGCGACAAGACCGTGCTCAGCGCCCAAGTACGTGACGAGCACGATCGATTGGAAGACTCATCCTAGTGCGTAGGTGTACAAGCACCCGATTTTGCTCGATGATCCGTACTACGAAGACGAGTACGAAGAGACGTACTACATGGCGGGCGCCACGTACAAGCTCAACGTGCTCCTCAAGCTCCAATTCGACTCGGCTGCGTTTGCAGGCGACCCGTACATGACGGTCGCCAACTGCGTCTTTGTGTGCACGAACGACACGGACGGCCACGTCGACTGCACGGGCAAGACGTTCGAGCAGTTTCCTCGCGTTGCCCTTCCAACCGATCGCATTGAGGAAGGCCCGATCCGCGCCTTGGTCAGCGAGGTAAGCTCCGCGTGTCCTCTATCGGCGTTCTCACACTGCGACGTTAGCATCTCAAACACATGTACGACGATGCGTCCTTCGAGCTCACGGCGTACGAGGCGCAGAACGACAGCATCCATAGCGATATGGTTGAGTACTTCCGCTTCACGGCAGAAGGCGAGCCGGTCGAGTGTGAGTTTGCAGCCTATCGCGACGGGTCCACGTCGCCGCCGACCCGCCATATGCTCTACTTTGACGACAAGTGCATCGTCGCCAAGTACCATGGACAGAGCCTTGCCGACATTGAGCACGACGAGCGGTTGCACACGACGCTCATGCTCTCGACGCTCGCGCTGGTGACCGTCATCGCTGCCTGCGTGGCGCTTCGAAGCCGCGTGCGCCAAGCCAAACGCATGGGCTACCGTCACGTGCGGTTCCAGGCGTCCGAGACGCCCCGCGGTGTCGGGAACGCGCCGGTCGAAGCATGAGAGGTGTGCTGTAATTTCAGAAGGATCCGTATTGGTAGCAACTTCAAGCGCCGATAAAGCCAGCGTGTATCATCGCCTGCAGTGCCTTGGCCATGCATATGCACGCACTACGTACCATCGAGGCGGGTAGCGGACGGGCGCAGCTACATCGTGGTGCGATGCATCGTCTATGCAGCGCCGGCGGGGCGGGCGAGGTCCTGGCAGCAACCCTCGGTCGGACTGCGCTGGTCGCCAGATCCAGTGTCGTCCCGTGAAACGCTGAAAATTTCAAGCCCGGTCGCATTTCTCCGACTAAGCGACGTTTTTCATACAAACACCAAGTGTAAACGAAAACAGCGTCGGTTTTGTGACAGAAAAAGTACCATCTTGCGCAGGCTTGGTCACGTTACGGTACACAAGCATTTGTCACGGGGCGACGTCCAGCCGGCCACCCTCGCCTCTATGCAAGCATCAGCTACGAAGGGGCCGTACGTCCGCGACAACATCTCCGAGGCCTCTTCTCCCTCGTACGACGTCGACGATAGCGAGGAGGCCGTGCACGATGGAGCTCATGGCCATGCGTAGGGACGCCCAGTACTACAACCCGTCGTCAACGCCCAAGTCCATGGCGTTCCAGCACTCTGAGTGCGACATACCGAGCACGCTCGCCGGTCCAGGCAAGGACACGGACCGCCTCGGCTGGTTCCACGCCAAGATCCGCATCGAGAACTCGATCCACTGGGCCAACAACTTTGCGATACAGGCGCTCATGCTGCTCTTCTTCCTCTGCGCGCTCGCCGCGACGATTGCGATCCCGGCGCTCGGGTACCGCGTCTCGGTCGGGCTCCTCGCCGGTGGCACGGTTACGATCGTCTCGGCGTCGGCCGTCATCTACACGTATTGGCACCTTCCGTCGTGGAAGAAGCACCCGAACCCGCTCATCTTTTACCGGAGTCTCTGCGACGTGGGCTTTGTGCTCATTCTGCTCTTCACCGAGCTCTACAAGTAGACTCGCGTATCGCGACAGAGGACGCTCAGCTGCGATGCGTAGGTGCGGCAACGGCGGGTGCAACTTCAGCCTCCAGAAGAACGTGACGGACATTGAGACGCTCGATATTCTGTCCGAGAAGGGCTGCAACGTGGCTGCTGGCTTCACGCAGTTCTTCCTCCTCGGCTCCGAGTGCTGGTTCTGCGTCATGACCTACGACATGTACACGTCCGTGCGCAGTCCATTCACGGACTTCAAGCGCAACGTTCGCTTCTACCACATCTTTGTCTGGGGCTTTGGTATCGTATCCGACTCGAAATGCATTGGCTCATGCGTGTGCGGCTAGCGCTGCTCACGAGCATTCTCCTCGTGTCGCTCGACAAGGCCGGACCGTCCGAGTTCAACTACTGCTGGGCCAAGCCCGTGCACAAGGACACGGGCAGCTCGAGCAGCCAGACCAACCTCCTCTGGGCCATCAACACCACGTACGCCCCGTGGTATCCACTCATTTCTGAGTTGTGAGATGTAGGTCGTGGGGATTTTTCTACATCTGGATCATCCTTTTCTGGGTCGTGGCACTCTGGTACGTCGATGCTCTCGACGCTGGTGCTTACCAGAGCTAGTGTCATTGTGTTTGCATGGAAGCGGCTCAAGGCCGGCCTTGCGGAAACCCTCCGCCTTCGCCTCCGCGTCTTGCACTCGGTCACCGTGTACGTTTTACAACTTGGATCGATTGTATCCATCTATCCAACACGTATCCTCATCGGATGGATAGCTACGTGATCGCGATCATCATCTACTGGGCGATCACATTTGGCGTCTACGTGCCGTACCTTGTGCTGGGCCTCGTCAACAACCCGAACTCGTACACGGCGCTGACCCAAGTCATGATGTTCTTCATCACGTGCAAGGGGTACTTTGACTTTATCGTCTGGTTCCAGATTAACGAGCTCTCATTCGGGTACACTCTCCTCTCCTCTCGTGGCCGCACTCACTTTATTGCCTAGCGACGGTCTCCTCGTCGGGAACGCGCCCAACTCGAAGAAGGGCCTTCCGGTCGACGTCGACTTGAGCCCGCAAGTGAATCTGGCGCTGCGCTGTGAAGTGCTCTACTACACAACGACCGGCATCATCCAAGCGGCCAAAGAGATCGTGACGCTCCCGGACAATGCGACCGTCAACCAACTGCGACTGCTGCCGCAAGGCCAAACGACCCTTGACGCGCCGACGTCGACAACGATCTTTACCGACTTTTGCCCGCACGTGTTCCACGCGATTCGGCACCACTTTGGCGTCTCGACCGAGGCGTACGTGCAGAGTCTGAGCAAGACGACCAAGGAGCGGCTCAGCGAAGGCGCAAGCGGCGCGTTTATGTTTTTCTCGCAGGACCAGCAGCTCATTGTCAAGAGCATGAGCCCGGGCGAAGCGTCGTTTCTGCAGGCGATCGCGCCCGAGTACGGCAGCTACCTCCTCTCGCACCCGGACTCGCTCCTCACGCGGTTTTACGGCTGCCACTCGGTGCAGCTCTATGGCAGCACGTTCTACTTTGTCGTCATGGCCAACTTGTTTTGCGACAACTCCAAGACGATCCACCGGCGCTACGACATCAAGGGCAGCTGGGTCAACCGGTCGGCCAAGCAGCCGACGAAAGGCAAGAGCGTCACGTGCCGGCACTGCAACGGCAAGTTCATCTTTGGCGTCGCGGACGCCGAGTCGAACGCGTGCCCTCTCCGCGTTGGCGGCAACCACGAGCCAAACGTAATCCTGAAGGACAACGACTTGACGCAGAAGGTCCGGCTCAACGAGGTCGAAGCCGAAGAGCTCTACGCGCACATTTGCAAGGATGCTTCGTTCCTAGCGAGCCATGGCATCATGGACTACTCGCTGCTCATGGGTGTCCACAACGTCGAGTACCGGGTCACAGACGACATGGAGCTCGAGCTCGAAGAAGCCGAAAACTCCAAGAGCCTTTTGCTCAACAACAACATCAAGATGAAGGCGCGGGACGGCAGTGTCGCCAAGATGCGGGATCCAACGGGCACCGAAGACGAGGACGCGCTGCTCTCGGAGGGCCTTCCCCACCTCTTCAACGGTATGGCGACGACGTACTTGGGTTGTGTGTCATATGGACGACGTAGGCACACGTCGCGCCAACACTGTGGTCGGGCCCGCGTGCTATTACTTTGGCATTATCGATATTTTGCAGCTCTGGAACTTTGACAAGAAGCTCGAGCGCGGGTTCAAGCTCCACGCCCTCCGAAAGGACCCGGATGGTCTCTCGGCCGTGCCGCCGACTGCGTACAAGGACCGGTTCTGCCTCAAGATGGCGGAAATCCTCAGCATCGGTGTCCACGACGAAGACAGCGTCCCCGTCGACGTCAACAGCAGCCTCGAATCGCCCGGCGACGGACTGCACAAGCGCTACCACCTCTGAGCCTTCCCTTCGATTCGCTTTGAAATAAAAAAGAAATTGTATTCTGTGCAGTCTCTTCGTTCCGAGTGGCGTGTATCAAAGTATCAATGTTTCGAGTCGAGTCGTGTTGGTCACCCCGCCAAGTGGCGCGTGCGCAGTGCCTTGTCGACACGGCACAAAATGGTTTTGAGTTCGGACGTGAGCGCAAAGCTGCGCGCGTGGACCTGCGACGCCGGAACAAACGCATGCGGCACCGCGACTTGCAGTTGGGACACAAAGTGTTCCTTGATTTCCTTGTCCTTCTTGCGCATGACGCGCTTGACATCCGACGGCAAGGACGGAATGACGAGGTACAAGGCCGCGTACACCATCACGCACGTATGCTACACACTTGCATCCAAACACCGAGTGAAGACAAGTTGTCCATACCTCGAGAATCAAAAAGATTCGGAACCGGTCGGCGTCCGCGAGGCACGTAAAGTTGGGCACGAGCGGTGGGAGGTGGTCGCCGTACCCGACTTGACCGAGCGCGACATTGCAGTTGGGATAGAACGACTCGAGGAGCCCACTTGCGTAGCAGACGAGCGCGATGTTGATGAAGATCGCCCACATGTTGTTGAATTTCAGAAAGAGGTTCCACGACCCGATCGAACTCGTGCGCTGGGGCACACGGCGCGCCGACGTATACGCCAGCTACTCGAGATGGATACATTGAATAGGCTAGAGTAGACCAGGAGGAAAATGGACCTGAAACGCCGACGACCGCACTTCAAAGAGGTTGTTGACGACGGCGCAGAGCGGAATGAACGGCCAAATGCACGTAAACTGCGACACGTAGCCGAATTGCACGCACGTGTCGGCATAATCGGCAAAGTTGTCGTGCGGCGACTAATTGTCTCACTCTCAGACCCTACCCCTAGACAATGCGAGGAGACGGACCTGGCGGCCTTGCTCGAGGACGCGGTCCACGAACCGTTTGCGCTGCTCGAGGAACGCCTGCGTCTGCGGACCGGGCACCTTGAGCCCAGCGATGAGGTGCCGCCCTTTCTGGGGCTTGTCCTCGTCCATGCCGAGCTCGGCACTCGATTTCGAGCGCTCTTTGCGCGGACTGGTCGAGAGTTTGCGCCCGACCGTGCGCAGCCCCGCGACGAGAAGGTCCGTGACGCGCGGCGACGCGATGCTTGGTCCCTTGACCGAGAGCTCGCGGTTGGGCACGTTGCCAAAGTCCTGCGACACGGCGTGGTGGTACACGTCATAGTTGTCTTTGGCGCCCATGGCTTTTTTGGCGCCGCGCAAGAGGTAGTAGGGAATCATTTTCTCAAACACGATTTTGAGTGCTATGCATTGTCATAGCAAAATGAGACATGTGCCGAAAAGACTATAACATACCTTGGGTTACGACGAGCGGCGTCACAAAGATATTGCCGAGGACGAGAAGACCCGGGCGGTAGCTCGAGGGCCACGGCAAAATATGGTACTCGTTCAAGAGGTCGCTAAACTGCTGGCCGTACGGAATGTAGACAAACGCGCACACCCAAAACCACGAGTAAATGCCAAAGAAATCCCACAGAAAAATCTTGAGCGCGCGCGAACTCTCGTAGCGCTTCTCGGTGCGGTGGTTCTCCCAGTTGGTGAGTGCGACTGCAATCACGCGAAAGAGCTGGTACTGCACAATGTCGACGACCAAGCCGAGCAAAATGCCTTGGCAGAGCACGAGGATCCAATTTTCAAACCCGGTGGTCGAACAGCCGCCGGCGCAGCCCGACTTGAAGAAAAAGTACAAGTCGACAAAGCCGATCGTGACAACGGTCTCGACCGCAATGAACGCAAGCAAGATGAGGTACCCGACCGCGTACTTGAGGCGGCGCTTGTAAATCGGGTAGGAGAGCTTGACGACGCCGGTCGCTGGGTCCATACGTGGCACGCCGTGGAACGCGCGGTTTGGCACGTTGACGTGCTCGAGCTGCCCGACACCCCACTTGAGCCGAATGGCCGCGCGCCGACGCTTCCAAAAGATCAAAAACAGGGTGCCCCAAAGCGTCGAGACAAATAGGCCCGTGATTGCTAGCAGCTGAAAGTAGGCAGAGGGTGAGAACGCCGAGACGACGTAGATGGCGACGCCCCAGAGCGCTAGTGGCACGAGCCATTTCGTGTAAAAGTCCATGTAGGCGAAGTACAAGCCGGTTTTCTCCCCAAAATGCAGCCGGATCTTTTCGATATGGTGGTCGTTGTTGCGAAAATAATCGCGCCACTCGTAAAACCAGCTGCCAAGCACGTCGCGGTTGAACGCATCGTCGTGCAGCGGAAATGCCTTGTAGACTTCGCTGCTGTCGTGGAGGCCGACGCCGCCGTCACTCACGGACGTGTACAGCAAGCGATCCACGAGCACGAGGCGGTCTGCTGCCGTGAGCGCCGGCGTCGAGAGGTTGAGGATGTGTTCGCCGTACCGCCCACCCTCGATCCAGCGCTCGATTTCGAGCTTCTTGCGCAGCCGCGACAAGAGCGACTCGGGGGCAAAGACGAGCAGGAGCACTTTGAGGTGACTGGCCTGTGCCTTCTTCTTGTCGCTCCAGCGCGTCTCGAGTCGCACGTGAAGCCCCGCAGAGAGCAGTCGCTTGGAAATGTCCTGCACCTTGGTGACAACGTCGACATCAAAGTAGGTCGCATGGAGGTCCTGGACTTTGACGCCGCCAGCGCCTTTCCGCCCGATTTTGAAGAGAATCGCGTAGTCAAAGAGGAGCTTGGACGGCTCCGGTTCGACGGCTTCGCTCGTCGTCATGGCCGTGTCGAAGCTCGAGTCGCGACTCGACGCATCGAGGGTCCATGTCTTGGGCATCGATATCGCAATGCTCTCGGGGCCCTCCTAGAAAAGCGTACTCGATAGGAGATGCGAGGTAAGATACATACGTCAAGGATGTCGTGCACGGCTTGGGCGATCGCGCCATCCAACGCCTCGGCCACGCGCGCTTCGTCCGTTCTCGACGCCATCTCAAGATGGAAAGGACCGTTTTCAAAGACAAGATCTAAACTTGGCGCCCAATATCGATCTCCAGAGCTTTTGCCTCGTGGTATTTGTTCGAGCTTACTGGAGTGGCTTCGGGTCAGGGGTAAACCTACCCATGCTTCGGGTTCTGTGTTGGCACCGCCTCCTTAGGACAACCGAGTGAAGATGACTCACAGCCCCTTCCCTGTCGCACGTTTTCTCGACGGAGCAAGTCGCATGCAACAATCGGCATGTAAAGTAGTGCTTTCCTTTTGCTGGGCTGCAAAAAGTCCATGTATTGTAAATTGACAATAAATGGACAATATCATTCCCTTCGATTAGCTATCAGTAGCGATCAGTAATACGATCCGTACAATGTTCGTGTTCTTTGCGCAAGTCCTTTCCGACCAGTCCAACGTGACCGAGTGGACGTGTCGCGAGGTTGGCGGCAAGAAGATCACACTCCAGAACGCTTACACCGGTGGGTATCTGAGCCGCTGGGAAGGATGTCAGCCAAGCTCACAACAGCACTTGCAAGTTTCCAGCCAGCGTTTGCGCTTCCGACGGTCCCCGGTAACCAAAGCCTGGCATCGCAACAGTGGATATATGAGTATTTATTTTAAGACCACAGTACTAAGCATCGCCTTGCCAAGGTCATTTCGTGGTTTTGACATTTTAGGGGTCGCAACCCCAACGCGATAGTATAGCACTGGTGGATTCGACCAGACTCGTAGCCTTTACGCAATGTCCATCTATTTAAATTAATGAAACAATTCAACTTCACAAGCAGCAACGTTCCTCGCTTGAGCCCAACACCAGAACTCCAATTCGCACAATCTTATGTTTTCGTTTGGATTTATCATCGAGGTTTTATTGACTAGACCAGACTCGTAGCCTTCACGCAATACGACAACTGCCTCCTAACTGATAGATAAAATGTTGCATAATTATTCAAATTTATATATATATATGAACGTGTTCCGCGTTATCTTCATTATGACACAAAGACTTCGCATACGTAGCGCTACGCCTGAATGCGTGGGAGTTGGCTCCAGCACTTGGTCGTTGGGAGTGAGCTGCGTACGGAGAGATCCATCCCGTGGTGGACCCCACTCGCCGAGTCATAGCTCGCGCTATGATTTATTCGCTACATGCGGCGTTTGCGCCGCGGGGTGGCTCCTGCATCGCTACGATGCAGTCTATAACGCTGGCACTATGATCTACACCATCGCCCGCGATCTGTAGCCTTCTCCAACATTGTACATACTTTCGTCAAAGTCACGCCTCTTTATAACGCTTATGTCACCTATGTGACTGCGTGTGCATGCAGCTATGCTAAACGAGACGGGGAATCTAGTTCATATGATCACAGCATCACTGTAGCCGTCTGTTTGCGGTTATCGAGATTATGGCTGGGCCGACGATGCGACTTGGAGGACCTTGGCGTAGGTCGCGTCATTGTCGAGCGGGTCGCTCGGGTACATGATTGAGTGGGTCGCGGGCACAAACGTGTACTCGAGCGGCAACGTGTCGATGCTGTCGGATTTCCACGGCGAGATGGACAAGAACGTGTAGCCAAAGTCGTTGAACCGGCCGGACGTCGGCGGTTGCGGCACGACAGCGCTCAAGTCGATGCCAAGCTCCGTCGCGCCGCTAATGGCATTGCCGAGTTCCGTAAAGGCCGACTACACATCCATCCCACATGAGTGAGATTGAAGACACAATGAGATGTTGAGAGCATACCACTCGGCCCACTTGGCCACCAGGAAAGCCAAACGGTTGCTGCGGCGTGTGCAGGTAGCCGCCAAGCGCGACGGTTTGCCCGAGGTTGTATGCTTGGATGTAGCTCGTAAAGACTGCGCACGTCGAGCCGCAAAAGCCTTGCGAGACGACGACGAGGTTCTCGGGCGCAATCGAAAACGAGACGCCGGGCGCGGAGTACTTGACGTACGTATCGGCGCACCCGCGGTAGACACCCTGGCTCATTTCACCGAGTACAGTCGACTCCTGTTGTAACATGAGTCATGTCGCACCAAGCAAGGTCGGACGTCTTACCCCGTTCGTCATCCACGTCGCATCGCGGAATTGGCGCTGACTCGAGGGACTGTAAAACTGCGTCGGCGCCAAAAAGGCCGTGCTCGTCGGGTCCTCGACCTGCATCGTGGCGAGGATCGTGGCGATCGTCTCGGACAACTCGGTGCGGCGCGCGCGGTAGACGCCGTCCTGATGCGGGCCCTTGGCTTCGTGCGGCCCATTGAAGTCCAAGTTGGGAAAGAGGTACCGCAGCGTCGCGTACCCGAGACAGATGCTGCCGCCGCCGTTGCCCGTGACGTCCACAATCAGCTTTTCCTTCTTGCTGGCCGTAAACTGGGCCAAGGCCGACGTGACGTTGGCCGCAAAGACGTCTTCGAACGTCGCATCGTCGTCACTGCCACTGAATGCGTTGAGCTTGAGCACGGCCGCGTTCTCACCGACCGACGCAATGTACTCGACGGCGGGCGGCGTCTCAAACAGCTCGTGCGAAATGAAGTGGTCCTTGAGCTTCTCAAAGAGCGTGTCGTACTGCTTGTTGTGCTTGGATTGGTCGTCGCCCTTTGTGACCATGTTGAGCGCCAACCAGTCGTACGAAACGGTCTTGGTCGCACGCGTCGTCGGGTGCTGCAGCTCGTACGTCACACGACGCTGCGTGGGCACGTCAAACGTGCCCATGGAGCGGAACACAAACCAACCACGCCCTATATACAAACATCAGCATAATGACGTGGCAACAAGAGAACATGAATCCGCGCACCGGTTTTGTAGCCTGAAACCGCCAAGTTGAAGCGGCCACCGGCATCCTTGAGAAACCCAACGCCGTCCGCAAAGCTGCTGAGGGCGTCGATGGCGGGGACACCGTCGATGGACAGCACGTCCCAGCCCGCTACGTCAAAGTCCACCGGCGTCGACGGGTAGAGCGTGCGGTACGTCTCGGCCTCGGCGCTATCGACGGTGCGGAGCTGAATGACTTGACGGTTGTGGCGTTCCATGCTCAGAAGCGAGATGGGCTGCAGCGCATAATAGCTGTAGTACGGGTACGGCTTGGCGTGCGTTGTGTGGGCGTCGTTGAGCTTGTTGATGAGCGAGAAGAACGCAGTCTGCATGTCGGCGTCGTTGTCGTAGTCGGTCACCTCGATCGCATTGAGCTCGCTTTGCAGGTCGACGGCCGGCGTCTCGTACGGGCCAAAGGCCTGCGCCTCCTTGGAAATGCTCTCAAAGACATAGAGCGGTAGCTACGTATGTAGAAAGTAAGACGCTGCCACAAGATAGAGAGACGAGTACCGCGCGGCGGTAGAATTCGACGAGCTCGGCCTTCTCGGTGGCGTTGTACGGAAGGCTCTTCACGCACGAGTGGAGCTGGTCGTACGTCAAGATGTGTGACGTCTCGCATACGTTGACTTGGGGTGCCGGATGCGACGAGACGAGGTTCAGCACCTTCGGGGCGACGTGCGCAGCACCAGAGAGGAGGACAGCGCCGAGGCAGAGCCCCGCGGCGGCCATGGCGGCCGTCTTCATGTGGCGGCGCGGCTTCTTGTCCGGAATCGCATAGCCAGCGGTCGCCGTCGTCGGGAGGAGGTAAGTCGTGGGCTGCATCGAGGACTGGGCGAAATGAGAAATGAGTCGCAGGGCACATTTGGGGCGTTCAATCCCCTGGCGGTTGACACCCACGTTACCTTGAAGTTGCGAGTGAATCGTATTTCGTTGCAGTGGGGTTGTGTGATTGTGATCGTGTTACTTTGATTGCGGTCGTGACACGTCCTCGAGCTTACGCTACCGTTACTATGAAACCTTGTGTCGGGTGCCATCTCTGACTCAGAAATTAGAGACGCAGAGTATAGAAATCTTAAAAAACATCAGAAATTAGAGACGTAGAGTATAGAAAGCTTAAGAGACATGCCAGGAGAGCACCTCCTGAGGCTCGTCAGCCGACACGAAGATGACACACCTTCGTTGCTTTTCCGCTTACCGGTAGGTGGTTTTGTCCAGCCTCTTTCATTGGCTGTTTTCCCGCCTGAGGCTAGGGTTTGTCCCTCCACTTGGAGGTTTTGCCCACCTCTCTCGTAGTTTGTATGTCCCATAATGTCCTGAATACATTCCGGGCCATTGGTCGTGGACCTCTCTTCTGTTTTGGTTCCGTTCTGGCGAGCTTCCCGCTTGCCCGTTTGCCTCCTCTTCTTCCTCTTCCTCTTCTTAGCTTCGTTCCTCTGCTTTGTGCTTCGCTGCCCCAACCTGCATCGAGGGCTCAAGCTGGACGCCCGTTAAGCGTGCTTGGTGCGAACGCGGTATCCTACCCTACACGAAGCCAGCGAGGCGCGAGAGGGATGAAACCGGGGATTCAAATGCGGTGGAATACGTCAGCGATGAGCGCAAAGGAGATTTCAACCTGCAGATGCATAAGGTGCACAAGGTAGGGGCCAACTTTGGTACTGGACATGGGGCCAGCGGCTCCGGGCTTTATGTACATGTATCGTTGGCATATCGTTGATATTGTGCGTCAGAAGCGTACAATGAGCGAATACTCGTAGACGTGTTGGGGATATTGCGCCACTGAATCGCCAACTAACCCCATTCAACACGAAATACATGTTTTCCACCATGGATTTTTCTCAATATTTTTGATTCAGGCAAGATGTGCGTCGTCGCTCGCAGCTCCTTGGAGAAAGTGTATCAAGGGAAATAAGTTACACTCAAGTTCAATTCCCGACGACCTTGACAAACTGCGTACCTTTGTTGTCGACCGCGACGCCTGGAAAGATTTGACCGACCGTGTCGTCAGTGCCTCACCCGCGGCCACAAGCCTCGTAGGGTGACGACAGAAGAGCCAGACGAGCCCCCGCGTCGCTGCCTGCGCAGCCACGGACCGGCGAGCGAATGAAGAAGAAGGAGATTGCTAGTCTCTACGTATGCGAAGTCTTTGTGTAATTATGAAGATAACGCGAAACACGTTCATATGTAACAGTGCAATCGATGTCCCTGGATAAAATGTACCCGCCTCCATTGCTTGGAGTGAGCGCTTGGAGTGGTTTTGTGCGCAAGTTTCATGTAGTTCGTGCTGGTGTTTCTCGGTTAAACGGACGGCGGTTTCCCTCGAGAAAATATTTTTGTTGATCTATTCCGTTGGTTACGATATCTTTTGGCTGAGCAAGAATGGACCCGGACGCCCAGGCGGCGCTTGCAGCGATCATCCGAGAGGACCACCACGCGCCCTTGCCGCGCCGCGCGAGCCTCGCATCGTCGGCGGATGGCAGCTGCAGCTCTATGCGCATGTCGCGCCACTTGAATCTTGCAGACGACGAGTTGTCGCTGCCGATCAGCGAAGACGTGCCCGCAACCATGGATGCGACCAACAAGATGCTGCGCCGGCGTCGACTCTCGTCGCTCAAGGCCAAAATCACGCGCCCGGGCTTCCACGAGATGCACCGCGTTTCGGGCGTTCTCAAGATCGACCCCAAGCTGCGGCTGGTGCCATTCGACCGAAGTGCACTCCCGGAATTCCAAACGCTGCTTCGGCCATTTGAGGATTCTTCTGCTTCGAGCGACGTCCATGCTGTGCTCGCGACCTTGAACGACCTGCTCGAAACCATCATCTCGAGCATGCTGGATGACCAAGATACGCTCAACAACTCGATGCTGGCGCGCGAGGTATCGGTGCAAGCCGTGGCGCTTTTCGTGAGCGGCATCGACGACCTCGCAGCAGCCTCAACGACGGCAGGAGGTGCGCACCTGCGGGACATGGCCTACCGCCTTGGTGCTATCGACGCCTTTGTGCGCACGTACTTTTTAAACGAGATCCACGAGCTCGAGCAAGTGGTCAACAGCCTCGAGGACTCGCTTGAGACCGCAACCAAGATGAATGCGCAGCTGCAAGCCAACGTGGCGTCGACCGACGACCGCCACAAGCACAAACTCGCCGAAATGCAACTGCTGGCCGTCGTCAACCAAGCGAGGGCACGGGCCCGGACGCCGGCGCTCGCCACAACCATCGACTCGAAGCTCGAAGAAGCGCACCACGATCTGCTGAAGGCGCATCTCACGCTTGAAACAGCGCACGCCCGGCTCGAAACATCGCACAAGACGCTGCTCACCCAGCACGAGACAGCGCTGCTCGACTTGGAGCAAGTACTGCATGAATCTATATTTCGAGCGCTAAGTGGGGACTAGGCGCAGCGCAAGGTGTCGATTCTCACGCACGATGTCGACGAACTTTCACAGCCACTCTTGCTCGACACGGAGCTCCAACAGCTCCAAGCAGAGCTTCTCTGTGAGCGGCGGCGAGTCAAAGAGCTCGAGTTTGACATGGTGCAGATGCGCATGCGGCAGATCGACGCAGCGCGCGTCAAGGTGACGCGGGCGTCGGTCGTGACGCGTATTCGACGGGCCACTGACCTCGGTGTGCTCCCGACGCCCCAAGAGATTGCTAATCTGACTGCCAACGTACTTGAGTATGACAGCGACGAGGTTGACGAAGCCGATTTGCCAGATATTTCGTTCGAGACGCTCATGTCCAAGGACCCGGCCAAGCGGCTTTTAAGTATGCTCAACTACTCGCTACCGACGCCACCACAACCGCCAGCAGCACTGCGGCAGACGCCCAACGCCGAGGTCCTTGCCAACGTCGCGTCCGCCGTCTCCAAGCTCAAGTTGCACGCCCACGTCGAGGCGAGTGCGGTCCACGCGCTCATGCAAAGCGCTGCGCCGTCCGACCTCGCCTTTGTCCGCCAGACGATTTCGGAGATTTTTGAGCGCAAGCGGCTTCTGGACGAGTGCGCATCGATCGCACACGAACCGCGCGAGACGCTCGTCGAGATTGTCGTCGGGTTCCACTTTGCAAAAGTTTCCAGATCCTGCGATCGCCCAAAAGGTATCAATCAATGTATCAATGTATCAATCTATTTCTAGAGGATGACGTGGCGGAATAGGAAGCGATTGCGTTTTTGGATTTGATTTCCCGCCTCCGGCCCATGTATGGGGACATCCGCATCTTTGCCGAGTTTATCGACGGCGTCTATTCCAACGAAGTGCTCGACTTTTACGTCTGGCTCGTCCAGTCGATGGACCAGATTTCGATTGGTGCCGAGCTCGATTCGCGACCTGAAGTCCATCCCCACTACATTTCCAAATGCAAAGCGACGCTCCTCACGCGGACGCTCTTCCGGACGCTGCGGTTCCGGACGTGTGGGTTTGCCAACGAGGAGTCGCGAACGACGTCGTTGCTCCAACGCCACCCGTCGCTCGACGCCATGTACGACTGCCAACGACTCTTCGACCAGACGACGGCGCGGGGGCCGATTTACCTCAGCGAATTCCACGACCTTCTCGATGTGTTTGGCGTGCATTTCCACGGCGACGAATGCTACCCACTCGACGTCTTCTTGTATGCATTTGTCCTCATGTACAAGAAGCAGAAAGACTGGTTCTTCGAGTCGGTCCGTCTCCTCTTCAACCAAGTGCATGACGAAGCGATTGCGTTGGAAGCGCGCCAAAAGGCGCTCGAAGCCGTCGAGTTGCGTCAAACCGAAGCCACGAAAGCGCGCCGCCGGGCCAGCGAGCTCTCAAAGCCCCAAAAGAAAACACGCAAGGTCCCCAAGCGCCGTAAGGGGTCGACCTCTGACTCTCGCAAGACCGCGGTCTTGACCACGGTCCAGTTTGCCGTCGTGCTCGCTCGCCTCGACGCGCATTTGTCGTTTGGGCAAATGACGGAAATGACGCTCAAGGTTCTCTTGACGCGGCGCTTTTACTCGCACGGCATCACGTACGACGCCTTTGTGTACACGGCCACGTCCCTCGGGTGGTTCCGCCCCGACTTTGTCTCACTGCCCACGCCGTTTACCGACATTTCAATTTCGACTGAAGAAAAGGCGTCGGCCCACGCCGCGCTGCAGTACGCCTGGGATACGCATGTCGCGAGCATTTACGTCGCGTGCGAAGGCGACTCGAACCCATTTGTCGCCACGCACGTCATGCAAATCAAGCAGCGGCTCGTCAAAGCGCTGAGCGCCAACGACCACGCCGAGATGGACCCGCTCCTAGCGCTCAGTCTGCTTCGGCACCTCGTGCACGTGTGCTGGCGCGTCGGTGCTGCCCGCGGCTTTCGGTCGCGCCACGTCGAGCCGGGCAGCGGTGCTGGCGGCGACCACTTTTACATCGCCGAGCTCGCGCGGTCGGACGAGCTCATTTTGATTGCGAAAGGGATTATGGCGATCCCCGATGCGGTCACGGGCTGCCAGGTATTTAACGCAGCGCTGTACACAGCGCCGTCGTCAGATTTCATGACGAATTTCTCGCACATTGATCCGGCGCGCATTCGGGACCTCTTCCCCGACCACTGCATCCAGACCAACGAGTGCGTCGCGATCGACAGCGTCCTCCAGCGCTACGCGTGGCAGCTCAACGACGTATATCGGTCGTACTCGCTCGTGTGCAACAGCCTCAGCGGCATCACTCTCGACGGCTTTGGCGAGCTCATGCACGACCTCGGGCTCAGCTCGAGTCACTTTACGACGGTGCACATGACTTTGGTTTTCTCGGCAGTCGTGAGTCGACAGCAAGAGACCGATCGGCTCCTCGCAACGAGCTTCATCGAGCTCCTGATTCGTCTCGCAACCGAAAAGCACGCAGTCGAGCGGCCGTTCATGGATCGTAAACAGCCCAAGCTGCAGCTAATGCTGCAGCCTGAGCGCATCGCGATCTTGCTCGAAGACCTCTGCACGCGGTACGTCTTGCCCAACATTTGCCAAAACCTCTCAATCACGTTTCGACGGCAAGTCGCGGCGCCTGAGCTACAGCGCCTCTTGAATCAACACCGCAACTTGCTCCGACGGCTCTATTTGTACTATTGCCGCCAGGACGTGGCCGACATGGAAGCGTGGAAGATGAATTTTGGCGAATTCGAGCGATTTATTGTCGACTTTGGCCTGAACGACGCCGTCTTTTTCCCATCGAGTATGAACCTCGTCGTCTTTACCGCGTGCCAAGACGACTTGAACGAAGGCCAGTTCATCTACCAAGAGTTTGTCACGGCCATCATTGCGATCGCGCAGATGAAGGACACCAACCCGTTCCTCAAGTGGCAGCGCAAGACGAGCAACTTTATTCATACGCTCATCGACTACATCTCGCATCCCGACCGCGCCGTCAAATTCCGACTCATTCTATCGTAAGTTTAGGGTTCTGTCTCTCCAAACTATAATTTGACGATGGTGAGCACGGGATTATTATTGTTTGTTGTTGCAGGGACCTCTCTCTTGTCAAAGACACAGGATGGTCTCGGCGCTACAAAATGCACTCTGCACGATCCCCGAATAAATCGCATACTAGTCTTCTGTATTTACTGTGACGTTGTATAACGAAGCGATCTGGGGCTAGTCTCTGCAAGGCAGGTGTGTCGAATCGTGAAAGATGGATGTGCTACGCAATCTAGTCAACTTTTCTTGTCACGCATGGACCTGGATCGCGAGGGTTAGGGCTCACTAGGTCTAGGGTTTCACCGCAACACTCTGTTAAGGGTCTATGGTGCCGAGGCTCGCTACATGGACATGAGAGCACGACAAGATCCCACGCGTGTCATTAACCAAAACGTGATAAAACACTTCGCAGTCGCATCTGCAAGCAATTGAAGATATTAATTTGTGCACATTGCTGGTATCATCCATTTATATTCGCAGGCTTTTATCAATTAAAAGCACAAACAGATGTTTTAAGGAGGCTCCTCAATTTCTAGTCGCTGTCCCAAAGGCTTCGCTTACGCAGACTAACTACGGTACCTCTTTCTCGCTTGGCGAGATACAGGCAAGCCATCCACTCGAAACGCTACGAGATGACGAGCGAACATTGGAGTTCGCGTCTCGCACTACCACGACGATAAGAAAACTTTGTTTAAACCATAGAAAGATAAGAAACTCGTGTTCTAACAACTGCACTCCTTAATCATCTTCTTCGCCGTCATCCGTCGGAGTCGGGGCGCGAGGGACCTTGGTCGTTGGCTTCGGGGGCAGAGTCGGCCGACCAACGCACTTGGCGGCCGACAGTAGTGCGTCGAGCTGACCCTTGTCCTGAAGCGCCTGCA